TTGTTTAGAGAATCCAGTCTACAACGCAACAGGTTGTTGCATCATGTTTTACTAAGTACTTTATTACTAACTTTTAACAGATTTAAAAAGAAATAAGAAGTATTTTCCTGTTTTAAAATATATATTAATATTGAATTATATTTGGTATCGAATTTAGTCATTTTTCCGACTACGATCTAATTATTTCGTCACCTCTGAAATAGTTTTTCTAGTGGGACCAAATATATTATTTTGTATAGATACGTGCATAATTATTTTTGGAAGTATTTTTCAATATTATAAATATTGGCAATAATTTGTGGATAATTCTTATCCGAAAATATGTATAAATAAAAGTCAGAATGGAATCGAATGTAATTCTTTAAATGCTTATTTCATATTGTATGTAGATTTGCACAATTTAGCTAGTATTTTTTAGATATTATTACACTAATGAGTTTAAGTAGCTATCAGTGTATCTACCATGATTTTATTTCTACTAAAGGAAAATCCCGTTATATACATAACCATCTATTAATGTGGAATCGCTATTTTTCATTTTTATATAAATATACACTATTTTGTAAAAACTAGGAATTCATTTTTACGAAACCTCCCGACTTCGCTCACGCAAATGTAGTTTTACACATGGAGAGAAAACCAATTTTAGAAAAAAATTGGTAACAAATAATCTGAAGGATATCTGTGATTATATTATAACTGGCTGACTCCGCAAACGTTGTTTTGCCATATAAATTGAAGTCGCCATTAAAAATATGGGTTGGTAATAGAAGCGTAAAAATATACGGTTGTATATTTAATGCAACATTATAAAAAAAACAATTAATAAAAATAATAAGTTAGGTGTGGACAATCCTCATCACTTAGGGGTATCACAAGTAGATGGCAGCCGATTCTCAGACCTACTAATGCATATTCATATAAAATTTCATAAAAATGGATCAAGCCGTTTCGAAGGAGTAAGTAACATTGACACACGATTATTTTATATATAAGTTGGATCCTGACGTATTATTTGTAATGTACATTTTGTACATTTCAAGAATTATGTAAATTCTAACTAAAAAAAATGTGTAATTTATTAATATAACAATAACTTTTACCCCAGCGCAATTTTAATAAATGTATTGATAGTGGCGTTTTTCCACATTTAATGAAATTTAGCAAATTAATCCCACTATTTAAATCAGGAGATAAATTTGAGCCAGGGAACTATAGACCTATATCTATTTTGCCAGTTCTAAGTAAGGTGTTTGAAAAGATAATGTTAAATCAAATGTTACAACACTTCAGGGTTAACGGACTGCTTCACAGTCAGCAATATGGTTTCAACGCCGGCAAGTCTACCACTGACGCAGGTGTTGCGCTAATGACACATATTTTCGAATCTTGGGAGAAGTCACAGGATGCACTCGGAGTTTTTTAGGGGCATTTGATTGTGTGGATCATAAAACGCTTTTGTACAAGCTCGAACATTATGGTATAAGAGATAATGATCTAAAATTAATGAGAACTTATTTAGAGGATAGGGTCCAAACTGTAGATATTGACGGTGTAAAATCTAAGGGAGCTAATATTAAGATGGGCGTTCCACAAGGGTCAATCTTAGGCCCCTTTCTCTTTTTAATCTACATAAATGACCTTCCCTTTATGGTAGAGAAAATTGCAGATATAGTGCTGTTTGCGGATGATACTTCGTTAGTGTTTAAAATTGGACGTCAAAGTAATCAATTAGACGATGTAAATTGTGCTATGTCTGCAATATTAAATTGGTTTACATGTAATAACCTATTATTAAATTCCAGCAAAACAAAGTGTATAAAATTTACACTTCCTAATGTAAGACTAATAAATACACAGTTATTGCTTAATGACGAAATAGTAAATTTTGTTAATGATACAGTTTTTTTAGGTATAACAGTGGACTCGAAATTACAATGGGGGCCCCATATTTCAAAATTGGCCAGTAGACTCAGTTCTGCTGCATATGCGATTAGAAGAATTAGGCAATTAACAGACGTAGCGACGGCTAAACTTGTATATTTTAGTTATTTCCATAGCATAATGTCTTATGGCATACTGCTGTGGGGTAAAGCAGCCGATATAAATACTATATTTGTTTTACAAAAGAGAGCCATACGTTCTATTTATGGTATGGGTTCAAGAGAGTCATTACGTCAGGGCTTTAAAGACTCAAATATCCTCACAGTTACTTCACAATACATTTATGAAAATATCATGTATGCACGGAAGAACTTAGAGAGTTTTAAAAAACTCAAAGACTGTACAAGTAGAAACTTACGCAATATAAATAAGTTAATTTTACCTAAATGCCGTCTGCACAAAATCAGTAATTCATTCTATGGTAATTGCATAAGATTTTATAATAAACTGCCAGAATCTGCATTAAATCTGACAGAGAGGCAATTCAAATCTTATATTAAACAATTTTTATGTAAGAAAGCCTATTACAGGATAGACGAATTCATAGATGACAACATATCAAGTAAATAATTAGTTTATTAGCATACAACGTTATAATTTTATTTTCCCATTGCTTTCTTGATTTAATTGATTGATTTTAGAAATATGAAAGCGTAGCGGTTTTTGTATTAATTGCCGCATGCATTCTTATGTAAAATGTGAATACTATAACTATCAGATGGCAATTGTGAGTAGCTTTGACGTGGTCTAGTGTTTTGAGTAGTCATGCTCACTAAAATGTCCAGACTTGTGGCGGCGTGGTGGGCCGGGTCATTGGGCTCCCTAAAATATGGTCGAGCGCAGTGATGGCTGGCTCATCCGTCATACTCGTGAACGGGTGCTGCTTGTAGGGACTGGTCTGCTCTAATCACTATGACTGATTTCCTCTTATTAATTGTTTAACCAGTTGGTTATGTATTCAATATTTTTTTCTTTTTGAGTATTTAATTGAATTAGTGCTAATTGGTGGTTTGTATTCACACACTTAAACTTAAAAATGTAAAGTAATAATAAAATTATTTAAAAGAGCAACACGCAAGTTTCTTGCTCGTTCTTCTTGTGATGAGACAGCTTTCCGAACGAGCGGTAGATTAAAAAAAATGTAATGACTATTCAAAAGTGCTTCAATGTAAGTTTATTTGAATAAATGATTTTCTATTCTATGCTATTCTATTCTATTAAAAAGGCACAAATAAATGCATAGTTTCGAAGAAAATTGCGAGATTTCAGAAAATAACAGTTTAATTTCTACCATAGCTGTACCATCTTACAATTAACTTATGTGAAAGAAAGTCATAGTAGGCGTAAACTTTATTATACGAGCTTCAAAGCACAATTAAATACGCTACATATGACGGACTTACTTAATACCGGAAGGCGTTTTCTACCAGTCCACTACTTAGCTAACAGAGAATATTCTTTATTAATAATAACAAATTGCATTACAGGGATGGATAAAATATGAAATCAATCAATTAGCAACGCATCTCGTAACCGTACCATTATAATAATTGACTTAATGAATTAGTTTACGTATGTGTTACGAAAAGATGATAATTCATATTAATATTAGTATTTTAATAATAGCTGCTATAAAGTATGTCAGTCGATCTGTTGATTACCCTTTTCACGACTAAACTGATAAATGTAATTGCGTGAGGGTAGATGGTACCACGAAGGCATATATAGCCTTAGCCTATTTTTATCTAAAAAAGCAGACATAGTTATTGGTAACAGTTTGGTATTATGGATATAAAAATGTGTTATTCTATTTATTTGTTACGTTTTCACAACTACTGAATGGATCTTAATAAAATTTTACATGAACTTAGGTACATGAGACGAGGATGGACATTATAACAATAGAGAATAACAGTAGGTATAGAAAAACAATAGAACATAGGCCATCTTTTATCTGAAAAAAGTAGATGTAGCCACGGGTAAAAATCTAAACTAAAGTAAATTGAACTGAAAAACTAAATGAATCTTTCGCATCAGTAAATCGTTGCAGTCTTCATAAGTTTCGATGAACGATTTTAAAACGATACCAGATGATAACAAAACGCTTAGGACCATCTTATATACTAACTACCTACTCGCGGCTTCATACCGGTGTATATGTCTTATATAGGTATATAAAACTTCCTCTTTACTCTATGTATTAAAAAAACCGCTTCAAAATCCGTTGAGTAGTTTTTAAGATTTAAGCATACATAGGGACAGACAGCGATAGCGAATTTGTTTTATATGATTATGTAATGATGATTAGTACTGTTTTAAATTTTATACATTTTTTACAAGGTACATAAGTACGTGATTTAAACTTACGTAAACAATTATTTGTTAATATTGCAATTTCATTACAAACATATTTACGTGAATCAAACTATAAATATATAAATAGCTATAAAGGCCATTCATATCCAATTTATAACACTGTGATAAACACAATGTAGCAATAAAAAGTATTGATAATATTATTATGTATTTTGTACAGTCATAGACTTCGCAATAAAAGTTGGGTTTAATTAAGTTCACACAGTGGGTGCCAAGAATTAGGACATTTTCATGGAATTTAGGAGTGGTTGATTGACACAGGTGTCAATACAACAATTTATAATGTTTTTAAATATTTCAATTACGGATTATATACTTAAAGGAACTTATGTCCATTAACATATTTATACAACAGTGAACTCAATCAATAAAGAGTTTAAAATTTTTAAAGTTACATATAGCACTTACCTTAATCGCAGTTAAAAATGAGTTTTTTTTTTAATTATTAAAAGTTAAACTATTGTTTACTCCAAAACTTATATAGAACAGCAAATAAAGAGTATAAAATTACGAGCAATAAATACCTAAGTGTATTTTACATAAAAAAATACTTTTTTTTGTACTCAATGAAACTTAAAATTTTATAATAATTACAAATTTAGAATGCTTATAATTACAAAAAAAAAAGAAACAAAAAAATCTAGTTGTAATAAAAAAGTTAAAAACTTTTTTTAACTAACCGGCCAGTAGCAGGGCTAGCACCGCGGTAGTGCAGGCTACGTTTGGTTTCATGGTTGCGTTCAGAGTGCCGCATAAGCTATGAGCTCCGGCTTTTTAGCTATAGGGGTGAGTGATCCGCCCTATTCTGTAGGGCGTAACTGTTTGAGTTGCCTTTTAAAAGGGCAAAATATATTTAAGGTATTAACTAAAAGTTCGTAACATTTTATTATTTGTTCAATATTATTTATGTACAAAAACATATATAGACATAACATAGATACAACATAACACACACAATGTGTATTAGTGTATTTTTTTGTAACTATCATATTTTGTTTATTTATTATGTATAAACAGAAGGTTTTATATTTAAAAAAATGCCTTTATTTAAAACATGATGAATATGATTTAGTTTTTTTTTATTTTAAGTGTAGGTAAGTATAGACTGTAAAACAAAATCGACCATTAGGTAGTCTCATAGGTATATCGTGGTATTGCAGTACAATTCATAATACGTTTCCACAATATTGTAATATTAATAATTAGCATCCCAGTTACGTACTATGTCCAGTGCGATGTATGGGCGCGCGCCCACCGCCGTGCCGCGAAGACAACAAAACGCACCAACCTTTATTTATGAGTAATAATGGTCATTCTTTAGATGTATGAAATATCACATGTGCTAGAATCCGGTTACATCGCAAATTGAATTTTTTATATCCACTTTCAATTCCGATTATCGTATTTCATGAAATACAAGAATAATTCATTTGCTTAGCTTTCAAATTTATTGGTAGTATTAATTTATTTCTATATGTAAGTAAATTCATGGCAATTCTTACTATTGTAAAAATGTTTATTTAGCGTAGTGCCAAGCGCGGAGCAATTTTAGAGATCAGTTCGGAGTCTTTGTAACGATACTCCTCCGAAATGGCTAGATCGATAGAGACCAAAATTTCATTGAAGATCGACCTCCAGCCCTCCACTTATTCCACTATTCAAAATTTTCTCGGGGTAAATAAATAGAGACAATTTAATTGGTCATAGGCTTCATTTTTCTCTCCTCAATACATTTTTTATGTAATTGGAATTGTAAATCACTTGACGATTTATCAACGCAAAATGTTAGTCGCCAATATACATCAACAACTTTACAAAATACGAGCACATTCTGTCTCTCATGAGTTGCCATTCCTGAGAAGTAAGTTGTTATGCCTCTGTAACCTATAGGAACTTAGTCTTTTAGTCTAATCTAACTTAGTCCTCAGTCCTTCAAATCGGATCACAGTAAAGCAAACGGCTGACGACGGATTTAATTGTGAAATAGAAGACATTATACAAAGTCTGCTTGTGAGAAAGTTTATCAAACGAAGTCACGACTAAGAACTTTAAAATAAATACAAACTTAGTTAAATCGAAATTAAACGGGAGGGCCTTTTAAATCAGTTAACCGTCACACCTAGCCGGAATTTGTTTGGACATTTTAATTACTATTAAGACACTTGGAACCAAACATGCTAGGCGTGTAGATTTTTAGATCAAGAATAAAAGTTCCGACAACACTTGTTATTCCAAGTAGAGGCTAAGAAATGACAAAAAAAGTTATCAGGACTACAACTATAAAAGCGATACTAACGACGTTCCTTACAGGACAGTTAATTTTGGTTCAAAAATCAACAAAGTCTAGCAAGTTGGTTCCCAGGGTCTTGACATTTAAGATACTAAACTGAGATAAAATAATATTCGAATGATCCATGTGAATGCTCTATTCAAGAATATAATATTTGGAATAGCAATGAGGTCTAAATGAGATAGAAGGTGTCTAAGTACGTATACGAATATTTATGAAAACTTTTAACTTTTTATATAACCTAATCAGGTAGTTCGAAAGGAGGCCATCCATCCAAAACTGATGTATTATATAAAATAATTAAAAAAGATAAGATGAACAGATAAAACGCTATATACGTAGGTTCAGCCTACGCTGTAATGGAAAAAGCGCGAATTTTCATAATGATCTCTAATAAATAACGCCGAAGTTTTTGTTTCAAACGCAGAACCACCAGAAATTCGCAGAGGCGTATAGCTTAGTCACCACGCCTACTGCAGATGGGGATGGATTATAGTGGTAATATTTTGATGCTGTGCAAAATCGTTGGAGTGTCGAATAAACCATAAATCACTGATATGACTTTTATCTTTACCACCCCGTGAGGTGAAAGTATTTGTATGTAATTCATTACGCTATCTAAGAATGTAGAACGTGTTATTCGATCGATTGCACATGTTGAGGCTGTAATTAAACCCCTCATATCCGGTTAGGGAATGCATTTTCTATACTACTTTATAGGTACATTAACTCCTATCATTTTTTTTAAATATAATCATTATCAATCGATTGTCATTACATATGTTCCAGAAACAATGCATTGTCTATTAATTTAAAGATTTGTAGCGTGTTTTTTGCCTAATGTGGCTGGCAGAATATTACATTGTGAATATTGAGATTGTATCTAGGTTCCCAATGCGATATGAATGTATATCGAAGTGGTGAATGATGGTATGATATCAACAAACAATTACATTCTTTCAAACAAATAATCTCGATAATAAAAATATTATTCATTCATAAGTGTGTAAATGCTAATTTAGAAACTATAATACGATACGATAAGTTTTATTGTGAGGCCCTAATTGCCTGGTTTATAATGTCTTATCATGAATTTTACATTACATTAAAATAACCCTACGAGACCATCACTCATTCAGAGCGTAACGTACAGGTAGCACGTGTTCTTTAACAATTAACCTAATATATTTACCTTTTTTTACCTACTAATTTAAATAATTTTCTAAGAGGGAACTGTAGTTACCACAGGAAACATATAATATAGAGGTATTATTAATAAATTATTTATTTATTAAACAATAAAAATATTTAATTATTATATTAGGTTATACGTTGTTTAATAAATTAGCTTTCAATTGATTGAGATTAGTCATACGGCCTCGGTGGTGATTCCTGTAATTCCTGTAATCCTGATTAACTCATTTTTTTATATTCTTATTTTTATTTTTATATTCCACTTATTCGTTTATTCAAGAGCGCTAACAGTAGGTAAAAAATAAGAGAAATATAATATACTAGTATAAGTAGAGTAATTTTTTATTAAGCTAAGTATACCTAGGTCTATTAAAGGTTCTTATAAAAAATATGATGAAAATGTACAGTCTATAGACCTCTGTACAATTGGTTATTCTTCATGTATACCTACATATATTGAGTAGACTCTCACATAAAGTAATAATTTATCTACTGACCTTATACTTTTTGCTGAAGTAAATAACACAGAGGGATGATAACATATATATATGTACATATATATATCTATACATATAAATAAAATTGGAGTGTCTGTTTGTAATATTGAAATGACAGTTTTTTACTACATGCATATGAATATAAATTTTTTTCTGTCTGTCTGTTTGTTCTGGCTAATCTCTTCTTCTTGATTTTGACGGGACTATTTTTGGCAGGTAGCTAATGTAGGTAATAAGGAGTACTTAGGCTACTTTTGTTTTAGAAATATAAAGTTAAATTCTACGCGGACGAAGTCGCGAGTACACTAGTTTCAAAATAAAACGTATGTACCTATTATACATATTTATGTACATTAATTTTCAATAACACTACTTATATACCTACTTAATACCAGGGGGTAAGATTATAAACATGGCCTCCATCCACCTCATTCGAGTTGACATTGCAGCATAATCCCTATGTTTTGAGGAATTAACGCTTCGATTGGTAAACACATCTAAATGTTTCTAGGTTATAATATGAAGCCCTGTGCAAAATATAATGTACACTAATATTATAAAGCTGAATAACTATTCAGTTTGTTTAGTTGACTCGATAATCTCACGAATCTGCTAATTAGAATCTCCGAATTCTATCGGTGTTGAATATATTACTTATCGAAAAACAAGACCAATAGCAGTGATAGTTTATCAACAAAAAGTATTACATAAACGGGTAAAATTTGTTCCCTTTGAGAGTTTCCTCTATGTTACACAGGCTAAGGTCAGCTAGTGTTTAAATTACATATACGGCAGTTTTAGTGTTTATAATGTATACAAAAAGGTATTACTTATAAAAGACCCAACCTTATAAAAACCTACCTACAAGTAAATTGAAATAAGTTATCATCTTGTAAAACAAAGTAATAATAGATTTATTACATTTTGAATTCTTTTTGTGACTTTTTATTGTGACTTTTCCTTTTTGCTCGGTTCCCATGGGAGTGATGTTTAATAGGCCTACATCCTTCCTCAATAATTGCGTTATCAAATGCAAAAAGCTTTTTAATATATGAGATCCAGAGGTTAGCGCCATGAAATAATCAAACAAATTGTTTAGTTTTATGATTTGAATGAAGAAGAGGTATAAATTGAATTAATTTCTGCCTACTCCAATAGGAAACAAGCGTGACTATATGTGCCTAAGCGCGTACAGATATATGAAGAAACCGACGGGACAGCTAAAAAGAACAGAGCAATTTTCGAAAGAAATTAATCATAGCTCCCTACACCAACTCTAGTTTTGAAATTCACGAGACCAATAATGAAAATGAATACTTTCATTGGCTTCTTGGAAACGGTTTCGTTTATTAACTCGTGGACTGCGCTGCCTGTCTAAATTCTACGTGGCATAGATAGATGGAAATTACACGTAAATACCTATTATGTTCATTGCCGTATCCACACGCTGACTAATAGTGATGCCATTTGATAACACACTTCTGGTAACAGTGACTACTAACAGGTATACTACTCAGATTCTAATATCGTTTACCAAGAACTAAAATGTTATTTGTTTCGATTATATTTGGAACATTAGCTATCCAAGTAACAATAATTTTCTTAGAAATTGGGGCATCTACGTTTCTACCTTCTCTTAATTTATTTGAAAGTATTATTTTTAAAATTAATACAAATAAAGGTAACCAAGTACATAAACGTTTCGGTTGCATATTAGAGGATAACTAATAGAGGTAGATACTCTTTGATACTTTTAAGTATATTATATATTGTAATTATAATGTATCTTGTAAAATATTAGTACGTAATTAAAATACAAGTTTATAATTCGTTTCGGAATCAGACCACAAGGAAACTTAAACGATAAGTCAGTAAATAAATTACTCTAGTCAAAATAATTACCAGGAACTACACCGGAAATGTTACGAATGCATTACTGTACCTTCTTACTTTCATTGATTCTTTATTTGGACATATATATTTATTCCCTTGTTTGGTATACCTATGCTTAAGTAGATTTTAAATCCTTGAACTTTAGACCAGAGTTACAAACGGTGTTAGTTACTATATCTAAGACTATTAAACTGGTGGAAATGATTCTACGTAATGGAAACTAGTAGCCGCATTGTTAACAATGTACTCTGTTAGATTAACCTTCCCGTTGTTAGATCTGTTCCCTCTGGTAACCGGTATTTAATTCGTAATAAATTTGCCACTACGACCTAATTAATAGCAACTGTTCATGGCACCAGAGGTATATGTTATTATTATCTAAAAAGATACTATTAAATTTAAGTCCAATGAATAAATTGAAATACTAAAACGTCATTTTTGAATTTATTGCATGATCTACTAAAAATATTTCATGTTGGTCTGATCGTTTCTAAATATGCGAATTTAAGTGAATGTGGATATTAAAGCTACATGTTTTCATTTACCGATGTTCAAGTTTTATGACTGTCAGCTGCTGAAAGTGGCGTCGTAAAATGCCTCAGGATCCATTAGTTCCATTAAAACTGCATAGGTAGCGAATTGAAACGCATAGGTTGCTATTGAATGACCGGTGGATTAACCTTTAAATGTTATAGACTAACATTTACAATTAATAGAAATCTCTAAATAATTAATAATACACTGTTAAGGAATATGCTATCTTATTTTAATAAATAAATTTATTAAATTAAATTAAACGGCTCTAACATTTTTTTTTCGGACTACTCTAATGCTGTTGGCCGCAGCTGGCCTTTACAGCTTCACCAGACGATAGGGGGCGAGTGCAGATAGCACTCCAAAACCGCGGAAGAACTTATGGAGCGGCTAAAGGCCAACTCTCGCCTGACGGATACGACTTTAGTCTGAAGGCACCACTAGGGGTTCGAACCTCGGCTCAGGCCGTCGTAATATCGATCCCTTTTGAATTGGACGGGGGATCGATCGGACAACTGAAGTTGGGCATACATACTAATAATAATACAGGACGATATCGGAAACAAAAGACAAGACTTTCATCAGTACTTGGTAAATATGACCCGAATAATTTCGAGAATTAAAAAAGTAAAGCAATAATAAAAATAAATTACATTTATTCAATATCAGTATGTACTAGTTTGAAGAACACTATTTATTATCTCCATACCTAGTAATATGTCGCAATCACAGAAATGAAGTCCCGAGAACAGCTAATATAGTTTTCTATCAATTTACTAACAACGTACTTGAATTACATATGATAGATATACTTTTTTCAATCATTATAATATGTTGGGCCATTTGGTCGTTTAAATAATACAATATTTTAAATTATAATGGCGTAGCAATATTTTTTTATGGAATTCTAACGGCCCACCTACTAATTAACGTAAATATATTAATTCTGATTAAAATTAAAGACGGAGGATGAAGTAGAATACCACTACAGTATCAAGGATAATTAGCTCATGTTACGAACGACACACATTTTATTTCAATTTCCTTGAAAACCTTAGATACACAAACTCGTAAAAGTTAGGTGCTATTTCGACAAGGGGAATTCAAGTGGGTTGGACCATAACTAGGAATTGTTGGGGATCAGAATAATTTTCTTTTAAGTTCCTAGGAGTATACTTTTACCTACCACTAAAATCCTTTTTGCTTGATTATTTTTTTGTAGTTTTATTATTGTCGTAGCACGAAATTACTTTCTTAGCTTAATATTATTATATTGAGGTACGAAACAGATAAAACTAATATGGCCATATCGTGCACTTTGTTACTATTGCGATTGCTAGCAATGTACCATGACAGGTTATCTTCCACGCGGTGGCCCCTAGAAACCATCGTAATAAATTCGTGGTGAATTTACTGACCTGACCTCATGCTCATCTTAGCACAGACGGGAAAACCAAACCATTATCATTCATAAAAAATAAGATTACTTACCATTTCATTAAATTTCGTTTAGTATCTACAATGGACAAAACATATCCATATGGCAAGCTTACTACTTTCTCACCTACGCTATTTAATGTATATTTAGATTTAATAAAGATTTTTATTATGAACTGAGAGTGTAGATAATAGTCTCACTCATCAAATAATATGACGACTATATACCTACTTTAAAAATATATACCATATAAGAGATGTTTATCTATATATTTATGATATGAATCACCGTTACAATTATTTAAAAAATATATTCCTCAGGATTTTAAATTTAGAATTTTTACTTAATTTTAGACTCGTGTTTGATTCGATATTGTATTGAATGTAGGTAATATTTGAAATCTTAAAATATTTTATAAGCAACGTTGTTCCTTCTTATAATAAATGCAGGTGATAGTAGGTATATATTTACAGACACACACTCGTATTGAGATAAAAGCCGAACCAATACTCAATTAGGATTACTCTTGCCTGGTTCATTATGTTCGTTCCATTTCTATTATTGTTTATTGCTGATATACCTAGATTGCCCCAAAAATAAGCATAAGTACGGTCCTAAGCCAATTACGTCTAACAACTCGACAAAATTTTTGCAAATTCGACGGTCCATATACAAGTCTCCGCAAATATATCTAGACAGCACATCTAGCTGTAAGGGCGGGACGGCGCGGCGGAGAGGTGGAGAGTATAACTAAAGGGTACTAGTGACTACACTGTTTTTAATGTACCATTTCAGATATTTGTGGTTCCCTCCTGTAAACCATTGTGGTCAATCCCTGGATTCGTCGACTAAAAACATTTCAATTATTTATTGAATTCAAATGTAGAATAGTTTATATTTTAAATATATTCAAACCAGTTCGTCACATGAGATTGGCAAAAAAATATATATAGATAAATCAGCTACAAATATTGCAATGATACAGATAGTCCATTTACAGTTCTTTTTCTTTTATTTCAGCATATATTTGTCCACTGCTGGACGTATGCCTTTTGCATAATTTTAAACTTCAATCTGTCTGTGGCGTGTCTTGTCCAGGTCGGTCCTGCCGTCTTCCCGATATCTTTAGACCATCTGGCAGTTGGTCTCTTTTCTATTCTCGTTGGTTGATTGGTCCATTTACAGTAGTAGGTATATATTTACAAAAAATATATAACTATTTATATCCGTTGTCTAGTAGCCATGACATAAGCTTACCGTATGACTATATGGTGCTGTGTTAATTGTCCACGGTTATTTATTTAATGTCAAGCAAGCTGACGGTAACCTGATGGTAAGCAGTTTTGCGTCGTTTATATGAATACATACAGCACTACATCATGTGATACTCATGCGTTGCCACTTCAGAAGACTCAGTTGTCAAGCCTCTTATCCTATAATTTCACTGTCTTGCCCTCCACTGTCAACCTACAACTGAAACAAATATTACAAAGCAAGTTGCTTCGCGGATGAAATAGGTGAGGCTGAGGTAGGTATTCGTACTCGCGCAGACGACTTTTCATATTCTACCTCTGATAACATCGTTACATAATTAAGGCCAATTAACTAGTGGGTATTATAAAATAAAAGTAATATAAAAACTTAAAATATATTTAATAAAATAATGCTAAATTCGTAATAACTTTACATATATAATAACAATTATAGGTAAAATACACATCTTCGTAGCGAAAAATTTGAATAGAATCATAAACCTTGAAAATTGAGCGATTGAAACCTAATATTGAGCCAACGACATGACATTGAAATCATGGTCAAGAAATTTGCTAGTCAATATATAGACTACAGGGTCAGTCATAAGGTATATACATATATTATACCCCACAGTATTAATAAAACTAATGTATCTAAAGACGTAAAGTGGACAATTGAAAATATTAAAAATTAGGTGGACCCATGCAAATTCGTCTTAATCACATTTTCCCCGTTTTTGTAATATTTGGACTACCGCTTTGCTATTGTTTATAGCATATATAGGCTGGGCTATCCAACAGAATCAAAATCGGATCAGTAGTATCGAAGATTATTCGGAACATCCAAACTCACAAAATTTACCTCTTTATAATATTAGTATACAATCAATAAATGCGGTCTTATCGGCAATTTAGCACTAATGTTCAATTATGAAATTAATTCCATTTCTTAATAATAATGGTTCAGATTATTGTTTAACCCTAAATAAATATTTAAACCCTGAAGAAATGTTGTACATACAAATTTATATTTTACAAATTATCTCACAGCTACAATACTGTGACATCTTGGCGACAGCACTGGATCAAATAATTTGACCAGAAAAACTTTATCAAAACCACTCTCGTATAAGTACAAAATTCTATCTAATAATATTACACTTTCTATCACCTGTGCTAAACACAACCTTAACAAATAGAACAACACAACTTTTTCCCATAGAGAATCCAAATTTTCTTCAATATCAGTTAAATGACACTCGGGTAGAATATCAAACAGCTTTATCTTTAATACAGAATCAGCTATTTTGATGTATTCTCTGAAATCGTTATATTTATTCGGAGTAATGCGTTTCAATTTGCCATCCGGCAGTGGGACGTTGGGTAAATACTTCTTAATTACTACCTGTAACAAAATAATATTGAGTAAGTAATGAATCAAGTCCAGGGTAACTATGTAATTATATTCGACGTCAGATGAGAAATAGTTCTAGCAACACCATCCGGAATTACAGTCGCGGATGTATATTTTAATAATATGGGGATAGTAGTAAAGATATACTAAACCGAAAGCCCGAGTACGATACGATACTCATGAAACCAATGAACTAATTTCACCAAGGAATAAAGTAGTCATAGGGAATAAAATCTTAAACTTGAGCTCAGATATGACGGCTGACCAAGATTACTGGAAAAGGGAAATAGTACATATTCGCGCATCTAAAATAACGGGATAAGGATCTTTATATCATAATCATTGCCTTGCAATGATGATGATAATAGAAATATCAAACAGTGGATCAAAATGATTGAAAACAGTATGAAAAAAAATTAACTATTGATATACTGGAGCTGTGGCGTGATAAACTATAGTTATATTTCACCAGATTCGGTGAAAAGCATCAATGACGTAGCATCAAATTCAAAATTAATTATTACCGGGAAATACAAATTGCGACTCGATAGCCTATCTTATATACATTTTCATTATTATTCACATAGAAAATAGGTGTTTGTAACAGTTTCTAAGAATTGGATCATTAAATTTGTAGGGCTTAGCATGCAATAGTATGAGTCATAGGAAGACTTTCTTGATGTCTATAATGAACGAATTAAAAAAGGCAAAGTTTTAGTTTTTTTATTACAATAATGTCATTGTTTACATAATTATTAGTAAGTCCAGCTTCGTTCGGATGTTCTCTTCAATTTCACTTATTTTAGTCGTTAAACAGTCTTCTTTTTAAGCTACGTTCAGTAGGTGTTTAAATACATTAGCGACGGTTACCATTTAACATTAGGTGGACCGCAAGCATGCATGCCATACCAGTTATATAAAAAAGACAATAGATTTTACCAACTATACTGTGGGTTTATTAATTTTTAATTTAATTGTTCTTGTTTTTTTATAATACAAAATTATAACGTATTTACCTCTAATAAAGCTCTATACAGCAAACTCTTGGATGGCAACTGCCTCTGATATACAACCCTGTCTATGGATTGGGCGGCTAGCATCCTTGCGTTGCGACCAAGATTGTAATCTGCGAGATAAAATATAACACTGTTATTTGCCTAACAAACGCTGATATCTGCGCAGAATCTGTCCACTTTTCATCTTCAGGAACACAAATATAATCACAAAAAATATCTGGGTTGATAGAATGTTTTCACAAAGTCATTTAGATAGAACCAAAGTAATCACAAAGTAAAGATTTCTAACCTCTCCCTAGGAATGGAAATTAAATACAAGATATAGACGCGGTTTCTTACCCGGAGAAAAACCAGAACACTACTAATAAACAAAAATCAAATCGGAATTATAAAAAGTTTTATAATTCCGATTTTCAACATTTATAATTATTAAAGAATGGTGTTGGCAAACTGGTAATTTAACATGGTAATGGACCATTACTTGCCAAAATACGCCAATAAATACATCATATGTGAGAAACTAAAAAACTGATATACGAACTTCTCAAATGCTGCGACATAGGAAACCCCTGTCCTACATCATGTCCTAGACCGTAGTCTCTCTGGAAGATGTCAAACAGGCCCGAATCGACTCGCTCAGTGAGGAGGTGGTAACAGCAGGGTACATTGAAGATAGTGCTAATGGAGTCTTGAGATGTGAAGATACGCAGAGAATCTGGACCCAAATTCCCACATGTGTGTAGACCTGTTATATTATCCATATATATATTTATTAAACTCGAAAAATAAATAAAAGTATATAAATTTTAGTACAGTATGGACCCATGGTTGTTGTTTTTATCATAAAAGTACTTATAGCCCTATGAAATAAATACTAACTATACTGAGTATTATATGGGTAATTGTGTGTGATTAAATTAATAATGTATGAGATATACTTCTTAGATTTCATATTTATTGTAGTTCAGAATACTGAGGATAATTCTTTCTATTTCTCTTCAAAATATTAACATAATTAACATGTTATTGTAAAAATATTTGAATTAGAATATGAAGAAACTGTATATTACCTGTTAGTAGTAACTTAGTGTCACTACCGGCGAATTCTGGAAACTTCTCATAAACTACAGTTTTAAGGTCAGTGTGCTTGGTGATATAGGCGCTTGCAAATCTATGCAGATTCTTGTTGATACTCTCCGATATGCATTCCTCATTGCCATCCTTTATCCTTTTAGCTATAGCATGCCATTGTTTCTATGGTTATCAAATTTATATATTACATATGAATATGAGTCAAGCATATATAAACATGGGACTTATTTTTTACACATACAGAAAGTATAAGCAAAATTACATGTCACTGTCCTTAGAAATTTCGATTCCATTAACAAAAATCTTTGTATCCACATACATACATACACTCTCACTGTTTTTTTATGATTAACTGCACTGATTCTTATAAAACATACACCTGTTTTTAAGAATGTCACCAATTGAATGTGATACCAGTGGTCTTCATAATTAACTTTTCATAGTGACAAGGAAAACAAAATGTTTACAATAAACCCATGCAAGAAAAGGAAATCACGAAATAAGATGAACCTATCCAAATCGGTTTGAACATCTATGAATTATTGAGATCTATGAATCAAACATTCAGGTGTAGAAACTTACACATTCATAACAGTAATATGTTTAGTATCGACCCTATATAACACAAGTTATGACTACTTACATCCTACATACGCCTACACTACAAATATTTGTTTTAAAACAAAGCCATTATTACGCCTCTGGATGACTGGCATAATTAAAGATTACGGCAACGAATTTATATAAGTGAATAATGATTTACATAAAAGTTACACCTGAAATTAATATTAGGTTTGTTTCAGGTATAGTTGTTTTAACAGACTTCATAGACACGTTTTTCGATACGATTGTCTTTTGGGTACGTTTCGAGATATATGCACTATTTTTATTACATTATTATTAATGTTATATACATAATAGTCCAATACTATTTATATCACGATTAAGGCCAGCTTTTGTAGTACAAAATCTTTTTCAAAACTATTTTTTGTGCAAATAACTTGTCAAAAATTGGAGTTTCAAAGAATGTAGTAGTAGTCAAGAATAACTTCATTCTGGTGGACTAAAATGTGATATGCCTTATTTTGTAATTACATTGCCTAATCACACCCTTTGACTGAAAAACAGCTGGCAGCTGATATAGGTGAACTAAGGTAACTATTTTTACTACCTCTGGTTCAAATTTGTGCTGACAAATCAATACGAAAATGTTATATCTGTTAATATTACTACAAAAGAGACGTGACCATATAATACACATACATTCCTATGTAATAGAATGGTTAATGGAGAATGGGATTGTTAGAAATATGGATTAAAAATACCATTGCTATCAATGTACTATGGCAGGTTGACCTCCATGCGGTTCCCTCTGGTAACACCGTGATAAATTCCTAGTGAATATGCTACTATGGGCTAACAGACCTCATACTTATCTTATCATCTTCCACTAGTGACTCGCCAGCGTATACAGGTAGCACAGAGATGTATACTATTCCTTTAGTATCTATTAAAAATATATACATACATAAATAATATACATACTTACATACATAATTATACCTGTATAATTTTGATTCTTTCGGTCGCTGTCTGTAATGTTTTGACGTCGCAATCGATGGTAAGGCTAGGTACACCATACCCGAGGCTCAGTGCTACAGGCAAGTGTCCTCGACCGCCGCCCGCCTCGACACAGCAATTTGATGAACTGACGCTGCACAACGATGCCACAAGGCGAGACATTGTTTGTACCTACAAGCACTGCATATTAAATACATTTTTTTTATATAATTGGACTGGCAAAGAGTCTAAAGGTAACCATCGCCTGTGCACATGAATAGCACTATATACATAACTTTAACTTTACTGCCTTATCTCACCCTTAACCAAGAACACAGTTTATAAAACAGCAGACATACTAAATACATTTTTTCCATAAATATATTCTATGTATATATATGCACTGTGAAATATCTATACATCATCATCATTACATAGTATAAAATAAAGTCGTTGCCACTGACTGTCCACTTGGAGAAATATGGTAACTAACATTGTGACACAAAAATTTTATTATAAGATATATGCTGGTTTCTCTAAATAAATACTAATTTAGACACAATATATAATAGAAAACACCTGGATGTATTCTATATATGTGCATAACTATAAAAAGAGCTATTTTGCTAGACCACAAATGATATCAATATTTTAAACGTTATCAATCATACCTCATAACTTTTCTTGCCACTCATAAACTCTTTGACTTTAATTTCTGGCTTAACTTCACCTCCCCAGTTCTTGATACGGTCCTGCAGTTGCTCAACTGTTAGGCAATAATCATTGTTAATGGTGATGCAGTGTGAACGCGCCTTGTTGATCCAGTCACCGAGTTTAGTTTTGTCTAAAACATAAATAAAATTATGATATTGTTTTAAGTAATTTACTTAATATATTTTAAAAAACTGCATCATACTCATGATATACATGTATTTCTGAATTACATAGAGTGCTACTTGTTGAGACTGGTCAGCCCTGATCACTATAACTAATTGATTTTCCATAAAAATCAATCTTAATTACTCTTATTAGGTTACTCAATCAACTGTATATGTCATAATATTTTGACTCTAATTGACTCATGTAATTTGGGAGTTTGTGAAGTTACAATATTTCGTTAAAAGTTGGTTTGGAGAAAGATCAACACAAAAGTTTCTTTATATTTTTTTTTTGTGCTGTGACAGTTTTCTAAATGACTGGTAGATTAAAAAAAACTATGGCTATTTAAAAATGTTTAAACAATTTTTATATTTCTATTTCTGTATCTGTGTATTAGTTTCATTATGAAATATTGACATGCAATCAACATAGATTGCTATGGTGATTGCATTACTAAAATTTATAATATTTTTTTTGAGTTAATCTATTTTGACTCTTATTTTTTATAATATTAACCTAGACAATACAAAAGATACAACAAACCTTTATTGTTGAAATCTGTTGCAATGTTCCAAAACTTATCAACTGTTGTTGTAAAACCCCAATTTGCCATTGCCTCTCTCAAGCCATTAGGGACAAGTGACTCCCAATGATTTTGAGTAAAGAATTCTACCATATGACAGTTAGCTAGTGGCAGCAGGGGATTTAGGAATGTAGTAATGGAGTCTAAATTATGACGTAACTTGTGTACAGTGGACTCCATTGTTGTAGTCTTGCAACCTGTAACAATGAATTTAGTAATACTTTTTTTATGGCAATAATTAAATTTACATACAGACAACTGGTCAGGTTTTAGCATGATAATACCATTTCACCTACAGCTAATAATAATAATCAAAGAAATTATATTATTATATAATGATAATGGGATGGTAAGATGAACATGACGAGGAAGGAGGAGGAACAGACCAGTTAACCGATCATATGAAATTAAAATGGGGCTTTCAGTCCATATTACTAACAATCCGCTTTCCCCCCTAAATTACTTTATTAATTTTGCATTAATGCCATATGGTTCTTTGAGATCGATAGGGTAAACAGCTTTTTATGTTATTAGCAAAGTAAAATTTTCCTTTTAAAAGTTTTCAGTAAGTATTAATTTATAATATAAATACATATATTAACTTACCAAAATTTTCAGAAGGAAACTCCTGCATCATATGGATTTGTTGATGATATTTTCAATTGAGCGCAAGCTTTTTTATATTGTGCCCTTATGTTTTCTGCCATGCCCAGTATATCATGTTCTTCCGAGTTTGTATGTGGAAATGTTTCAATCAAATCTTTTACTTTTATTAGAGTATTTAGCACTTTCTCTGAATATTTTACATCAGATTTTTCATTAGCATTTAGATAATATATTACAACACCTAAATAATATCCTGAAAAAATAATTGGACTGCTTTAAAGTAAGTTCTATTAATTATAATATTAATTTGCACCTATAGCAAATATTATTAGTTGTGAACATACCAACATATAGTAATATTACAGATATCAAATCAATATAAAGTTTTTAATATTTAATTATTTACCGATTAATATATAATGCTTTAGTCACTATCAGATTATTAGCCATATTAATTGTTTGTCTGACTGTTATATTTTCTATGACTATATTATATTAGGATTGTTTATAATACAAACAATCCTAATGGTCATGAATACTGTATAATGTATCTATTCTATGGAAATAGAATTTGCAAATATTGTGGTTGTTTGCTAAACTATTAGGCCACACAAATATTTCTAATAAATTTGAAGGTGGGATTGATAAATTCTCGGTGCCATTTAATTATGGGATTGACAGTTTAATAATAACATAATTAAATATTAATTACCAAGCTCACGGCCTAATTCAGCTCCTCTATGATATCCTAAATGATACCCCTCAGGGTTACCGGCTTCAACACCTGCTTTGTAACCTTCATTATAGCTTTCCTTGTGATATCTATCTTCACATAGGAAAATATCATCAACTATGTCATTGAAGTCTTTATTTTCAGCCATCTAATATTTAATTTAATTAAATGTTTTTAACTCAATATTTTTAATACATACAGCGCCAAAGTTGCAAAAAACACCGTTTGTATGTATTCGTACAATACGTTACGGAGAGTACTAGACTAAGTAATAAATATTCACAAAACGGTATTAACAACACTAAAACCTAGTAGTTATTTACTCAGTAATAATATATTTGTGATTTTTCCAGCAATATTTATTTGTATTATTGACTACACTTACACATTGAACAGGAAAAAATACAGAAATAAGGTTAGATTTTAGGTTATTTGTTATTATGTCAAATGTCGATCAAAACTGTCAATTGGAATCGTCGTCAAAAAGTAGTGTTTTGTTTCCGGTTATCTCAAATAATATTAATTTCACATTAGCTGTCACTTGCAAATAAAGGCATGTTATGTAGTAATTTGTCATACCACAAACTAGAATTGCTTTCCAGCACTGAACAAATAAGCGTTACGTTTCATATTCTAGTTAAATTACGATTGATAGACTTTGAACGGACTGAATACTCATGCTTTCATAATTTATTTTCGAACGATGTATCCAGAGACTTAAAAAAAGGCCATTGGCATAATTCATCATGGTCACATTACTCACCTGATTTTGACAGATTCATTGACACTGAATTACTTTGACATTTTTTTTCTAATATACCCAAACTGAATATTTATTTCTTGTTATTCAGTGAAATATCGAAATTTTTTAATATTGTAATTATGACGCGACAAATTTCTTTTGACGAAGTAAAGAAACATAATAATAAAGACAGCGTGTGGATAGTAATTCATAATGATGTATACGATGTGACTAGTTATTTGGAAGAAGTGAGTAAAGTAGTTAAATAGGATAACTATTTAACTACAAAATACAATATATTAGTTAATATTTATGTTACAAAAAATAGACACCGTTCTACATTAAATAATAATAGTTAATACTATGTACGTTTTTTTTTAAATATAAATACTAGTAGTTATCAATTATGGTCTACTTTATATCAATACATATATTCATGGCCTCACACTAGATGTGTCAAAGGACATGACTGAGCGACAATGGTACAGAGACGAGTTGTTAAAGTCGTATTTTGTTTTTAATGTCATTAGTACGACTATACATATATTTTGTATGTATGTAATTATGTATGTATTAAAAAAATATTTAGGTGTTTAGAATCAATTAGTTACCTCAGATCTATAGAACACACGTTTAGTTCTAAGAAGGTATTAAACAATCTGACAAACAGAAACATTTTTGTGTTCATAATATTAGTATAGATATACAATAGTTATAAATTTATTAGTTATCAATGGTAGGTCCTTTTTATGTCCCACTTTTGTTTTAGCACCCTGGTGGTGAAGAGGCACTGTTGGATGTGGCTGGAAAGGATGGCACACAGGCCTTTGAAGATGTCGGTCACAGTGAGGATGCCCGGTTTGTTTATTTTGTTTCCATAAGTTTAACTTGTCACATTTTTATTTATATACTAAAGTATATTTTTAAAACCATTATAATATTTATGTTCAATTCTGTAATACAACTGGCTCAAATTTAAAGTAAACACAAACAAGCTGAGGGCTTATTGTAGGTGGGTACCATCCTCTATTGTATACTCCACATAAACACCACAACATCACATTATGTTGTGATTATTACATTAATTATAAATGAGATGTAACATGCATAAATCTAAATAAAGTTGTTTTATTTTGAAACAGTTCTTATATTGTATTAAGTCTATAGTAGTAGTATAGTACTAGTAGTATAGGTCATTTAATCAAATGTAATATAGAAAAAAAATCCCAAAGTTTTAATTTGTTATTTGTTGTATATCTATTGGCAAACTAAGTTAATTATCACTATATATAATATTGAATGTACAGTTATATTCCAATAAAGATTATTTGATTTATTTCAGAACTGTTATGAAGAAGTTCAAAATTGGAACTCTTCCTCCCTCAGAGCAAAGTGGATCTTCAAATGTTACCAATTGGTATGTATTATTACAATCTAATGTAGATCTATTCTATCTATCATATTGTACATCTTTAGCTAATCTGGAATTGGTGAGAAGTAGTGACGTAAGTATGAAGCTCATTACCTCATTGGATAGGGCCCACCTTTTATTTCACAAAGCTTCACATTAAATTTATTAAATACATTTTTATATTATGTTATAAATGTTACTATCTTCCCGTGCTAATGGCATCTGGAACTACTCAGGAGCTCCTTGGAGCCTGGATCCCTTGGTATTGTATCTGCTCTGCCATCCTGTTGTTACGCCAATGGAATATATATTTTATTATTATATTGTATTATAAGAGATATCATTATGAGATAAGAGCATTCATAATAAACTTATTTGCAATCATAAGTAGGTAATGTTTCTAATTTATATTTTGTTCACAGTTGTAAAGAAATAAAAAAGAAGTTACCAAGGTTATTGTGCATTCTATATTTTATCATAGCAAATTAGTGTCAGCTTAAATATTTTATTTCGTTAATAATATCTGGTGTAATTTTGAGAACTTAATAGTTATTAGTATACCTAGAGTATCTTTAATTTCAAACTAATAAATATTCTGTGTCTCTCCAGTTCGGATAAGACTCCTGTGTGCAAGAGCTGTTCAGCCACGAGGTTATTATTATTGCGTAAAAAATATTGTTTAATATTTTTTTCTTACAAGGCAATAACATTTTTCTATATTTATTTAGTTGTCCACGTTTACCGAAAAATGAGTCCACAGAAAAAACTTGGCGAACATATGATGGATCCACTGGCAGGTCCGATGCGTATACATTTTCAGTTCGTTTTTTCACGATAATTCGTTTAACATGTAAACCTTCCTCTTGAATCACTCTGCCTATTGCTGAACTCCTGCTGATCTGACTCCATATTAAAATTTGTTGCCTAGTATAAAAAGATCTAAGCAAACATAGCATAGACGTAGCAACTTTGTAACAACAATTGCTTACTGCGTATTGTGGTTAATCGATATTTTTATTAGGTGCCTGCCACTGTGTGGGTTTTTATTCTCAATATGTTTATTTGTAGTAGTCATGCTTCACTACCGAAGTCTCAATACAAAGAGCCTGAAAGTCTAAAAACAGAGAGAAGATTACAGTCAATTGTCGTCCCACGTGAAAGGTTCATTTCATTCAACATTTTTTTTTCTTTCTTTCATTAATTGATTACATTTATGTTTTTCAAATATATAATTAGTAGATTTAGTGGAATACTGTATTTTATTTGCTTTACAGTACTTGCATTATAGTCACAAATATATCTAAAATAAATAATTAAATACATTTGTTTGCTACTACATGTAAACACCCGGAACAATACAGACCATGATATTCATGAATACAAATGTTTCTATTGTACGAAAATGTAACCCACGACCATCGGAAGTAAGTGGATCTGCTAAACCGCTAGACCACCAAGTTCGTCATTAGTATTAATTATTTAACATAGTCTTATTTTTTGTTACATAGGAGGAGACCACGAGTACTACCGTGCGAAAGGTTTAATTTTAAAATCACAATGTAGAAAACATATGTAGTATTTGTGAATAGTTGGAGAGTATATTAATATTGTAATTGTTTATTTTTAAAGGGGACAGGGGCAGAGGCGTTCGTCATCCTCCTCTCCAGGGTACTAGTTTCGCTATTTCTTGTACTTAGATAATTTCTCTAAAGCTGCTAATTTATTCAGAATACGGGTGCACAAAAATATATTTAATGTAACGAAATGCCGTGGAGTCATTGGGCCCGTGGAGCCCGGAAGCGAAATAGTTTTGGACATGTATTTCAGCGCGGCTCATCTAGGTTACTAGTGACACGAGAGCTGGCAGCTACTTTGCCGAAAGGTTATGTATGGCCATTCAAAGAGGAAGAGCCATCGCTGCCAGTATCTTGGGTAAGCTGTCTCGATGTGCCGTGTTGGATTACAATGTTTTGTTTTTGATAAGGTTTATATATTTGTTACATATCTTAAATTTGATACTTGTATTATGTTGAATAATGTAGGTAGTAGTAAATATGTAGTGCAAAATGGTTATGATAGTGTACCTAATTGAATTATTGTATTATAAAATATTTGACCAAACGATTTATAAAGTGTGTTAAGGCTCTATTTTATTATTTATTTATTAAGTTACATAGTGACTTTAATTGCAGCTATGTAAAATGTAGAATGTACATTTTATTACTTGTCACTTTGATTATATATGTAGATAGTTACTTAAGTAAATAAAGCCGTATGTACTCAGTATTTTTATGTACAGTTTAAAAGTGGATCATGCAGATAGAGACAAATGATACAGTTATCAATAAATATAATTGTTTAAATAATGTCTTTAATAATGGTGCAAATTAAATTAAACAATAATTATAAAACTTACAAATAATCAAAATTAATAATGATCCATTTTTAGTACGACTTTATATAATTTTTACACTAATATAAATTTTTGTTTCAGCTCCAATCTAAAGTGGGCGATCGTAGCTTTGGCTGGCGCTATCGTTGTAGGCATTGTTATCAAAAAGTATTTGAGTTAATGAAGATTGAAGATTGAAGCGATGAAATAAGATCGAGTCAGCAATAAAACTGGTTACTGGTGACCGGTATATAATAAGTAGTTGTAAGCCAATTGATGTCTGTATCCACTTGTAACCAAATAATATTCGAATATTTATGTACTGTGAATATTCCTGCTATATTTCGTGAAATATGGATAGTGCATTTCGAAATGAACAGATGATTTATATTTTTTTTATTACAAATGTTAACTACTTATATTTACAATAAGGGGATTGCTTGACTGTAGGTACAACAACATTATTATTGTGATATAGATTAATTGTACGAAGTTGTGCTATGAAATAAACTAAAATTTTGTTTTGTATTCCGTCACATCTTTACATATCGCTCAAATGAATATAAAATTGTTTTTAGTACCTATTTATTTTTATCGTTACAATGTGTGTCCATCCACGGATGTACCGTATAGGTACTCGGTGCTGTTTTATAATATTTTGTTATGTAAGTACTTAGATCTTTTTAAATCTATCGTAGACAATATTTATTTTATTTACTAAAATGGATGTACAATGTCTTGAGACAATAAAAAATACTAGTTGAATATCATTTTTTTCAGTCATCTTTATATTCTGCATGAACCATCCCATGACTTCGAATATGCGCCTTGAGGTACCAATTAGAACATTATAATGTTTGTTTACCATCGCGTGGTTTTTTTGTAATTAATAATCCCATATTATCTGGATTCCCATTCCGGTAGAAGAACCATTCCCTACTTTTTATGTAACTTATCGCAAAGAATTTTTGATTGTAGGTGGTAGCGGTCGCCTATATACATATACAAGAGATAAACGTCATCACGCGAAGGCCGTGGTATCACTCATGCGTTGTTATTACGGGGGCTTAATTCACCCTTCAACGAAACACAGTTAGAAATTAAGTTGCTTAGCGTTTGAAATAGGCGATTGTATTGGACAATCAGACTTGGTAGAGTACCTATCGTTTAGTGTAATAAAATATGAAATATTTCTATATTGAGATATCTTTAATGTTAAATCTACTGTATAAGCAAGAACAGTAATACAAAAAGTATAAGAAATCCCAAAAAAGTAGGATTGCATGCGTTAGACGATGCATAAGGTCCCATTTTTGATGCATATAATACAGCATAGTAAACATAATGCTGTTCATGTATATTGTGGAATAAATGGGAATGAGGACCTGTGAACAAAATAAAAATAATATATTGAATGAGACACCCAAGCAGTAAGGGGGTAACTTAAATAACGTGACGCCATTTTCACATTAGCCACCAACTCTCGGTATATTTCATTATAGTATGCTAAAACTTTACAACCATTTTTCAGATTAAAAATACGAGATCAAGATGTCTCCATTTGGTATATTTAAATCCTTAAAATATCGTAATTAATTTATACCGATCAGTATTTAAGAAATTAAGTAATAGGTGCTTAAGTTTACTGTGAACAATGAATCGTAAATTTTATTTATGTTTTTGGAATGGCAAAAGTCTAACTCTGGGAAAATCTTACAATATTATGGTAGAAACGTTGTAAATATATGAAATAGTTTGTCAATTTTTATCTTGAAAAAAGGAAATTAAAATGAATTTAGTAATAGCTTAGGTTACCTTTAGCATAAATTATGACGTCACCGCCACCATGACTGTTTTCATCTAAAACAATGCCAGCATTTTGCTTATAGTAAACATTATTAGTCTGTTCCAGGCTAGGGTCTTGCCTTACCACTGTCGTCTGGTTCTTATCATTTTTGTCGACATAATATTTGAACGAACTGGGTCCTCCAGTACTATACGATAGGGTGGTGTAATTGATACCATCGTGGGGCGAAGTACCAGCTATTCCTAAAAATAAATAAATTTCACTTCTAAGTTTTACTTTCTTATTAATGGCAGCCATCTATATTCGATAAACGAATGGCTGAAGTTTCACTACGTGATGATTATCTATTCAAAATCTTCTGCTTACAATTATTAAATTGACGGCTTCGTTGTTCTAGTGGTTTAGCGGATCGATTATCACATAGTATTTAATATATTTATATAGTTACCGAATATGTTAGACCCTCTATTCGGATATCCGTTGATGTTCAACGTGTGAGTGTGGTCGCTGGTTACGATCAATAGCGTATCTTTCTCATCAGTCATGGCAACTGCGACCCTGACAGCCTCCTCCATGGCGGCAGATTCCTCTATTGCTACTTTCGCTCGTCCACGGTGATGAGCCATATCTATATTTCCACCTTCCACCTGCATTTAGTAGTGTATAGGTAAACCATATCTACCTATTAAGATTGTATTCTAACCTTAATTTAGATTAAAACAAGTATAAATTGTGTGCGTCTAATATAATGTCGTTAGCAATTGTAGATAGTCCTATTTCTTTTGAATTTATACTTTATATAAAAAAAATGTTATTGAGTATTTTGAGTGGGTAGGTACTTACTGAATATATTTTTTTTTTCAAATGTAAAAGTTGTATCTAACTGTCGCAGTTAGTGGAATAAAATGCGAAATTATACAATTTGAAATGGTTTGATCTAATTTTATATAATAAGTAAGTAGGTACTCGTAATTAAGATTTATATTATCAGAATATGTAAACATGATGTACACCGTTTCAGTAATAGTGACTAACCATAAGAAAGAATCCCTCTTCATTTTTCTTCAAAACATTAATCGCTGCTATTACCATATCTGATATTGATGGCATTCCAGCGGGTCCTGAGTTCCGTTCATATTCATAATCTAAATGGCTATCAGAGAAGATCCCTGGAACATAATAATGATTTGTAGCATCTATAATCGTGATTACGTTTATTAAAATATTTGAACTAGGAGGTAGCAATCTAATACCTAAAAAAATAATTACCTAGAAGATAATCAGTTTCATTCGCATTAAAACTTTGTAATTCTGTCAAATTGGATACATATGCATATTTTTGGCCCCGCATTTCTTTATTTTTCTTATATTTGTCTATTAGATTTAATCCATCTTGCCTTACACAAACCCATTTATTTCTGGGAATATCTGTAGTTGTAGATTCATTAGGAGTTTCAGTTTTGTTGGATACTAAAGACAGTCGTCCTCCTCCTAAGATCACCTGGAATATAAGTCGATACTCAATTCTTAGACAGCCTATACTTGATACTGTTGTCGTTATCACAGCTGCTTGTGTCACGTGTAATATGGTGCCCAACGTTTATTTTGATTGGTAGCAATTTTGATAAGATAATCATTACACGGGGCCAAAAAAATAAAAAAGTGTCCGATGTTTATATGTTTTAGGAGATTGACAAGTTATAAAACACTGTCAAATTACATTTAGAATAGCGTCGACTACAGAACAAAGAAGTACATCTTTGTTCTGTTAAGTCGACTGTAGAATTGAAATTTATTTTTAGCAAGTCAATTCGTAAATAATATTGTCTCTCGAAGAATACTAACATTGAGATCTCTTCCAGGCCAGTCCTCTATAAGCTGACGACCGAGATCTTTACACTTCGCCGCTGTTGGTGGAATATTCGCGTCGCATTCCCAAGTACGGTCTGCGCTGTAGCCGTATAGGGGACTGGGGGTTGCGTGGGTCACACGCATGGTCGTTACGAAACCTAATAAGTCAAGTACGAAGAATGTAAATCACAAATATATATAAATACGAAGTTAGTTAGGCTGAGGCTTATGAAGCCTAAGCGTCTGTTGAACACTGGATGTTAGACGTTAGCTTCACGAATACAGAATCAAGGGTTGGTGAAAACCAATTGGAAATTGCTACGTTTACTACCAGAAATTCATTTAAATAAAAAAATAAACTGACATCATATTGGAATGAATATAGTAGCATCGGAGCTACAGTAGATAGATCAAAAGATTAAGGTATTAATTTTCTGTTCATTCACTCATTGTGATTTCACTATTCTCTTGATCCTTCAAACTTGTCAGTAAGTTTCCTAATGTGCATGCCGTATTTGGATACAATACTTACATCAAAAATGTAATCGATTAGATGATGTACTGTGACTACGGTAGGTATGTTTGATAATAAATTTCTTGTGGTTTAAGATGTCACTTCAGGTTAGTCATTATAAACTGGGTTATTGAACAATAATAGATACTAGTATATATATATATATATATTAGTAGACGATAACAGATATGTAGTTCTGTAGAATATTAATATCGTTATTACCTGCACTTTTCCCCGATTCGAGCGCGATAGCTGCTATTGATTTCAGTCTGACTTCAGGCTCTAATGACCTTAGACAGTCTTTACGCTTCACGCTGGCGTCTACTCCTACAGTATCCGAGTTGACCTTCATCCCACATAACAGGGCTGTTGCAGTACAAGCTGAATCTGGCACCATTTTGTCAGCTGCATAGGTCTGCCGGTATGATTAGAACATATATGACAACATATGAGTGATTTACCACGGGCGTCAAATGATAATATGATATCTGTGGTGCTGTCGTGATAGTTACACTTGTGTAACAGATGGACTGTCGATGAATTCAGTTGAAGTGAGTGTTCAATCTATCTACTGAAAATGTTAAACGTTTATTTATTTGTCCTACGCCCCAAATTGGAGCCATAAATATATTAACCAATAGGTTACCTCAATCTCCGTAAAATTTGGAATTCGTGTAGTATTTGGCATGGCAAAAGAAACAAAATACTTTTTTTTATCTTAGAAAGTATTTCGGAAACTTGTGAACTAAAAAATGTCCCGATGTTTATCGAGTTTGGTAGAAACGTACGAATTTAGAATTCTTCAAATATGTAGACGAACTGTTGCCTTGATCAAACTAAAAATTATATTCTCATAAATACTCCTTGGAAAAACTTCAATTTCACGAATAGTACAGGTTGCGATGGATTTTAAATTGACTATCCATACCTAGGAATATACTTACTTTCAATAAGCCTACATGCGGGAATAATTCGTAAGTTAATCTATGACTTTCGCCACCTTTATATATCCTTGTTGCTGTCACTGTGTTAGGTCCCATCCCATCTCCAATAAATATGATAATATTTTTCGCTCTTCCTTGGTTCCATTTGACTCCTAGAGCTTCCTTCAGCTCCTTTTTAGCTAAATCCTTCCAGTATTGCTGATCTAAACAAATTAAATGATTTTATTAAACTGTAGACTTGATAGTCGTCAATCCATAGAAAACTCAATTCAGTTAAATAATTTATTGCACATTAGTAAGGTACGACTTTATATGAGTATATGGTTTGCATGGATATCTATTTATTTCTGTCATCAAGCAGCTAGCTTTTTAAGCTATTCCGCTTTGAAATTATAAGATATGCCCCAGTAGCATATAATTTATCTGTTATGATACCTTAAGGTAAGGTCTATTCCATTCGTGACAACTTTGGCTCCACTTTCTCTGTACTTGATAATTAAAAAAATCTTATTCCATATATACCAGCTCATTAAAACTTAATAATGAAACAAAATATTGTACTTATCTATATAGGTAACAGTTGATTTCATACTTAAGATTTTGCTCGGTATCTCACTGTCATTAAATAAACGAATATCCGCTCGTATGTTATCTTGCGTAGCGTGTTATTTTACTTCGCTTAATATATATCTAAGTACACATAAAACCTTAAAACACAAAATCTTAAATTTGAAATCGGTCAGTAGAACTATTTTATGGACTGACCAGTTCTTATAGAGCACTGCACTGTAACGAGAAGCCACCAAATAAATATAATAGACCGCATGGCGAATACTGGACGACCACGTGATTCTTCAATGACGGTCGTAATACAATAGAGCTATAACGGTACTAAGTTTAGGGTTGCCTGCTATTACATTTACGTTTTTTTATATCCTATAGAAAAAGAGTATATTGTTGTATCTCGGGCACAGATGAACGCATATTACTTAGCAGGTAAGGGCAGGTTACAAGGTGTTATATCCTACGTACTCCTCCATTTAGCCTACTTTTCAAAGATTTTTCAGTAGCTACATTTAAATATTATCCAAGGTATTATTTTATGCAAAGTAAAAAAATGTGTTCATCTTTATGAAAATTGACCTCAATCCTTAAAGATCTAGGTTACCAACGTCAAAAAAAGCCGCGTGTAAAATACTTTTCAATTTTTAGAAACAATTAAGATATCAGTGACATTAGATTATTATACTTGCAAATTGTGTTACAGTATTATATTATAAAAATATAAGACTGTAATAATATTATAATATAAAACTTGATGAGTATACAGTTTGTATTGTTTGTATTGTATAAATCAAATTTATAGTTTCACACACAACGCAGATACAGAGTCTTAAAAGCTTCATAATCGAGGAAGTATAAGGCTACATATTATGGAGACATACTAATAATGTATTTTTTATTTGTGTATTATAAATTAAAATATATAATTATCTTTACGACATAATATCTAATAATAAACATACACTAATGTGATAACCCTATTTAGTTATCAACGGATGTAATCGTACGTTAAGCATAATTATTATGGGTGTCATCAATTTCATTCAAAAGACTTGCTTGAATTCGAATTTATTCGAGTCACTAAATTAATGTCAGCTTAATTTTTTTATGGAAGCAGTATCACTACGTTACTATATCTATACTTAGGTATATATACGCCCGTTTAATGTAATTTGCGCTGTGTTTGCAATTTGGCGTTCTCCTGCTTAGCTCTCCATAACTCCTGTCAATGGTCAAAAGTCTTCTAGTATAGGTGTTTGATATTATTAGGTAAATCAATATAAATAACTCAGAACACCAATAAGTAACCCTGGAGCTTGTGTTATGGGTACTAGACAACTGATATAAATACTTAGATATATATATTTTTAAATACATCCATAATATACATAGATGACACCCAGACCGATGCAAACAACCATACTCTTAAATACAAATGTTTGCACCGAGCGAGGAACAAAACCTGTGACCATCCGAAGTAAAGCGGTGTGCTAGACCGCTAGACCACCGCGGCTGTCATATATGCCAGTAGGACGACGCTTTTTATTTATATGAATGAGACTATGATTGAATTTGGTGACTGGTTGAAGGACTGATAGTATAGTATAGAAATTGGCTCTAATGTAAGTAGAAGTACGCATCGGAGGAACTTGTTACGTTTAACGTAGTCCCGTTTTAAAAACATCATGTTTAATTTTTGGCGAATTCGTCACGGTGGTTTAACTGTTTTGGATTCATTTCTCATGCTATTATCATTTACTAGAGTCCCGACAGCATACACCGTTAGCGCAGGAAGGAGTAAATATCAATAAAATTGTTTAATGGAACTGAATTGTAAAAAGTCCTCCGCATGGAAAACCTCAGGCTCACCTGCTTCACCGCCAAGTACTTCCTATGTAAAATGTGTTACGGTTGAAGGGTGACATAATGCAAATAAATTACAGGATAAGCAGGCGTGACATCTTAGTCCCGCGGAATGGTAACGAATGTGTGGTACAGACGGTTACGACTTACCATTAGTTGGACCGTAAGCTTGTTCGCCATTCCGGTTAAATAAACTGGAAGAAAAAGAACAGTTACAAGTATCATTTGAACCAGAAATCTTAATTCTAAAAATATATTTATACTCTCTATCTTTAATAATAATACAATACCGTATAATACATAATAGTCCAGCAGTACTAGGCGGTGGAGTTGTCCTGAGGAATGGCTACGCATGATGACCTGATGTCCCTGGTATGTCTATAGGCAACTGTTTGCCATTCCAAATATCTCATTCATAATTTAAGAGCCACACTCTTGTCGGTGTCCTACCTACAATATATAATATATACCTACATATATATGTAATAAATACCTAAATTTCAATATTTATTTATAGAAAAAATTACTGCATTTATTATTCTGCTTAATAGTTCTTTGAAATTCTTATAATAAAGAAGTATATCAAATCATATTTGTACTTATTACACTAAATTCTGACGCATTAAAGTACTTAATATGTATATATGTGTAGGTACTTACTTTAAACACAGGGATGAAGGCAGAGGGGGAGGCTTTTATTAACGCACATCAACCTGTAACGACTACTTTGATGCTTGCTTTGCCTACGTTTACGAGCAGAAATGAAACACTAAATTTCAATGACGTATATTTCACTTGGTGTAGGGAATATCCTGACCTTTTATTTGGGTTTTTTATTGTATGCCCATTTACATACTTGCCAACAACAAAGGTTGGCAAGTTTTACTTTATATAGAGTCGTAAATAGAGAAGAGGAGAGTCCAAGAAGAGACCCAGGATACTATTGAAATTGAACCATATTCACCAAAAAACAGAAGGAAATAATTTTTTAATGAATATGTTTACTAAAATATAACGAACTGATCAATCGAGTATAAAATATAAAAGGTTTAATTTGAAACTTTTTTCTAATTTGTGGTATAAGTAGTTCAATTTTATTATTATCATACCTGCTTCTGTATTAATTTATTTTTATGCTTATTCTTATCCTGGCCCTTTACGCTTATCCTGTAATATAATAAATGGAATTGGATTACTGGATTTATATTATTATTTATGATCAATCTGATGGAAAATATAATAAGTAGCAGCACATTACTAAATATGTTGTAAATACACCATCATTTGTTACTTCTTTTATTTTCCCATTCCCATTACTTTCAGAGCCATTGTATCTCATATTTTCAAGAAAACAACTTCGATCGATCAAGAATTGTCGAAAAAGTCAAATATGTCAGATGACTGTTTTGACCCTCATCACAAACAGGCGGCTGAAATCTAATAACTAAAAATGATGATAATAACTAACGAGCATGACTTGATATAAATATCCTCCTCTGTAGAGGGGAGGGGTTATTAGTAATGGGAACGAATGGTCTTTTGTTAGCAATTTACTGTCAAGTTGACTTTCATGCGATCTCTCCCAGATGAAACTATTGTTTTTAATTCATGGTGAATATGCAACAATAAGTCTAGAATTAGGATGAAGTCTACGTAACTGACCTGACTTCATTATCATTCTATTATCTTCCAGGACATACCTACTGTTACCGCAGGCGAGAGCATCATTAGATAATCATTTATTAAAAATAATGCCTAGAGTTATTAGTACCTGAATTAATGCGATGAACTTAGTGTGTACTAATGTACCTGACTAATTGATGTAATGAATGTTATAATTACAACATATAAATAGAATATATTCATTAAACACGAGGAGCAGGAGAGGTTCGTGTTCGGAATGTTATCGATCGGTGTTCACATCCATTCTGCGCAAGATCGGTGCAGCCTCCTGTGTTAAGGCACCGACTGACATTAACGTAACCTGGGTAAATTTATATTTGTATAAAGAAGATGTTAATATGAAAATAACACAAAGTTACGAATCCGTAATATTGGTATATTAATCCCTTACCCTTTAGTTGATCGTCGATTTTATTGTGTTCAAATAGGTATGGTAATGTAATTAAAGTAGTTGAAAATACAGTAATTGATGTAAGTATATTTTGCTTGGAAGAATCTTAACATAATTTTAAAAAAATTAGGGAACGATAGTATTAATGTCTGAAATAAAATATCTCCATCAATATTGTTTGTTGAATAAAAAAATCTAAACAATAAATATTAAATATTGTTTATATAGAATAAAAATTTGCTGCCCGCTATTCTGGTGCGAAAAGAGATCACTTATGGCATTAACTTTAAACAGTGATAGGTGTTGTCTTGTCTTGTCTTTATACAGTAATTACATTTAAGTCTTTGAAATGACAAATAAGCAGACACATCATCTCGGACCCTGACGTCAAGTGGTAACCGCTAATAAGAAATTGCATTAACGCTATCTGGTATTTTATTAACATTTATCAGAAAGTAGTAAACCACTATACTCGATGTTTAGTGATTACTTTGAGTAATATATAAATATGTAAAACAACATGTTCCTAACTATAAGTTACATTACACAAAATTTGTAATAGAACGCCTGACTATGTAGATGCGATCGCCGCCTTAACACTCTTATGACTTCAATCAAAGTTGCTCTTGCAAACTGAAGTTGTCTCTTCTACCATTGTTATACTACTAAGTCCTACTAAAATGATTTCCAAGAGCAGTACGTAGTCACAGGTGGAAAGCGGAGGCAAGTGTTGTGTACTGAGTTGTTAACGTAATATGGTAAGTATTTTTTTATGTAGCTTTTTATTTTGATTGGGCGTGTGTTTTAAATATGTGCAATGAAATAGGAACATGAAAGAGTTTTAACATTTGTTAATTTATTGATGATTATAGTAAATATATGTGAGTTTTATTCATTCTTATTTCTATTATTTTTAGACCTCCATTATTTGATATAAGTATTAAGTAACTATAACTAAAATTTATAAGTGATTTATAATAAATAAAAAACGCTTTACAATTTTAATAAATATAATTATAAAGCATTGATTTATTCATTATAAAATATTTGTAAATTTTCTTGGTGTTTGAGGAATATTACACAAAATGGCTAACAGGAAAATTATGTTGGAAAATCGGATATACCTATAATAAATCAATATTAATATGTAGATACTACACGGTATTATGTATTATATATTAGGAATTTTTTTTTTTTATTTTCGTGATATGTTTTGAAATTTTGATTGATTTATTACAATTTTTTATGTGGATATAGTACAGAGATGGTTTCTTTTGTCCACCATTTTTTTTAATTCTAGGCAATGATAGATTATTACCTAGTTAATAATAGTATTTGTACCTATATTTAATTTAAGGCCAAAGCCCCAAAGTCGATAAAATCTACTTACTTCCAAAATCTTTTTTCTTTCAACTTCACCTTAATTTATATATAAGTATAGTTGTTATCTTATATTTAAATAATAGTTTGGAACAGCTTGCTTTAAAACTAAACAGTTTTAAAAAGCTACTTCTAGTTATACTAAAATTATTCACATATTTACTTAATGTTTTAAATTGCGTAAATAAATTTGTGATATTGATCCCAAATTTAAATATACCAAATTAATGTAACAGTGACCACTTGTTCCTCTTTACAGGCAAGGATGGAGTTGCCAGTTCTCGACAAGTTCTGCTTTATATTCGACCTGAAGACTGGATGCATTACGATGGGCATCATAAATTCCGTAAGGCTTATATTAATCTATCTAAGAGAATTATAAACAAGTTAACAGTTCTCTTGACGAAACATGGCAACCATTAAGGACTTGAACATCATCACGGAAAACACAAAATGTGACATACCATACTCTGTAATATCATTATGATATACATGATGATGCTTGCTCTTCAAACGAAACAATTCGCTCAACTTAAACCGATATAAATTCTCTCAACATTTATATCAGTTTAAATTCGTTTGCATTACATTGTCCCCGTTATAGCAACAATTTTCATTTCATCTACGTTCTTGTTAGTCGTAGCATGCCATATAATCTTACAGTCTTTCTGGATAAATGGCCTATGCTAAAAGAATCAAGATTTATTAAAATCGGATAAGTTTAACGGGATTTTACCTCGAACATCCAAAACATCTAAAGACTTACAGACTTTATCTCTTTATAATATAGATATAGAAGTAGGAGCATATAACACTGACAGTATGATGTATTTATTTCAGGTTCTAACGTTTACGTTGGCCATAATTCTGATCACCTTCGCTGTCGATATAAAAGGAGCTACGGAGGCGCAGTTGAAACGGGACGATGGCGACACCACCATGTCTTCCGTTGTGTACACCATTGTGGTTTTGCTTGTAATACTTCTCTTCATAAAGTTCGTGCTTGACCTTGTTTTTGTCTACGCCGTTTACAAGGTGTGTAGGTTTTTAATGTTATTTATATTGCAAGCTAATGATCTATCCAACGGTAATCTGCAGGGGGAAAAGGGGATTGCTAATATTATGGACTGATGACTGATAATGAATTGTAAATTTCTGATGAATTTGTCACGTTGGGCTAACTGACCTGACCTTTTTTACCTTCAACTGGTGCGACGCCAGCGCTAACTGTTAGCACAGGCGGATGCCATGGATTGCTTCCATTATTATCCAATAAAAATATGGACATCTTATGAGGACTAAATATTGAAAGGAATTTTACTGCTAAGTACTCCATCCTAATGAAACAAAGCAAGTTCTTTGACTGCTGAAGTAGATGTAACAGATATACCGACATTGTAATCGAATTTACGCTTGCAGAGTTAGTATTAAATAAAGATAAAAGTCACCCTGCTCCAGACTGTTTAGGACTAATAAAACCTATTACAGATATTTTACTAGACATTCTATAACCAGTGTTATAACCCTACAAAAGTTCCTATTAATTTTAAGTTATTATTATGAAAAAGGAGACCTATTAATGTCAGTTATTTAAAATTGTTTTCAATAATTCAATTACAGGAAAAATGTGGTCTTATGAAAAAATATTGCATCTTTTGGATCGTGTTTCTGGTACTGTTCATCATAGGATTCCTTAAAAGTCTGTTCCATATGGACGCTGGACATGTAATTGCTCAGATACTTTTCTTGGGTAAGTTATATAATATATGTTACCTATAAGTATAATTTAGATAATAATTAATGAAGTGATAACAAAGAATAATAACTGTTTTATACTTCTGTATCTATAAAGATGAAGTATTATAGTTAATTTTAAACTTTCGTGTTTCTTAATAATTTAAATAATGAAGTATTATGTCCTTACCTGACTATATGCGACCTTCTTCATATTCTAATTTTTGTTTGAAGTAACTGAAAAATGGTAAAACAAAATTGCATAGCTAAATACATACATGCTCGATAGTTAATATAAATGACTAATATATTACTATAATAATCTAAACTATCGAGCAGCCAAACGATTTCATTTTTATGACAGCTTGAATATTTTATAAAAATGTTATTCGAATGCTTTTTGTAAGCATCTTATTTAAATTTATCTTATTTAAATAAGTAAAAGCATCGTTACTTGCTCTATCGCGAATATCGATAAATTTGTATTTTATCCAAGTATTCTTCAATTTTTATTTTAAATGTGTATTAGATCAAAAAATTATTTAGTTGGCAATTTTTTTATTAAAATAACTATGAAATACGTTCTGTTTTGAGGATTTATTTAAGAATATTTTGCCATTTTGATTAGATCTTGTCCGGTAATGTTTATTGTTTTAGTTTAATTCCTCCTTATATTTTCAGCGGAAAACTTTTATTATATCGTCGTAATTCGGAGCTATTTGATTTCAATCAATGAAGACGGAGTTCTATAAAGCAGATCCGGTTTGTATACCTATATATTTATATATTTTTCAACAAAGTCAACTACAACTTGGACATATGATCTGGAAATAACATACAGAGTTGATTTTAGACTAGGGTGACAAGTCATGAAATGTATTTTTTATTTATTTAATTTTTTAAGTCTTTGTTGCGCCAGAAGTGTAACTCAAAGAAAACAATTCCACTTTATAAGAAGAAAAAGTAAACAAACTTCAGGCAACAAGATAAAACAAAACGTTGTAGATGGCGCCAGAAAAGGTAGAGAATAAAAATGTTAAAATAGAAGTATATATAAATACGTAACAATAATAATAAAAGTGCAACGTAACTATTTCATACGCATTGAATAATGGAACAAGTACCTAAAAGAAGTATGACAGTAGAAAAAAGAAATATACAAATGTGATAGTGGGATTTAAGTGTTCTAAATAATAATGGTGGAGGATGGCAGAAGAGAAAGCTTCATTGGAAAATGACGAAGTAGGAGAAGGTATTGTTCATGACCAGTCTTTCGTATTGCAAAAGCCACGTTTGTATTGAATACTTAGCATCGACAATCTTCATATAAAGCAACGAGAATTATAATTGTCAAGCTATGAATTAAAGGATTCATTAATTTATTGCAAATATACATTTTTTTAGTTTAGTGTCAATGGTAATTATGATAATTATATATGGTTTATATTTATATGTAATACAAACTGTTTTAAAGAAAGTCGTCCATGGTTGCGATCTATTTGTACTGGCTTTCTTCATATTCGGGTACTTATTAATTTTACATATTATAGTAATCGTTGTTTTGTCATATATTTAGCATTATAACCCGATAGGGATTGTTGATGTATAATTATGTTAGAGAGTGTTATAAGCGAATTCAATTCGGAAATTTATATTATTTATATTACAGTGGAATTTTATAATAAAAGTTGTTTTGTATAGAAAAAATATAAAGAAATGGTAATAGAAGGATTTTTCTGGCATGTAAGTATATAAGAATCGATGTAGGTTACCTGACAGTAGAAAAGAAAGACCTTGTTTATGCTATATTTACAGACACTTTTTCAGTAAGCGGTAAAGCTGGAAACCAATTGTATCATCATCTTAAAGTAAAAATATAAGCAAACGAACTTAATTGTATATTATCAACATCTAAGGGCATAAAATTCCAAATTTCTTCATCACACATATAAACATGTGTATCATGATGACATTCTATTGAGGAGAAATGCTTATGAGAAAATCATAATGTAAGTGTCTGTATGTATTGTGCTGTTTAGGTATTATTGTGTCTGCTAGGTCTGAAGGACCAATTGTTAATGATCATGAGCTTGTTTTATGAGACGATATGGTGTTAAGTGAATACAATCACCGATTAGATATTAATTTGGACCAGGATGACTACGACCTAATATGTTATTCTTATGCATATCTATTTTGAGGTAAGATTTACTTAAAGTTTTTGATTCGAGACCAAGACTATTGTTTCAGGTCTATTTATAGAATGATTGCTATTCATTTATTAATTATAGTAAATATATAAATATAGCTTAAAAATACTTGAACTCTGGTTGTGAATTCAAGAGTTTGTTTTAACACATGAAATTCGTTGTAAAAATGAACCCGGATATAAGAAAATAATTTATATTTTTTAATATATGAAATAAATTCCACTACAGCTCTGATTTTACATTATCCGAGCTGTTGAATGACAATAAAAATGAGAAATATACTCGATCCTTATTTAAAATGACAAATTAAATAATATTTATCACACTTATTGTTGTATATATATTTTATTTACATGAAATAATATATGAATATTTTATGCAAATATAGAAGGTAAGCTCTGTCAGAGTATTATTTCTGTTAAGAGTGTATATTTACATAATATGTATGTTCCGTTAAGTTATGAATTACTAGGAACGTTTAGAAAATTGAGAGTAGGCATTATATACTGAAGTTTTGATGGAACTACATAATATATAATATCTAACATTAAGTACCATTCAAATAAATTCTTTCATACTAGAAGATATGAAAGAATAAAATTGTGATCGTTTTTGTTATATTAAAGGCTTATAAAACGATAAAGACTTATAATAACACATTATAAATCAGTCTTGTTAATTTAATATGAATGAAGCAAATATTCTTAATTATTACATTATTTTAATAACGTTAAATTAGGATCTTGTCTTCCATTAACTAGATTTAGGTAAACATCATTGTTTCCTTTTTGCTGTCGTTTCATTAATGATCAATATTGAATAATTTATTAAATAGTAATGTATTTTTTTGTTATATCTGCTAGTTGGCCTATGTGGATATCATGTTATGTATAGTATATGTTAGTACCGTATGTATATAAGTTTAAAGCTGGTGTTTATGCCTAATAATACAGAAAGTTTACGCCTTAGACACTTTAGTGATCTAATAAATATAATAATCAATAGTGATTGAATGATATATTTATAATACTCATTCCACAAGTATATTTTGTTATTCAAAATACAGTGGTTTACAGTTAAGATTGAAGAGTAAAAAGGGGATAAGGATTTTAAAATTAAAAAGTTTGAATCGATATATCGCGTAATACAGACAAAAAAATAATTGGGTTTTCCAGGGTTTTTAAATGGACAGGTTTTGTTTGTATTTTTGTGAAAACTGAAAAGATTTTGATGGTTTACTCCCGTTATCAAGATTGGTCGTTGCCTTTTTGTGGAGCAAAATATGCTTCTACTTCTTCATATTGGGATGTATATTATTATTATTTGTATCATTCGAAAAGTCAATCATACAATATCTGCTTTAAATTTATTTATACAATGCTAAAAATATATATGTATTAAGTATAAATCATCGGTGTTAATAGAGCATTTACCACTTTCAAATCCAGCCAAATATTTGGTTTCTTGTCATAATTGAGATGATAGGTAACATTTTGAAATACTTGTTCTATTCTATTGACATATCAAAAGGCTGAGGCATAGTTGGCAAAATCTTTCAGAAACGGCTAAACATATTTATACTACTTATTTTGGATAATCTGCTTCTATTTCAATAAATAAGAAATGTTAAAACATACGTAAGCATCTATTTGCTAGATGTATAAAAATATTCAGAGAAATTTACTTCTACCACTTTATATGGATCTACCTACTTCTATAAAATATTTATATACGCTATGTGTGAAACTGAGCGATGTTTATATATAATAATATATTGTTATTAACTTGTATCCTCTATTGAATACCAACGAGCGTTGATTGCGGCGCTCTTTATTCTTGTTGTAAATGTATTCGATGTTTTATAGTGAGTATTTAATATATTGAACTGGTGGCCGATCGTTATAATATATATCATAAGAAAAATATGATACAGAATATGTTGGATACCTAGAGATGGTGATATTATTTATAAAGAGGAATAAGTTAATATTGCAATGCAATCGTGAATGCTTGCTTTACAGTTGTAATACTTTAAATCCAGCTCGACATTTATTTTCTATGTACTATCTACTCTACTTACTACTCTTTTTATTTTTTTTAACATAGCAACGGACGATGGAAATACTAATTCATCCCACAAATTAATTTTAACCAATTAATTGTTTTGTCATATTATTTTATTTTATTAATGTAGTTTGAAAAAAAAGGGTAACAATAAAAAAAGGAAAAAATTACTCTTCTATGATAGAGTTAGCAGTCTTAGTAGTAGATGAAGAGATCTTATGAGATACAATAAGTAGTCGTCTCTTGAGAATAAAATGTTCAGAATATAAAGATTGCCGGTTAGCGTCACGCAGGTCAGGTCACAAGGTGGCGCTTCCATCCTGTTCCTATAGGTTTAAATCACTGGCATTTTGCTATAATTTCTTGTATTCAATGTAATTTGTTTTTATTGTCTAAATTCGTATAATGAGACTGATAACACTTCAAGTGTAAGGGTTAAGCGATCGGCCACACAGTTTAATTTGTAAAGAAAAATATAGACGTATAAAGTTTGTAGGTACCAAATTAAAAGATCGACAATAATACGTCCTTCGCTTTAATTAGTTAATAGACTAATTGTGTCCAATGTACTGTACTATCAAAGAGAAGCAAATAGCTAGATATTGTTTAGATTGTATTTGTAAGTACAGTCATTTCTTTTAGTTACAACTATTTGTATGTGATGCGTCATAATATGCGTGCGTAATATTTTGCGTTAGGCATTGAAAATAATCATAAAGAGTAAGTCAATTGAACTGACAATAATACGAATGCTTTAATTTTACGTAAGGGATTTCTATGTTGTCACTTAATTTAATTAATTTATTATATTAACTTATTTAATTCAAAAAGATCAATTTTGCACTTATTAAACTGATCACTAATGGCTTAGAAGTATTAAATGTTGACGAGTAGGTATGTACTCTCTAACATTAGGTAACATGAATATATCAACAACGCATGTCAATGAACTACTAATTAATAACACATCTGTACTCAATCTAATTATAAATCACTCAACACAAACGAGTAAACTACATGAGAAGGTACCATTTAAAAGTTTGACTGTTTGAACATAAATAAAACGCTAATAAGTAGCAATGCAATTTAACAAAATAAAGAGAAAGTCTATGTTTGAAGACTTTGTGCCAAATTATCTGCGGGGTACCTTAATCTCACCTGTTTCAGCCGCCAAGCAAGCCTCCTTCGTTTCAGTGGGAGGGTGAACTATGGCAGAGAAATTATAAGATATGGAGAAATTATATCTTAGTATTGCGTAATGGTTATGCATGAGTGAGTCACATGATAGTGTTGTTCATGTATTCATCGTAAGTGGTAGCTACTGTTACCACTTACTTACTTAGAAAGGCCGTCAGTTAGTTTGCCATTTTAAGTACATAAAATAATTATGGGTATAAAACATTTTCAAACCAGTTTAATATTAAAAGAGGGTCAATTTGAATGATAATTTCCAATATCTGTCCGTTTGCTTCTCAACAAACGAAAATATGGGAGGATCCTTAAAAATATTATTCTTATCTCGGAACATATCGAACGAACAATATCTGTTGTATAAAACTTTTAAAGGGTTTTCTTATATTTTATTCTAAAGCCTCGATATTTATATAACTATTTACCTATCCTTTATAATGAATGTACTCATGTATACTTATTATTCTACTTATCCTAGTTATATGTTAGGAGTTTTATATGTATGTATTTAAATAAAGACTTATTCATATCGAGTATCATTAAAATTATATCATGTTCGACTTTAGGTAACATAAAAAAAATATTTTTTGTTGTGTGTGAACTGATACTATTACAAAAATAGTTCAGTTAATTATAATAATTTAACAAAACTTTTGTGATATTGTACATATATACTGTTCATAAAAATAATGATAAATAATTTTCATATATTTATTTTATATTAATATTAACTTTATAACTTGTATGATAATAATATTAAGTTTATCGACGTGAATGGGTCTTTATAAATTATTCTAAATGTCTGCACAAACTAATGATCAATTATAAATGCTTTAAATGTTGTAACAATTATTTATAATGTGAATTGAATTTAATTTTATAGAACTTTTGATGTCTGTGACTGTTGTACGACGCTTTGTTAAACGCATTGATATATACATTAAAAAGAAATAATTAAAAATGTTATAGTGAAATTATATATTTTATTTAGTAATCAACAAATGAGACGTTGGTTTTTAAATCCGTAATTTTAGTAGTGTCCACATATTTGTTTATTTGAATATAAATATTTGTCCGCTTGATAACCATTTTGCCACTACTCCCTATTACCACAGATAAATATTACATATTATTACTAACAATATATAAACAGATAGACGACTGATAAAAATGCAATAATCACTATATTTTTCCTAATTTAATTTCAACATGAATCTGTATTTTTCTAATCATCTCTTGAACAGAATAAGAGCCGAGTTTTCACTCCAAATTTACGCTAGATTTGACATATCATAAGAGTCTTGAATAGACTTTTATGAATAAAGATATTTTGATTTGACTCCAAATTAAAATACTATTAAGGATTTGCTAATTCACATATTGCAGTCACATGCGATTCATATTAGGCTGGTATAGATAAATTTTATAATGATGCACTTAACTGCGCTGACAGTATGCGCTAACAGGCCGATAGTGTAACATGATAGGATCACGATGAAGTTAGTTAACCAGCGGTTTACCACACTGTCTGTCATCCGTTGCTATTCCTTGCCAAATGGAAAAAAATATATTCGAGACCGAGAGTAAGTTTGTTTGTATTGGTTTAGGTGTTTTCTATGTCCATATATAGGACAAAAATGTATTTAAGTATTTTTTATTTGTTGCTTAGTTTCCATAGTACAAGCTCTACTTAGCTTAGAACTAGATGCCGCTATGTGAAATGCCAAGGGTTATTATTATTTATCATGATTGATATGTCCGAGACTGAAACTGCAGTCTCCCGCTTAGGTAGTTTATATTCTTATTAATGTTGCACACTTTTGCCAAGACAATATTTCCATAGAAATGAAGTGTTGTAGACTGTGATACTTACATTCATTTATCAAGACCTAGACCATATAGCAATGACCTATTATTTAGAAATAATTGATGAGTTTCCAAATTTAGTTTAATAATAAAAAACATATTCGTATTATATTTTTATAGTAATTAATAACATTAAATCACAGATAATTTACAAAAGCAGATATCTTAATATTAAGCTATATACAAAATGATACGAGAATATATATAATACTTCCAATATTATAATTATAAATAATGTACATGAGATTTCTTGTGTACTTGTTTAAAATATAAAGATATCTCTCATTACAAATATCAATGTTATGAACAATAATTATACCAACCTTGTATTTAAAAAACAGGTAAGTTTATTTTTAATTTATAGTTCTTTCATTTAACACAATTACGTGATTACTAATAGATATATTTTTTGTACATTTGTTTGTAATAGGAGTAGTAAGAAATACTTAACCGTTTTTTTAAAAATCCATCAGTCATAGATGGCATGACATTATTGTAGGCACACGTCTCTATATTTTAATTTCGTTAATAGATTTGATACATGCGAGCCTGTAATCCTGTTTTAAATAGGTAGATACAGAAGCACTATAGTCACTTCAATATTGTTCCTCAGAATGCTGTTTACTGAACAAATTCAATCAACAGAGCAACATTTTACATTATTTATTACCGATTTTTCAACACTAGTTCTCATATAGGTATTGCACTGTTGCTTTCCGTCAGTTTTATAGTCCTATATAATATATTCACCATCATTAAATAGTATATGGAATAAGCTGAAAAGAAAACAATACCAGAGCAAATAAAAGGAATTCATTATCATAATGGAGCAATACTAAAAATGGTGAGACGGGTTACAAAGGAAAGTTGAGAAAAATACTCACAAGCACATATTAATATTTTGAATACGCCACTATGTAAGTGGCGTATTTAAAATATAAATATGTATTTTGTTAATTATTTTATTGGAAGTCGTTAAAAAATGGCATAGTATAAAGGCTTTATTTAGTGTTGTCATTTGATTATCAACAATAGGTGGCGCTTCACAAATGTACACACATACGAACAAAGTTGGGTATCACTAGTGAATAATATCGCTATTGACACCGTAGCCTTATGGCCAGTATATAGATCTGTATCACAAATAATACGAGATTATGACAAAAAAAACTTACCAGCACCCGCGAACATCAATAACACAACTAGCGCTATATTTCCCGGCGAGTCCAGAAATTCACTCTTGTTCAATTCAGGACTAAAGAGGCAAGTGACAATGGCCACCAGAAACAAGCAAACGATGAATACTGAATTAAAGACCAAGGATAGTTGCAGATAGCCCGACCGCCTCTGAAATTTTACACAATCATAATTTTTAATAACAATTTTTGTACTAGTATCTCTGATTAAATAATTTATTGCTACATCATCATTAAGACCTTTATCCCATTTAATTGTGGTCGGCGCAGTATAACATTCTCTTCCACTGATCTCTATCGGTCGGCATACCTAAGCACTTTCTTACTTACTCTCCTTTTATTCATATGATCTTTCACACAATGAATCAATCTTTTTTAGAGCACCCTCTCTCTTTCCATTCATCCACATTCATCATAAGATAATGTCAATATTAGGTACGTTCAACGGAGCGAGCTAGACTTTTTACAATGCCTCTTTAGATTGATTTCAATCGCCGATCAGATAGTTTTGTAACATGTGTTTCAGCTCAAGGGTGACATAGAAAGGGTTGATGTTTTAGTCCTCCGGTATACAGGAGACGATCACGTGATGACGTCATGTAGTGACGGTTATTAAATTACTAGTAGACATCTTGTTTATTTCTACAAGAAAAAAAGAGCATCGTTTATTTAAATTTCGAATTATGATCGACACATACGTAATAATTAAAATAAATGCAACAGACAGCGTCGGCGACTATACTCTCATCGAAGTGTGGGCATGACAAGTGTTGCATTCATAATAATAATAGTAATTGTACTGCCATTATTGTTAACTGTCTTGCCAGTTAACAATGTTTCCAACTACTCCATTTGTGAATACATGTGATATGAGTATGGGTATATTATAAAAAAATAATTAAATAATAGTGAAATGAAAATGTCTACAATGTTTATTACTACTGGTGGTTTTCGACCACCATAAACCATAATAATAAATAAAAAAAGATCTTTGTACCAGCAATAACAATTAAACAAAAGATACAACGAGATATAAAAGTATATGCGTGTGTGTGTCAAACCATTACATGACAGCGTGCATAACATTTTTTTTTATTAAAGGTACTTTTTATTCTTAATTTAAAAAAAAATTGTTATTGAGTACCAAATATTGCACTCATAGTTTATATAGAGCTTCTTCTATATAAAAGTATAACTGTGCAAAATTTCATACTCTTCCATTCGCGCAATTTCCGTAAAAAGGGGTACAAAATTATTGCTTCATATTTCGTATTTATATTATGATACTATCATATACTGCCCAGATGAATTCGATGTGTTAGTTTGAATGTAATGTATCTGAAGCCCAAATTTCATTTGAATCTCTTCCAGTAGTTTCTGCCTAAACGGTTTACCAACGTATATCCCTAATAACCATTATAATATTAGTGGATTTAATGAAATACAATATGCAAAAACTGCGGAAGATGTATTTGAACAATTATGTATAGATGAGTTAAATGAATTACCTCACTAACATGGACTGTACGAGTACATTGTTCATAGCAATAGGTAGTAATTTAGATCACATTGTTTTATACACGACTATATCTGGTTACATATTAATATAATAGTCCGACAATAAGAATTATAATTGCTGTTTTCGAGGTGTTATACTGATTACTTGAGAATATTTTTGTAGAATGCGTAATTAAAAGCAAGATATTTATAGAATATATTTTGTAAAGGAGAGAAATTTTCTCAATATTGCAGTCAAACGAACTTAATATATATTAGAGCTGCAGCTAGCATAGGGAGAGGGGCTCAGGGCGGTGAAGTCAGATTTTTAGAGCGAGTAGCGACTTTTTTAAAGTTAATGCGTAATGTATTGTAACTTATACAATTTTCAGTGAGGGACAGATGCCTTCCTTGTCAAATATTTCTTCATACATTCGATCAGCCAAACGGGGAAGTTGGATATGTGAGATTCTTACTCACTGAAACTCCCTGGTGTTTGTCTTCGGGCTGTCAGAGGCCCAGTCCTGCCCATGTATGTACATGATTGTAAATAATATGTCAACTAATAAGAATATAAATAGATTACCACTTCAAAAAAAATGTTTTATCTCAAAACTTATAAACTAAAGGCTCTAAAAGTTCAGCAGCATAAATTTATAGCTTCATAACTCATAGTTAAAAAAAATACTACTTGTAATAGTAATGTACTTACCAAGCATACACCAAACCCAGCCACCAAGTTTGTAATGATGGACAGCGTGGAGAACATCACCATGCTCATGGATATGAGGTTGTCTTCAGGTTCCCTTACTTTGTTTCTTGGTAAATTCCATGCTCCCACTATTATGTTTGCCATACATGCCATCTGGAATTATTATAACGAAATATTTTAAGTAAATTAAAATAAAATTATCGTCAGTCGTCATTATTGACGGCCTCGGTGGTGCTGCGGTTTACCACATTGGCTTACATTCGATGGTCGCGAATGCAATTCGCACGATGCAAACATTTGTATTAATGAGTATGATTTTCTATATTTGTCTGGCTGTTTTCTATTTATTTTTTGTATGTTATGTTATGGTATGTTATAATTACTTTTGAATCCGACTTGGTATTTCCGACTTTTGAGGTGCACAAATTCATTGGAATCGGCGATGGTTCCCTATTATCTGTCAATATGCCGTACATTATAGCGTTACGTAGAATCTATAATATTTATTGACAGATAGAAACTTCTTTACCTATTACTGTTAAAATGTTATTGCGACATGAGCGTTTACATAATACTCTCGTAACTCTACCATCAAAATTTGAAGTAAATAAATAGGTAAATAAGTATAGATATCTCACGCATCTCCCTTTTCTCCTTTGTCATGTAGAGTATTCATATCTAAAGTGACCATAATTCGTAACATCTGTAGTTAATGTCGGTATCTGAGTAGATAGTAGTAATGAACACTTCCACTAAATTTTGTAAAAAAATTACTAGCCGACTTTTGAAAATAGAGTATTAATTTATTATGTTAGTAGAAAATTGCGAGGAAAGTGAGTCAATTTGTAGATTCAAAATAATCTAGTATCGATCACTAATTACCTCTTTAATTGCAATATGTGAAGTGAGACCGCCTCACGGAAACCCTTGTTAATATGAGGCAATTATACACTAAATCGAAACTCATTACGATAATTTCTATTGCTTTAATCGCCTATTTCCGGAGACTTAATCGAGGCCAATACTGTTTTGTTGTTGTAAATTGTAAACCTCAAAAAAAAGTGTTACAAAGTAAATTTATAGGTGATAAAGATACAAAGATTTTTGATTCTATATACGAATGGTCAACAACTATTACGTGTTTTGGAAGCTAGAAATTTGTTGATACTTATTATTTACTACTCAGCATATAATTCAGGCTTCTCGTAGATATCTATTATTTACGTTTGTACTTCTGCGGAACAGTAAACAATCATTCGAAATCATTAGTTCTCATTCAATATTATACTTGTTAGAGTTTGTAGGGTTTAAGGAGTTGAAAGATAGAGCGACTAAACAGTCGTGTTGAACTTTGTAAAGGTGCTGCTTTTATATCAAAAGAGAAAGACTCAAATAAAAAAAGATATATAGCGAAAATATATTGGAATAGGACGGCAGGGAAAAAATATAACAAAAAATTTTACGTTCAATAGCGGCTAAAATGTAAAATGAAATTTGATTTACATTTTGAAATACCAAACTTCGCCGTACAGAACCGCGTTTAAAATTTGTATATTATGGTGCTTTTAGAAACATGTTATCTAAATAAGGAGATAATTTAAAATGAATAAATATAGTAATAATATACTTACAATAGATATAGAGCACAGGATAAAGAATCCAGCTTCTACAGACAAACAGCCACAGAATCGTTTTGGCAGCGGCAATGGCATTTTGTATTTACTGAAAATAAAAAAAATGCAATTTATTAATTTTTCACAATAGCTACCCTACTACTTTATAAGAAGTAGTCTCCGTAGTTACCTATGTATTTCTATCTTACGAATTTGGTTTTGTAAGATGTATTTTGCTTGTAGGTTGAGATGCGCCATGTGAAATTACAGGATAAGAGGCATCATGACATCTTTGTTCTTCAGAATAATGAGTAGTATCACGTTTAATGTTAACGTGATGTCCATAGGTAACGTAACGTATTAGGTGAGATGTATTTATAACAGTTGTCTAGTAGGTACCTATAACACAAGTTCTTGCCTAGGTTGGGACTAGATGATGCTGTGTGAAATGTCCAGGGACATTATTATTATTTATTGTCTACAAATTATAATACTCCGTACAGCGTTCTAACAAACTAATACTAATGCAAGAGACGCCGTCGGATTCATCGCCTGCCATGCTAGATTTAAATCACCAAATGAAATGTGGTCATGTCATGTATTACATTAATTTCGTCATTGATAGTTGACAATGGTACTTCCTCTAACTCCCCCATCAAGGATAACAACAGTGAAGGTATATTTACTTTCCGTTACAGTGCTAGAATAACATTTAATTTACATAATACCACTTACATTTCTGGAATGTTCTATTTTACACTCAGAGTGATATTGTAGTGATGAGATCGTGACTAACATAAAATCACATTATCGTAAAACACGAAAGTAGGTATCAAAGTATTTGTCTTAGTAAGATTGAGTAAAAACATCGAGGTGTTTTCTTATAAGTTTATATTAAATGGCTTTTGTGTTGGCTTCGGTCCAAGGACAGTTCTTTGTCCTTTTGCTGATCAACTTTTATATTTTTGCGAGACTTTTGGCTTCATAAATATGATACTAACTTACTTAAATACTTATTTATTAGTTCAAGACATTCAATGTCTACGGTTTAATACAGACTTCTCTTCATAAGGACTCTTACGCTATAATAAAGAACAGTCTTTCAAGAATAGAATCTATGGATTCCCTTCAGTACATTGTCATTGATGTCATTGCTATATCCAACGTGGAGTGTAATTGTCGGTATAGAAAAATAAAAATAGTTACCTGGGTACTAAACAACTTTTACCTGCGCTCTCGTTTGATTTTTTTTAAATAATAGATAGCCTATCAAGACTTATCTTATTGCCTTTTATCACGAATTCGTGAAAAAGTAACAAATAGGCAGACAAATATTTATATTTATTTTAGTATACATAGACCGTACGGAAGTATGGATTATGATGACAAAAATACATATTACAGTTTTGAATGTTACCATAGCTAACACTTTAAGGTGGAAGTTCATAAATATATAATACTGGCTATATCCTCCGTCGTCGCTTGTGGTGATGTACGCACAGTACAAATCTGCTGAAGAGATTACATGTATGGGAATATTTTTTAGAAATCGGTTAAATAAATAGATTGTAAGTTTATCTATTATAAACAAACATAAAGAATGTAATAATTTCTTTATAATATTAGTATATATAACTATGGGAGTGACGTTAGCGTTATTTGAATGTAAGTATATGCGTCCAGTCTATTTCAGTCGCCAAGTCGGCGGCGAACCAATTCTCTAATATACTCGGTAGAATGTAGGGTGATAAAATATTCATATTAATACGGAAATTATTGGTGTGCAGTACCTACAGAAAGGAGGTCGAAATGCTTTTATGGATATTGGGTAGACGCCTCGGACAATACACGCATTTTTTTCTACACACTGTTTATAATAATACTCCTGCTTATATAATATACTTGCCTATTTTTATTATATTAAAATATAAACCAATTAATTAACAACAACAATAATATGATTATTCATCTGCCTATACGACAAGTATTTTTAGTACATAATAATTATTAATTAATTAATAGCATTACGTGTGTACAAGTCATTGACCTAATATGAATTTTTGTATCTAAGATTAGGTATTTAAGTTTTATAGTCATTACAGTTGGGGAAAAATTATAACAATATTATTAAATAAAAAAGCGGCGAAACCTGATAATGAATGACTTGACATTAAAAAGTGGATCTGAAGCATACTTTACGGCAATAATTTAGATGGGAATCTTGTGACAATTTTACAGACGAAACTTGTGTTTAATACCTACATGTTTAAAAACTTGATATGGCTACTCTAATGCGTTTTCAGTTATATAGGTATTTAATATTATGAATACCAAGCTTTGTTTGAGTTATACCTTTTCAATTACGGCTTTCCAAAGATGACTTTTACGGAATGGATATGGGCTAATTTTTATTAAAAAAAAACAAATGAAATCGGTTGTTTTTTCTAATAGTAATATTATTTGTCTGTCGGTGGTCATCGTAATGAAATTTCACGTAATGGTAGATTGTAGCACTAGAACAAACATAGGATATGTTTTATTTCAAATAATACTTCGTTTGTATTTATGTATTTTATTTTTTATTCATAGCATACTATAAAATAACAGTACTTATTAAATATATAATGAACAATGCTACTTACTGTTTTGTTCAATTTGGACAATCCAAATTAAAAACTTTTTCTTCTTAGAAGTACGGTGTAATCTTCATGGAAAATGAATATTTTTTTATTACACTATAGAATATTGTGTATGTTTATTGACATATTCCTTATATATATGACTATTATTATTGTTCTTTTAATGTAAATGCAATCATACTAAATGTAGTTTGACAATTATTCAGTAGAGTAGTAAATACTGTATTTATTCAACTGTTCTTCATAGACGTATATGAATTTACGTTCGTATGGTCGTTCGTACGTACGAATATATTCGTTCAAACATCCGTCGGTCTGTGTATCTATATTTACATTCAGTTTAATTATATCAAATTGGTTTACAAGCACTGGTCACTCTATTTCCGTCTGGGACACCAATCCATAACAATTAGGTAATGTAGATACCTAAATAAAATCACATACACTATAATTTACAAAACTATAATTGACTTTTAGCATATTAGACTTTTTAATAATCAAATAATTAATTAATGAAATTATTTGATATGTCACTTCAGATTTTTTTATTTTTGCCGATATAATAAAGTGTGGTAAACATTTTTCCGCGATTTGAAGACGGAAACCCTTTAGTATATAAAATGGACAGATCAGACAACGCATCTGTCGACGTTCTGTGATCAACTAGCGATGTGGCGCTTCCTACATCCGTCTGTTGATGAACGACCCTGGCCTTGTATTGTATCTACTCAAGCGCTGAAGCGCTATTTTCGATTAATTTATTAGGATTTTATAATTTATGTGAGTATATAAGAGCATGTAAAGTGTAATTATATTTTTATTAGAAAGAAAGTTTTCAGTACTTACTAGTACTAGGATTTGTCTTCTTCCATCTTTTTTTATTTAATCTTATCTTTTGTATACCCAGATATTATCCAATATCCCATATAAGGTAACCACCATCAATATTTCTTTTGTCATTGTTGCATAAGATGTAGATGAATAAGTCTCTGCTAAGTAGCAAAGTATAAGCCGTTTGGCGTAAACAATAGCAATATATTATTACCTTGTAGATAATGCCATTACTATACAGTACAGTTCCCTATTTCAGCTTGCTTTTTAAGCAGTACAATTACAGCTTAAAATTCCAATGATTTTTCTTTAATGAATGATAATGGAATCGTGCACCCGCCTGCGCTAACGGTTTATAATGGCGGGGCACCACTGGAGGTTGAAAGGATAAGCCTGAACTCAGGTTAGGTCAGTTAGCCCATAATAAATTTACTAACAAATTAAACAAACTGAATTAACGATATTAAACGATGTTAGTCGATTAAACAATAGTTTACAGGGGGAGGTTGACCTAACATATATATTAGGTATATAATAGTCTATATAGTCAGCAATGGAGTTACTATTTCCTATTACTTTTACTACAGATAACATAATCTTTTACTAACAATTCCTTCCCACATACTGTAATTAAGTTCTAAAGGACATAAAATCCAGGTTATAAAGACATGATAGTCCTCTGGAATGGTAACGTGGTCAGGGTGTCATATGACGACACTATATTGATACTTCTGTATTTGTATATAGGCAACAGATGCTAGTTTCCACAAGGGTGGGTTATTCCCTTATTTGTAATTTTAATTACAGAAAGAAAAATATGTAATAGAGTAAATTATTATAAAATTATATGTACTGATCATTTTTAATTTATCTAATGACCTGAATATAATCTCTTATCGCTTTTTGTCATAATTTATCTAGTTAAGTAGGTACTTTTTATACAAATGCTCTTAGGTTGATGCCATAAGAATGGTATCTTTTCCATGAAACACTTAAACGTAAAGTACGGATTAGAAAATTAAAACCTATAAACTAACTATTTAATGTGACAGACTGTCACATAATTTGTTTTACTTTCCTAAACAAAAGATTGACATAGTACACTTAAGGCTAAAATTTAGATAAATAAAAAATTTCACCAGAGATTTATGTTACCAATAGAACAAAAAAATTAAAAGGTCCATAACTCAATAACTTTACGACCTGTTCCTCTTAAGAGATTGAATTCAATTGAATTGGAGTTGGTAAACACGTGTTGACAATATAAAAAAAAAGGCGGGTTCCTTACACATTATAACTAACTGGTAATAAAAAAGTAACTGTCTAACAACTAATGCAGCGTGATATCATAAAAATTGGTAATACCAAGTTAGGTAAACTTGATAAAAAAAGGAACGTAGCACTTTTTTGTTACTTCTACGTAATAAAAAAAGTTAGCAGAATTATACTGTAGCGATAGAGATAAAAACATTTTGATGTGCATAATGCACTGTAAAGACCAAAAAAAATTAACTATAATGAAATGAATAATTTGACTTCTGCATGCATTTGTGCATTATTGTTTTTGTACTAATTTTTAGGTGATGTAACTCCATAATCATTTAGTTTTATATATTTCAAAGAGAATAACTAAATATGTAGTACAGTATGTTGTTTCATAAATTTTACGGTTCACCATAAAAATCAGAACAGCATAAAAACAGGGATCCATCTTTTGGGGTTCCTTAATAAAATTAATAAAATAATGCAGTTTCTTGCAATTTTACAAATTATTTACAAGCACCCATTCTCACTAATTTCTTAGTAGGATTTATTAGCATATTTTGATTGTGATTGAATTAGGTAGGTACATCTCTCCTAGAGTATTTTGCCATGTTATAATTAAAAGCCCTTGCCTCAATTCTTGGAAATAAGCAATGTTTTATAAGTTTCCATATTGTCATGGATTCATATAATTTTCAGGTTATTCTATGTAACTATATAACTGGAATATTATATATAAACTTTTTTTATTTCTAGGCAACTTGTACCTAATATTTCGCAGAGTGTAACTATTGCAATTCACAATTTGCAAATAAATTAGATATATAACACACTACATATAGTAAAAACACTAAACTAATTATTAGTTAAAAATGTTATATATTATTTGTACAGAACCTCGCTGTACAAGTCCGGCTCGTACGTGACCAGCTTTATTACAGTGCAGATGTTTACAATATGCTCCTAAAGACCACCTTTATCCTTCGTGACGCCACGCTGTTGAAACAAGAGACGTAGGCAAGGAACACACTGACCGACATGATTTCATATTCACTAGCTGCGCCCGCGACTTCTTTTGCTTCAAGTTCTGTTAAGACAAACTATTATGTCCATCCTCGTGAAGCATATAATGACAATTTTCATTAAAGAAAGTAGAAAATGTAATAAGAACAGGCAGAAATACAGACACATACTTTCATATGTATTTATTAATACGGATTGTGGAGTGATCACCTGTTGTTTAATTTTTTAATAAAATTACCTAACCTATACGTTCCTATTTGAAGTTCTTGTCATGGAGTTATGACGTTATTATTATGTGAGATTAGATAAGAATATATATGAGAACATATTCTCACATACTTTGATATTCGCTAAAAATAGAATACTTATACAATTACATTAAAGTGTTATGTAGTGGTATTCTGAATACACAGAGCACACAACAAGTAGGATACAAGTATGAATATGTAAAAGAAGGCACAAAAATTGATTCGTATACATACATTTCTTTAATTTTATCAGTTTGTGTTACTACACAAATTTACATTAATACATGCCATGACCTATTTATAGATATGTAACTATAGGTACTAGCATGCTTAGTAAATTAGAACTTTACTATATCACTACGAATATGGTACAATATGTTTCTCTAGCATAATATTTAATAGTAGCCATATAATTGGGAGTCGCACGTCTGCATTAACCCTAAAACTTCGAGTAGGAACACAACTTGTCACAAAAACTCGACCCTTGCATTACAAATGCTCCCAAGAATTAACTTTAGTCAAATCAGTCTATTAATTGCGAGTGTCACGTCCATACGTGGGCGATACGAAATACACCATCCACATATTATACTACAGACTTGGAAATCTTGAAATAAAGTTTACATAAATACAGTGTTAAATTAATAATGCAATTTGAATCGGAATCTGAATCCTGCAGTAGAAGATCAAATCGACTCCGATTATTGACTGAAATGAGCAAGATACATGAAGAAACCCAAGCTGATAATGAGCAAACAAATACAAGTGAATCCATACAGAACTTGATAGCACCGCTATTGAAACGTCTAGATAAATTGGAACAAAAACTATTACCTCCTGCCAATATGGAACAGGAACAAAATGAACCAGACTATCCACCTTTACAAAGTAACACCAAGAGAGAAATTGTGATATTAACAGTTAAGCCTACCTTTAACGGAATAGAAATGCATCCCATAAAGTTTCTAAAAGAGTTAGAGACTTATTTGAAACATATTAATGCGCCTAATGATCTGGTTGCTACTTTAGATTGTTTAGTAGAAGACGCTAAGGATTGGTCTGAAATGTTAGCCGACGAGTGGAATAATTATGAAGATTTCAAGAAAGATTTTATGGATAAATATTGGGGAAGAGAAATACAGAACAAAATTAAAAGGGCATTACAAGTAGGTCGATGGAATCCCCGTGGAAAGAAAACAATGTCAGACTATTTTTCATGGAAATATTGTGAAGCAAAGAGACTTACAAATTTTATTTATAATTGTAACAATAATATTACAGATGAAATTATGCAACATTTTCCTCAAGAAATCAAAAGTTTGTGGGCCGTTACTGACGCCAAAGGACCTGTGGCTGCATTACGTTTTTTAACAAAACTTGAATCTACCATTGAATGTAACGCTAGAACCAGATATTTCCATAAACCGGGTAAAACCAAGTGTAGAAACATTGCAATGGGAAATAAAAACATACATAGACAAACCATGGTTGCAGAATCAACATTTGTTGGAATTGAGACAGTTCCAACAAACGTTGGAATTGAGACAATTCCAAACAATTGCAGTATGAAATAATAATAATAAAATAGGATATATTCGTAATTATAGTTTAGAAATATTCGTTGATTATAATATTAATGTTGTGAATAATAACAATAATTTTTGCATCTATTAATTTGTGATAAAAAAAAGATACTTACATAATGTACATTTACGAAAAATGCGCAAACAATATTTTTCAATTAAAACAAATGCAGATTTTATTAAAATAAATTGTATTTCTTAGTAATAATAAATGACAATAAAATCAGTTTACTAGGAATATGATATACCTACACGTAATAATTTATATAAAATTAACTTATAAATAATACATTACTTTGTTAAATCAGTCGTCTTGAAATTTGAAATGAGAATCTTAAGTGTTTTTAATGTTCTAATGTGTTTACAATTAAACACACTTCCTAATTGCATATAAACGTATTTACTAATATTGATAGTACATTGATTTATGTTATCAAATAAATAACTTCATATTATTATTGCGTTTTAATTTACATTTTTTCTAATACAGTAGGTATATTGTTATTATATATATATTGGTATATTGTAGGTAGGGTTTTCAAAACATCTTTAATTTTTTTATTCTTATCGTAAATATTGTAATTTTAAACTGGAATGGTCTGTTTATTATTATAATGGATTAATTACGACATAATTTTCCTAAATTAGGAAAATACTTTCATTATACAGTATAAGTTTAGAAAATGTGTAATAAACATAAATAACATTAAAGAAATCATTAACATTTTATATTCATACCATCCACTACGATTAGGTATACGAGTACATATTATTTGTAAATGTATTCAATGTATGCAAAATATAAAATACAAATAAGGGTTGACAACTTACCTCATACGAAAAAATGATGTGTGATAAAACTTTGCACATTACGTCAATTCCACTCTCTACCTTTGTATGTAACTTTGATTTACTTAGCTCTATATACTTATGTAATATCTATTATAAATATGTGGATTATTACTTATTAATGCTGTTATTCTTTTCATATTTATACCAAATTTTATGCGAATAAATACATTTCATTTCATAGTATTTTGAACGATTTTCGTAGTTTAAAATCTCGTACAAACTTATACGAGGGCAACTATTTCCTCATAACCAATGAAAACAAAATATCGTACTTGTACCAAGTTTCTCGTATAGTTGGCATCCCTGATTTAAACCTATCGTCCTAAATATGACCTAGTCAAATAAAGCTGCCAATTAGAACGTATCACAAATAGTTGTCGTGTCTACGATAAATTGTGTGGTTGTTGAATTGTGTGTTCTTACTAAAACATCTTGAAGTTAATCAGAAATACATTAAATAATTGACAATTATGCTTCAAAGCACAGAGCGTGGTGCCTGCAGTTAGTGTAGTCTAAGGTGTTCCAAACCTCAATTATTAAGAAGTTTTCAGTAAATCCAAATAAATGTATATATAGACAGCCTAATAAGTGATACAATCCGCATAATATGTACATATATATATATATGTTTAAAAACAAACTATTACTTATTAAACTATTTATTAATTAAATAGGAAACATTTTACGTAAATGGACTACAATTTTTTTACATAGTATTTACCAAATAATTTTTGCCTTCACGTAGCATTAAGTTTATATTATAACTCACGTATTGTATGCTCATGTATGGTAGTCAAATTATTGACTTGACATCTTAATCTGGAATGGGAAAACAAGAATATAAGATAATAACATAATTCACACTATGTTATTATCAGGTGACGCATGATTTGTTACATTACAGTTCCATATAAAAATAAATTTAGCTACTACTGTAAGCCTCGATCGTTATAATTCTAAAAACTATAACACTATAAATCATAAAATAATATAACATGAATATAATACAAATTATTACGATAATTAGTATATATCGCTGTCTCTAGTGATTTTGTTTGCTTAAATTATATAGGATAAAAATTCATTTGAAATATTGATCTCTTAATCGATAAATAAATGTATAATTAGTAGAAAACTAATTAGTTAATTATTATAATATTATTATATAAATTATTTTAACTATTTACAGTATTTGTTAGTCTTATAGACACTGTTCTCATTAGAGATTCTCTTAATTTACTCTTTAAAACAATAACGAAAATTACTGTTATGGGAATAATTTGAAAGGAGTTAATAACGTAAAAAGCATTTATAATATTCTGATACTTGAGCCCGAAATATGAAAACAAATCGGTGGTAAGTACTTGTAAACTGTTTGTCAGGACCAAAAGGAATGCCATAACTGTTGTTTTGATAATGTCTTTAAAATTTCTGGAAATTTTAGACTCTCTAGTCGCAATAACAAGAAATATTCTAAAGAATATTAATGCGTTTACAATAACAATTACAAATTTGACAAAACAATACGTATGATAGTAGTATATGAAATATATCGTACCACATCTTAATGTTATCAAGCAAAGCAAACCTATAATTAAACAAATGGACCATATAATAACACTCACGCGATTCAAATGTATTTTTTCTACCGTAAACACTAATACTACCTTATTGTAAATATTTTTTGTGAAGACAAACATCCAGCAAATTAGCACAAAGTCGGTGTAGAATAATAAAACTAATACAACATCCCTCGTAATTTCTATCAATTTTATATTTACGAAGCAAAACTCGCAGATGGTATTGACACTTCTCGCTACAGTTATATGGGTGAGCACTTTTTCGTCAAATTTTCTGCAAGCAGGTATCAAGGCGAAGAGAATAATTTGGAACAGTAGACCGCCGCTTGATGTCACAATTCCAACTAACCAAAATAACTTCAATGTTTCTACTTCGCTAGTCCGTTCTCCGAGTGCTATTAACTCCTCTGTAGTAATATTTTGAGTGTTATTAGTCATTTTTTAATATTTCTTACACTGCTACACTGTTACGAACACTTCTCTGCGTCTGACTATTTATATTTATAAACGCTATTAATTGCTCCATCCTGTATTAGTGCCTATAATCATGATGTTTTTTATCCCTGGAAGATTAGAACGTAGTTTAACTATTTTATTTTGTCACTAACATGTCCTCTCTAATACATGACTATAAAATCATCAAATAAACATTAAACGAAATGATTTATCTGTTAAATAATTGTAATAATACGAACCTGTTCGGATCTGATCATTATTAGAAAACTAATATTACATTTGTGTTGACATCTGGCATAGAATCATTATCAAAAGTATGAGTAAATACGTGATTAATGTTTTACACAATATAAAAATTACAAAACGTTCAATTTCAGAAGTATTATTACATACTTTATTAGTACTGCAAAATATGAAAACAAAATTATTTTTGTCTTATAAAATTCGTATGTATTTATACTTACCATACAAATTTGAAGTCTTAAACATGTTAACAAACATTACACTAGTATTTATCTCAATATGTTTTGTGTAATAGCTTAATCAATAGATATTTATATTCCGATTAAGATAGTAATATAATATGGTGCCGTTTGCTGTAGTGGAATGGCGTAGTGCGACTGATATAATAATATATTATATATGACTGAAATTATAACACATCTACCGAATTAGTGTTAATAAGTGTTATTGCAGAACCGTGGGTGTTCATTGTTGCAGAAAAGGGTAGGGTCACGAATAATGTCGTCACTATTCGTGTAATTTTTTTCTTTGTTAAAAATAAAGGTAATATTTTTTATGGTTACACACAATTCCATTGTAATCCATATACGTTAGCCGAGTACCAGTGCATTCTGCACTGGTACTGTTAGAATGAGCATGAAATCAGGTCAGTTAGCAAAATGTGGCTAATTTATCAGGGATTAATCACGTTGTTTCCCAGGTCCCAATAATCATTTTTGAGAATTAAACTTATGTTTAGTCTTTCATATAGTTTATTTGTTATTTTTATATGTCTAATTATAAAAATTAATAAAATCTATATAAAAAGTATAGTATCGGCACAGGTAACATAACATTACATAGTATCGGTGACATATGTACATGCTTTACTGTAATTCATTATTTATATATACATATAATAGGACTTGCTAGATAAAACATATGCGTCTCTAGTGTGCACCCAAATAATTACTAGATACTTTGGTCTAGCGGTTTAGTATGATTGTTTTTATTGGTCTCGGTATTTTCTATGTATTTATATAAAAATGTATCTAAGTATTTATATCAGTTGTCTAGTATCTACCCATAACGCAAGCTCTGTTTAGCTTGGGACTAAATAATGCTGTGTGAATAGTCTAGGTTTAATATTAATATTACTTTTGTTTATCTCATTACTACTTACGTAATTTTTCATGTCATAGGTCACCTTTCCAGTATGCACTCAATAAATAATGTAATATGGTTTTACTGTTTCTATTTACTATTTATTATTATCATAAAAACAAAAATTCATTAAAATTACAACTATCAGTTATATAGAAATTCATCTAGGCGAACATCTGATTTCAAGACGTTGTTCTCTAAGGTATAGGGACCATCTGAAATAACACATAATAAAATAATAAACTATTTATAAATATAAAGATATACAAGAAATAATATATAATATATATTTTGGACTAAATTTGTATTTAATAATAATAATAATAGAACTCTTTATTGTGCATACAAAACATACAAAATATTTGCAAATTACGTTTAATGCTATTTTTGTATGTATCATTTTAAGGCTACCTTTTCAAAATGGAAGTTAGTGACAGTCAATTAGTTGATACATTATCAAATTTAAGTCAAAAATTAATTTTGAAAGTATCATTGTTTTTAAATTATTTACACATTTTACTCACCGACATCAAACCATTCGGTTCTGGGGCGTCCTGAATTCTCGCGTGATGCTGCTATAGCTTCTCTTAAAGCAAATGCAACACAGATTGCTAAACACATAGGCGGTTCAGATACGCCTAAAAATAAAAAGAATTACTGAATGATTAATGAAGAAAGTTCTAAATATCTAGAACGCAATTAAATGAAATAAAATAATTATATTAATTAATCAATTAAAATTAATTTTATCGCAAGCAACTTATATTACCAAAGGCTGTGATAGTGGTCTTTGTTGGTACCTCAGTCTCATCTAGTTCAGCCGCTAAGAAGCTTATTTTGTAAGCTATGCTTCGGTTAGATAAGGTAATAAGGTCAGATGCGGAATAAGAAGCATATGCACATACATGCATATGCAAGCAAGCACTAAAATGTGTCCTCTAGAATGGGAATGGATTAGTGGTATCACGGGTGTCACTTACATGATAACGTAATGATCGCAGTACTGTTCATGTATATAGACGACGGATACCATCAGGTAGGCTGACAGCTTGTTTGACATTTCTATTATATAAACAATAGAAATTATGACTCAGTTTTTGTTTACCTTTAGAGCCTACGACACCTAGGGGATTATACGAATTTCTTCTCAGTTGTATTCTGATGTCCAATGGAATATCTTTGCAAAGCGGTACTTTGTAATACCAGGTACGATCTGTTAGAACCTCTCCAGTATTTTCATCATATATAACATGCTCGTGAGTCCAGTATCCGACACCCATTATAAAAGCACCCTCGATCTAAAATTTCGGTGATTAAAATTATACTTATATTTCGTATACGAAATTAAATGTGTTTACAGATAGGTACAGATATATATTTTATAGGATCTGTCTATTTGTTATTTTATATTTTACGAATAACTACTGATTAATAATTTAAGTACCATTTTCTTTCCCAGTAATAATATTTCTAATCATACCGCAATTGCCTTCGTTACCTTAAAAAAATTAAATTTACAAATGTACTTTTCATTACCTGTCCGATATCAAGTTCAGGGTTTATACTGCTGCCAACATCTTCAATTATATCGACTCTTAGAATTTCATGTTCTCCGGTCAATATATCTAATTCAACTTCAGCTAGAGCTGCACCTCCTGTTCTGTATGGCTGTTGATCATTACCGTTTACATGGTAATTGACTTGCAGATTTATGCCTTGGTTGTATGCAGTTTCTATCAATACTTCCCAAGTAGGGTCATTAAGACCCTCTCTTATTACAGATAATCGATCTAATAATAATTGACAGCACTTGATAGCTCCAAAACAAAATATTTGAGTGGTACGACTTCCTCCAGAGGTGAAATTATTGGGAATTGAGGCAGTGTCTGCAGTTTTAACCTTCACTTTATCTATTGAGATGTTGAGAGTATATGCGACAATTTGAATTAATTTTGTATTTATACCTTGACCCATATCGACACCGCCATGTTTAATTACAACCGTACCATCTCCGTGGTAGACGGATATTAGTATGTGGTAAGATGTTAAAACACTGATGGGGTAACTCATCAAGGCGATTCTCAAACCACGCTTCTTCCACCTGTTCATTTCATTGAACTTGTTTACTTCTTCTTTTCGTTTGTCATATTCAGCATCCTTGAGTAAAGTTTGAACCATCTCCGCAACATCCGGATGTTGCGGGTTAAGATTGTTACGACGAACTCGAACAGGGTCCATATTGACCTCGTACGATATTCGCTCCATTATATATTCTGTCATTGTAATACTTTCTAAACTTCCTGTTTGCAAACGAATAAATTTGATTTCTTTCATATACCTTATTATTGAGCATTCGTTATTAATCTTTAAAGAGTAAAAGTAACAATACAAATAGAGTTGTAAAAGTCTTATAATTATAATAATATAATAATTTGTATTATATCATAATTACTAGTATTAATATTAAATAATAATATAATAATGTTGAATTTAATTCTATTGACATACACCTCTAAATAAACTAATTGAGTGACGTAATAGAATTATATCTACCTATATACTATACATATTTATATTAGGTTGACCTATTTTTCTTTATAAGCACCGCTGTAAGACAATCATTCACTCCTGCTTTGTACAGTGTTAAAGAACGGACGCATATTGGCTTCCTAGTATGTAAAGATAAATATACAAAATGATTATAGTGTTCCATTGTCTTATTATAAAGCCCTATTATCCTATAGTGTTTATACGCATTACATTACGGTTTACATTACAAATTGTTGTTGTTATTTTTTTACTAATTGTACTGAAGACATAACTATTTTAATTTCTGAAGCATTTCTTTTTATAAACACTTTTAGATTTTTTTGGTGAAATTCTAACTTAAGAGTGTATGCTTTGAACAAACCTGGGGCTCTGGCAAACGTGTTAGAAGCTGTGTCGCTTGTCGCATTGAATATCTTGTATTGCCATCTAGTATTGTCATAACAATTCTTAAGAGACGTTGGAATGAATAACGCAACTGCATCCGAGGTTACGTGACCATTATTTTCATATATATGATATTCTAAATATTGTATTTCTCCTGAATTATTGACACCTAACTGTGAACAATTTATTAATTAATTAGTTTACCTCAAATCTGAAAGTTTCATTATTTAATTTCAAATAGCTACTGTTTAAAAACCTTTGTTTATGCAATTTAGTTACCACATATTTATTTATTTATTTATAAAAAATTAATGCACAAATACAAAAAAAATAAAGGTGCATATGGCGGACTTAACACCATAAGGCATTTTCTCCCAGTCGACCATAGGGCAAATAGAGATTAGTAGGCGGTGCATTTAAGTAAATAATAACATGAAATAAAAATAATAAAAGGAAGTAGGTGCAATTATAATAAAATTCATAAATTGAAATATATATATCCAAAATACATACATACTTAAATAAGAATATATATAATCAAGCACATAATAATATACCTACATATAAAATTTATACATACATACATACTAAATACAAATCAACAATGAGTAGACAGTGAAAGCAGGAGATAATTTAACACTATATTAATGTTTTAATTTAATTACAAAAGTCGTTGGAAAGATGTTTTCGTAACTTGGATTTGAAGATAAATTTGGTAGTACTAGATTTAATGTCAAGGGCAAAAAGCATTAAGCCTTGCTGTGTTTAATAGCCTGAAGCATGAAAGATTTAGAAACGAAGCTTGAACTATGAGCATGAACGTTTATGTAATACGAACGAATGTATGTAATAGTAGAACTATGATTGTTGTCCATGTTTTCATTTTAGTTTAAATAATTATTTTATAGTTTAAGTATTAATTATATAATTTCTAAATTTAGCAACGTAGTTAAAATTTATGACTTCTTATAATATGTATAGATGTAATAGACAAATTGTAAGAATTTGTAAGCAATAGTCCTACTGGATTCATAGGTGTAAGTAACCAGAAATACCCTACAGGAAATATTTTGCAGGGAATTGATGAATGGATAGTTTCTCATGACTATATGTTCGACATGTTCATGGGGAGTACTTCAGAAAATGGCGAAAAAGATGATAACTGATATATTGTACTGACCTCATACTCAGATTTAACTGGGGGTCGCTTGCCAACAACTCTGAGAGTAGCCTGAATAGACAGCACAAATCTAGAGGGTCTATTCATCAAGTAAGTAACAAGGGCACTTACACATGCCACGTGATTGGTGCGAAATATTTTCAAACCATATGCACCACCCATACGTGGTACAATCACATTTATTCTGGGAATATGAAAATATATCAGAGTTAATTATCTTTATAAATGTGGTTGAAATATTAGTGATATAATTGTTGATAAGTTAAATTAAAATAAAGATACAGAAGTTCCAACTAGATTAACATTGAGAAATAAAGAAATGATATCCTTTGTCGTTTTTTTGTTATGTTTAATAATATAGTATAGTATAATAAGATTTTTACCTATTCTGTTGTATATTCAATGCTTCGGCGACGGAAACCTGGACTGAATCCAGATATTGGGTACTAGCATATAAGTCGATACCATCTTCACTGGGGATGGATATACAAGATATAGTTTCCATACTGTAGTGATACTGGCAGAATATATCTTGTGATCCTTTGATTACTTTCTGGACATTAAGGCCTCTGCCTCTTGCAGGAATTACCAAGAAAAGTACAATTCGACTGGGATCTCGTTGTTGCACATCCGATATGCTTAATATCGGTTTTCTTTTATGAACTTTATATTTAGTTCGAACTAACAACGCCGCTCTATTCGCAAGTTTTTCAGTTTCAGCCACTATTACACCTATAGCTTGGTCATAGTATTTGATTTCTTTTTCTGGAAATATCTCCTCCGGCACAAATTGTCCAAGTACTTTTTGGGATAAGAAATTATTATTTCCTGGAATATCTTTGGCCGAAAAGAAAGCTAAAACCCCTGGCAATTCCTGTGAAATAAAAGTCAAGGCGTCAATCGCGTAGATTCAAAAGTAAAATATTTCGAAATTCACGCCATTTAGTTCATGTATAACTTTTTACAAAGTAATTTAATTATTTTTGTGTAATTGGGTAGCATAGAACTTTGCTAACCAATTACACAAAAATGCTTTGTAAAAAACATAAAAAAAATGGGAATTTTTAATAGTGATTTTAAATATTATTAGTTATATGAGCTACGAAAATTGTTACGCCATTATACCCTAAGCAAGGTAGCGTAGGCATGGTGTTATTGCTTAACAAGGGTCCGAAATAATATAAAGTTAAATTTTAAGTCCTATGTAGTATGGAACCATACTACAATCATATCAGTCGCTGAGTGACAAAGTTTGACATGAATTCGTACTAAACCAACGTATTAAATAATATGAATCTATTATTAAATCTATTTAAGTCGAGAAAAATATTTCATACTCTTACCAATGCTGGAGAAGGGTCAATACTTTCTATTTCCCCTGTGCAGATGTCAGACGTAACAAATGCACAAAATACTTCTCTTGGATCTCTTGGTAGATCATTAACATACTTTGCTTCACCAGCAGTTTGTACTAGAGCATCCAGCTTAGGCATTGGCTCAGTGATCGGCCATATTATTGGATTAGTATCGAATACTGTGGTTCCTTTTGACAGTGGTCTAGTCTTTCTGTAATCTCTAGACCCTGATCGATACCAAGGTTTTAATTGGTTCTGGGGTATTAAATTCAATAAGCCCTTAAAATGTAAAATAAATTATTAAAATATATTATTAGCGTTAAATTTAAAAGAATGTATTAAAATATGAAATGCTTAACCTTGTAGAAGAGGCCAAGTGCAGTCTTTTTTCTATAGCTTGGTGTAAGCTCTCCTGGAATCTCTTCAACGACTAATTCATTGTTTAATATCTGGAGTGCTTCCTGTAGTATATTGTTTTCAAATATTTTCTTTCTTAATAGGAATTTTTCAGTTTCTTTAGCATGAACAAATTTTGCTGAGAGTCCACCGAAGACAATTCGGGCAGATAAAACCGTTTGTTCGTCATGGGGGTCAAAATTATATAAAAATGCTGCATTAACTTGAGCATGAGCATTTTGAGCTCGTTCCATTATCTGAAAAAATGTTACCCAGTATATTAATAATATTATGTATGCATAGTAATATATACATATTCTGAGACTCTAATTTAAATAATAAAAATGTTCATTAAAATACAGTACGTGGTGTAAGAATATTCATAGATTGGTAATGAGTTGTTGAGGGACTTTGCTTTGTTTTATGATTTATGATGTTACAAAATCATTCATATCACATCGTCGTATAACGTTCAAGTTATGTTGTTCAAATGTTATTTTTCAAGTCTATCGTCTCATTCCTTCCTATTTCTGAGGTTTAAGTTTTGAATCACCCCATAAATCAAAACATAACTTAAAAAGGAAATTAAAACAATTACCTACTTTAAAGGAAACGAATTGGTAATTAGGAGAAAGCGGTGGTATACTGATTGATTTTATAACTTTTCCAGTCATATCCAAAGATAAAAAATCTTTCACCGTTACATTATCAACTGTAGTTTTCTCCACTGAAAGAAAAATATTGTAATTGATAAAATATAAATTGGATAAAATATTTAATTTTCGTTTCAGAGCCGGTAAGTTCTAGTTGCGGCAGCAACTATGTAATCAAGTTCAGAAAAACTATTTTAAGTTCCATATCAGTAAAATGTGCAAAAGATTAAGGTCAACCGTATTATACAGATTATGAAGTATAAACTACACTATACAATAGGGATAGATTGATACCTGTATCTACTTGATAGACTAAAATATGTATATTAAATAACAGTCCAAAGTACTACGAACTTTCTGTAAAATTTGAATACAATGTTAAGACATTGATTTTATACCGCATATTGAAGAGAAATGTAATTTTATTAATATCTATCACTTTTTTTATTAATAATACTTAGTTTATTACCTATAGTGAGATTAGCTCCTATTGTCTCTAACAACAAGAAAACATCTGATGAAAATGTTGGCTTTTTATGTTTGATCATCAAATTACCAGCAATTGTACCAATCTAGAAAATACAAGAAAAATAGGTAAATAATTTTTTTTTTGACAATTCATAGCTAGCTAAAGCTTGTGTAATGGGTACTAGATAGCTGATACAAATACATAGATATATTTTTTTTCGTAAATACATACATAGATTCAATTATTCCGGTTGGCCCCAGTTGGCGAGGGAGACCGCTACGTTGTCACTGACTGTACCTTTACTAAACTAAAGTTACATAGTCTTTAAGTATATTTATGTGCACATATATTTAATTTAGTATTATTGATTTCTTACGTTTCTGACAGGAATATGGGCCACCAGATCTAAATGTTCATATAGTTTATACAAATAGGCAAACTCCTCTCGTTGATGCGATACTGTTTTAAAAATGTCCATCATATCTGTCAGAGTCGTGCCTGCTCCGATAATTAAATTCTGATCAATATAGTGACCTTTTAACTCTCGCACAGAACTGATATCTATAAGTACTCTTGGAAATGAGAATATTGGAGTAACACCTGAAAGTAAATAATTTACATTGCATTATTTAACGATAGCGTCCACAAAATATAGTATATATGTATATATATTAACATCTGAATCAATCAAATCCAAATCCATTTGGTGGATCTGAAGATGAATTTTATTCATACAATTTTATTTACAGTTTAACCAGTTTCTAATAAAGGTATTTTTTTAAACAAAATGTTTTGTGTCAATTGATTGTATAATATTGTTTGTTTTGTATTATTAATTATGTTAGGTTGACCTCCATGTGGTTCCCGCTGGAAACCATCGCGATAAATTCCTGGTTAATTTGCCACGATGGGCTAACGAAACTGACCTCATGCGCATCTAATAATCCTCCATTGGTGCCCCGCCAGCATAACCGTTAGCGCAGGCAAGTGCACCGTTCCAGTATCAGTATCCATGATATGTATATATTAATTTACCTTTAACTCTCTTGAAATTATTCTCATAACGAATATTAATTTGTTCTAATTCGTTCTTAAAGTGTTGACATTCATATTCAGACTTAGTTTAAACAACAAACCTTTCACCATTATTATTTTAAAATAAATTAACAGAGCATACTACTAATAGACAAAATATCTTCTTTGAAATACTTTCTTTCCCATATCACCTTATATGGGAAAAACTGTGGTCTCGAATTGGGATAGACAGAGGTAATAATAGAACACTAATTCTATATTCACATCTTCTGCCTCAAAACCTCGAGTATTTTTGAAATGATTCTTTTTGGCATGTGACGTACTGTATGATAATGACAAAGATAAAAGAAAATAAAGAAATAAACCTACCTCTGCCCGTGTTTCCGTTTACCAACATGTAAGACTCTTGTCCTTCATTGTCTAAGATATCGAATATATCTTGTACTTGCGAAATCCTATACCAAATTCGATCATCTTTTAAATTTATTCTTTTTATTGTATTATTATCTGTATCATTTGCGTTCACATAACACCAACTCTTATCACATGAATGGTCACACTTATCTTTATTTTTACAGAGTTTTAAATCTTCTATATCGTCTAATTTAGGTTTTGGCGCGTCTTTTGCGAAGCTTTTGAATGCTTCTAATATAGGTCTATAACCGGTACATCGGCAGGTATTGCTTCCAAATGAATTCTCTATTTCATGTTGTGTTAAATTGTGGTGACTGGATTCCAATAAGCTGAAACATTAGTAAAATATACACCGTTAACTGAACTTATAAAGTTAAAATATGATTATTAATAAAGAGATCAAGGTTATATATAAAGAAATTGATTGCAAATGTCTTTTTATTTGGACTTGAACTTTTAGCTCGAAATCTTTGAACATAACACAATTGTCACTCTCATTAAGACCAAATTTATGACGGCTATATAGGATTTACTACGGCTACAACTCAGGACTCAGCATTTGATTTGAATCCATAAGGCAGAGGTCGGATAGACATCTAGTTATCGATGTTATCTTGACCGGAGTATAAGTCAGAGATATCACGACTTTAGTTGACAGTTTCGACGATATTTGGATGTAAGTTGGTGTAGTAAACAAATAGATGCTCTCTCAGGAGTAAATAAATATTATCATAATTATGCTTACCTGTACATACTCATAACCCATCCTGGGGAGCAGTATCCACACTGAGTGCCGTCGTACTCGGCTAAAGTCCTCTGTATTGGATGGTAACCGCGTCCTCTGTCTCCTATACCCTCTATAGTTGTCACCTCCCAATCCTGACATGATGTGATAGATACGAGGCACTGCAAAATATATTATTATATGTTCAGAAAAATGTGCATTGATTTAAAGTGTGACAAGTGAAAATTAGTAGACTGTAAAAAAATCGTATGTGTGGATATATCAGTCTCGCCTATTTCGTCTGACAAGCACCTTGTTGGTGGGTCACATTAGGTAGTGAATTTACGGAATAACAAGCATAATATATATCTTAATTCTTTGGCAACGCATGAGTGGTATCGCTGGTGTCACATGATAACGTGATGTCCATTGTGCATGCGATGCATTCATGTAATGAAATTTACCTGTGTGAAGCCGGTGAGTGTCGCTACTTAAGAATGCGAGTACATACAGAATTAACGGAGATGGTGCGTGGCAATCCGTGTTCATCGGGTGCTCTCACGGTAACAATGCAGGCGCCGCAGCCGCCCTCCTTGCACATGTACTTGGTGCCGCGCAGGTTCAAGGTCTCGCGGAGATAGTCATTCAGAGATACATCCGAATCCACCTCCACGCCCACTGTTACGTAAAGATTTATTATTAGCGATTTAGGTTCAAATACAGTGGTAGCTCCTGTCATTTTAATTATCTTTCATTTTTCTTTTAAGTTAATTGATGAGAGACGTTTTGCTAGCAGTGGCATGTTCTATTCTAAGCACTGATTGTGATCTTAACTCTAAAATGGATACAAATATTTTATACCTAACCTACTGTCATTAGGACTTCATTTGTTTATTTACCTCCACCTACAACTGTCTTATCATCTATCAATAATCAAAGATGTGGTCGCCTGGAAATTGTAAATCTAAACGCCATGTGCTGACTCATTTAATTTCATTTTCATCTTATTACTCTTCGCTGGTACTCCGCTAGAGTAACTCATAACGCATGTGATTTAATTCATTACATTTATGATATCTGATAATTGGAAAGGCGGTTGCATTTTTTTAAAGAGAACGGAAGTAGTCGTTGAATAATTTTTGATGTGGTAAGTATAAATGTATTTTATAAATAACTAACATATTCTTTGTTGATATTAATTAGGGTAAAAATATCATGTACAAGAAGTTACTAAATAATATGATTTATATACCTTTCAAACAAACCCCTCTATTCATCTAAAAATCTTTATAAAATATCCAAACACGTAAATATCTTTACAAACTTCGCAATAATAATGTTATTAGGGTAAGATCGTACTTACCTGAACATTTTTGGCCATTAACACTGAACGTTATTTCATCCGACATGTTAAACAATTGTACGAACCCACGTACGAAACGTGGCTATTTAATAACTGTATTAGCCGGATATTTGTTGTTCAGTCATCGATATTGGGTACAGAATTTTAAATAAACAGACAGAACTAATGAACTGAAGTTCGTTATTTCAATATTCTTGAAATTTTAATTTATAATTGTTAAAATACAAAATCATGTCATAGTGAAACGGTGCGCCCACCTTCCAGAGAATTATTATAGTAGTAGTATTACTATTAGTAGTTTAAGCTTTTTAAACCCTATAAGATTTTTATATTTCTAGTTGTATATATAATTTTTTAATTATCGGCGAGTTCATTTTTGTATGTTCATTTTTGGGCTTGGCCACAAACTTGTAAGTCTAAATATAAGTTAACAGTAGATTGGATTGCACCCGTAGGTATGTATCTAATTGTAGATTTTTTGTTTGGTTGTCAGTAATACTATTTTGTTTCTTTGTATAGTTCGTTTGATAATTATGTAATTAGTTTTTATATGAGCAAATCTTCATAGGCGCTTATTTGCTTCAGGGGAGTTATGAAAAGTTCCAGAAATATGTAGATAGGATTTTTACTCATTAATTAAGATAATATAATATTTCGTTTACATGATTGTCAACTTCTATTGTTTTTCTTTATATTAAAATGTCATCAAAACAAAAAAACAAAAAATCAAACATCTTTCCCTTGCGCATATTAATGCTCAAAGTGTATTAGCTCATCATACTGATCTTCTCACGTCTTTCAGCGCCGGCACAGTTGACTGTATTCTTGTCTCTGAAACTTGGCTTAAACCATCCCTCTCTTCCTACCTACCTGTTGCTCTATTCCTGGATATAAACTTTATCGAAATCACCGTACCACTTGTAGGGGTGGCGGTGTAGCGATTTATCTACATAGTAGTAAATTTCTGCTGAATCGGTGAGTGCACTCTCAGTGAGCTGAGCCTCCCTTGAATATTTATTTCTTTCTATAACACTACATCATAAAAATCTCTTACTAGGTGTTTTGTATAGTCCTAACGATAAAATTGATTACTTTTGTATATTAGAGAATACTCTAGAAGACTTAATTCCACGGTTTGATCATGTCATTCTTATGGGTGACTTAAATACATGTATCTTAAAAAATGACTATAGGACTAAACTCATAGGCCTGACATCTGCCCTTAATCTTCAGATATTGCCTATGCTTAAACCCACACATTACTTCCATAACTGTAGACCTTCCCTTATTGACTTAATTCTTGTTTCACAGCCCGACAAAGTCATATCTCATGGTCAAATGTGTTCTCCCTTTTCTCAACACGATTTAATTTATTTATCCTTTAACATGCGTCCTCCAAAAATAAGGGTAAGGTTCTACTATTACTTCGCGATTTTCGGCATATGGAACTAGATCGTTTGAGAGAGGATATGAGGAATATTGACTGGTCTCCCTTACTGCTAGCTGATAATATCGATTGCATGGTTGAAACATTTAACAAAGAGATTATTAAAATTTTTGACATCCATGCACCAGTGCGACCAGTCCGCGTTAAACACGCTCCTGATCCTTGGCTTACTCCTATTATTCGGAGAACCATAGCCAAACATGACAGAACTAAAAGTCAGTATAAGCACGAGGGATCACCGGTTAACTTTTAATTGTATAAAAAGCTACGCAACAGAATGTGTAGGGATGCTAAACGCCAATATTTCATAATACTATACAAAACCTTAGAGAGCCTCAAATTTGGAAGTTTCTCCAGTCGCTAGGAGTGGGCAAGGCCTCCGACTCTTCGCTTAGTGGTGTCGATCTCAATGCGCTAAACATACATTTTTCCTCTACTCCTGTTACTCTTAGCAATTTCATTAAAGCCCTTTCCATTATTTCTAACCTTCTCCTACCGAATTGCCCTTCCTTTACTTTCAGTACGGTATCAGAAGATGCTGTTAGGAAGTGTATCCTTTCCCTATCCAGCTATGGGTAGCGACGACATTAGCCTTAACATGATTCTTACTGTATTGGAGGATATTTTGGGTGTACTCACTCACACTGTTAATTTTTTACTGCAGCAAAATGTCTTCCCATCACAGTGGAGGAGGGCTTATGCCATACCTCTCCCTAAAACGTCAAACCCTACTTGTTTCTCCCAATTTCGACCCATTTCCATACTTCCCTTGCTCTCCAAAGACCTCGAATCCGTTGTTCATAGTCAACTTTTCTTGTTTCTCTCTTCTAATAACCTATTATGTCCCTTCCAATCTGGCTTTCGTCCCTCCCATAGCACTACTATGGCACTTCTTAATATTACTGAGGATATAAGGCAGGCTATGGAGGACACCAAGTTGACTGCTATAATTCTACTAGATTTCAGCAGCGCATTCAATTCTGTAGATTTTGACATTCTTTTTGGTGCTCTCCGTGCTATTAACATTTCTGCTTCTGTTATAGAATGGTTCTCATCTTTTCTTTTCGGTCGCCAGCAGTGTGTAAAAACTAGCGAGGGTTCCTCAGACTGGATTACTTTAACTGCTGATGTACCTCAAGGCGGTGTTCTCTCTCCATTACTATTTTCAGTGTTTATTAACAATATATCTCGTATCATTATTTCTCCCTTCCATCTGTATGCAGATGACTTGTAATTATACCGTCACTTTACATTGTTGGAGGTGACACAAACAGTTGTAGCTTTAAACTGTGATCTCTTGGCAATACAAGCATGGGCTAAGTCTTTCGGTCTTGTTGTAAATCCTGCCAAATTCCAAGTTATGACTGTTGGCAGACTGAAAAGCAGGTTGGATTGGTCTACTATACCCCCACTTGTATATGAGGGTGTTCAGTTAGCGTATACTGACTATATATATACTTATCTTAGATGACACAATGTCTTGGACACCTTATGTTAATGAAATTAGTAAACGGATGCATTTTTCATATCACTCTCTCAAACGTCTTCAATATTTTCTCCCTTTCAGTACCAAAATTATGCTCGCACAATCCATTTTACTTCCCATTCTCGACTATGCTATAACATATATAAAATAAGAAAAAATTATAAATAACGGTATATCTCCGATTTTCACGTGTGATGTTAACGACATTACACGTGTAGGAGCAATAACGAAAAAAAATTCTAGACAAATACTTAATCCTTACTTAATATTATAAATGCGAAAGTAACTCTGTCTGTCTGTCTGTCTGTCTCGCTTTCACGCCAAAACTACTGAACCGATTTAAATGAAATTTAGTACGCAGATAGTCTAGACGCCGAGGAAGGACATAGGCTACTTTTTTAATGCGTAAAAAGGTTTGTAAGGGGTTCAAAATGGAAATACAAGGTTATCTTTATGCGGTTGAATACTTATTCGTCATCTTTTCATTTCTCTAGCTTTCAACCAATCAACACATCGCGTGCGTTTGCGCCATTCGCCATCTTTTCATTTCACTAGCTAACAACCAATCAACACATCGCGTGCGTTTGCGCCAATAAGGTATCCATCACAGAGAACAAAACCACAGATAACATAATGTAAAACGAAAGATCTTGCCGGAAACATGACGTTGACGTTTAGCGAAAATATTGTTTTTTGACACTTTTTTATGATAATATCGTGTGTATGTGTTTTTTCTTTAAATCTGAAATTGGCCGATTGCGAGACAAATTTGGCAATTTTGTTTATTAATTTGTTTTATTTTAGCCCAACTTAAAGTTTTGCAATATAAATTATAAAAATTAAAGTCAATGTCAAATGTTGTTTCTCTGTTCTGACGAACTTATTAAAAAAATCTTAATAACAATCACAATTTCTTCACATTTTATTATTTACATTTTTTAAAGAATGTTGTGGTGTGGCACTATCAGAAATTAAATTATTTACCCATTTTTGTAGGTTATACAGAATTAATGTGTGGGTGTTTATTTAAAAAGCATTAACACAAAATTAATAAAGTATAGGTATTAATAAATGTATGGTTGTTGTATCAAAATAGAATTTTCTTATTTTTCACTAAAATAAAAACTGTCTTTTTTATAAAATAAATGACCTTTTCATTGTGTCATGTATTATGAAACTATTTAAATTATTTAGCTGATTGTAAGAAACAAAATGTTGGTTTGTAGATTAATACTGTAAAATTACTATTTGTACGGAAACGATAAAAATATATTTTTGTGCTGCGACAAAAACTAATATTATAAATGCGAAAGTAATTCTGTCTGTCTGTCTCGCTTTCACGCCAAAACTACTGAACCGATTTGAATGAAATTTGGTATACAGATAGTCTAGACCCTGAGAACGGACATAGGCTACTTTTTAATGCGAAAAAAGGGTTGTAAGGGGTTAAAAGGGGGATGAAAGATAGTATGGAATAATCGTCATTTTTGAAACTAGAAGCTTGAAACTTATTTTTAAGGCTATTGATTAAATATAAATAATTATGACATTATTAGTTTGTATAATTTTATCATTAGGGGGGTAAAATAAAATAGGGCATGAAAATTTTTATGTAAATTCGTCATTTTTGAAGCCAGAAGCTTGAAACTTATTTTTGAGGCTGTTGATTAAATATAAATACATATGACATTCATTGTTTGTAAAAAATTTACCCTTAATTTTTAAAACTAGAAGTTTGAGACTCATTTTTAGGCTGTTGTTTAAATATCAATAAATATGACATTAAAATAAAATAGGGAATGAAAGTCATTGTGGAAATTTGCTGTTTGTGTGGCCACGCCAAAAATACTTACGTACGACTTAGACAGACTAGATCCTGAGAAAGGACATAGGTTACTTTTTAATGTGAAAAAGGGTTACAAGAGGATTGGAAGGGTAGGTCCAAGGTCATATAGATGTATCGTCATGTTTAAAGCTAGAAGCTTGAAATTTATTTTTTAGCCTATTGATTAGATATATATATTTTTTTTATCAATTTTTAGCTAAAATGATGAAACTTATTTATTTGACTTATATTGTGTTAATTGAGTTAAATATTTTTTCATTATTTACGCGGACGAAGTCGCGGGTACAGCTAGTATATAAAATAAATCTAAATACATCTGGAGAAGTTTCGATTCAGTCAGTGATAACAAACAATTTTTTATGTATATAAAAAATTACATATTAGTATTTCAAATTTAGACAGTTTACTAAATTGAAATACTAATATGTAATTTTTGAAACTTTCAGTTACATTAAGTGATTTACATATTTTAATATCGAAATATTAATTATTAAACACTAATGGAGTCTGCAATATGGCTTTATTATATTATATATATTATATGGTTAAATCCTACTTAACACTATGTATGCATTGAGTTCTCTAATTTACATATATTATATATTTTATAATTGACTGACTTTATATATGACATAGGTACTTACATAACACACACGTATTTCAGTGTACATTATTATATTCGAGGCCACAGCACCAAACTGAATTATTTCTTCATCCTTCAGTTAAATAGTAGTAATTATTTAGGTATATACAAAGTTGTATGCTTGTAATGTAAGATTTCATTCGGTTTCGACAGATTCGATTATCATCATTGTACTTTATTACTAGATATCCCTAGTTAATGTTAATCGATCGATAAATTGGATAATTAGGTATTATACTTAGCTATTTACAAAAATATTTGTAAGTAGGGCAGACGGGAAATAATAATAAGATATTACTTACGCCCCGATTACAGAAACATATATTTAAAAATGCGTTTGATTAGCAATAGTAAATATATGTAATTATATGTAATATTGATAGCAAATACTTATATATTGGCTATAAAAGGTTTAGCTTTCGATCTTTGTTATATTATTTGAGTTACCACCTAAGCGACCTAGGTGTTTGATCGCTTTCTAATGTTTCTTTTATAATCTTATTTTTATTTCATAAAAAAACTCGTAAATAAGTAAACATCAAAAGCAAAATTAAATAAAAGTGTTAATTTTTCATTCAAATCTCTTCAGGGTAAAAGTACATACAGGTACAAGTATTGTTCCTTTCATATTGTAAGGTTTTATGAGACTAATAAGATTCACTATTATGGAATTATGTAAAACATATTAATTTGGTATAAAAACCTATTTTGTTTATTACACATTATTTCACAGATATGGTGCGATAGCAAATCGATGGCTACCGTGCGTATGTGCTGACTACTATCTTCGTTATCAATTCTTTTCTTCTCAACTGTACTGAGTAGCGATAAGACATTATTAACATCAGTTCATATAGCAGGGGTCTTTACGAAAGCTATCGCCGCCAAGATCGCGGTAGGTACTGATCCCGGGTTTATGTTGGAGAGCAGGAATACTTTGATGGTCTTTTTAGTTGCTTGGAAATCCGCTGTACTCACTCGTGCAACCTCTGAGGCCGGGTACGTTATAATTTTTTCCCGCGTTAAAAGAAGGTAGGACATAGAAGACAGAATAGGGTCAAAAATATAATTAAATTATATACCAAAATCAGAATTGACAGTTTAATATCTCATAGAATATGACGGAAATATTGAATAATAGATTCGAACACATTATATTAAACTATCAGACCTAGCAGGTATAATCCTACCCGCGATATCGACGTTGCCTACCGGGTCCGAGTTTGTTTTCAAACTATCTAGGAACACAAACATAAATTTTAGATCATAGAAATTTTAGAACCTAATTTTACCAACAGACGCAACTTTCTATCAGAACTTGAACAGATGCAACTTAAATTTTACTTTTACATATTGCGATGTCAACAAAGGAGAACTGTTCATCATATACAAGTTTCTATATATATACATATATATACATAGGTAGTGTTTAAACAACTATTTGATATATTTACATAGTATAAAATGAAGTCACTCCTGCTGTCTGCATGATTAGATCTTTTAAACAACGCAACGGATCTTAATGCCGTTTCCAGCAAAAGATAGATTCATTCAAGAGAAAGGTTTGCAGATAGGTATGTATAATCATAATATTACAAATCCGTTGCCGTGTGGGGGTATTTATTATTTATTAGATTTACTCTTATTTAGTTACTCAATTACTTGGTTCTGTATTTATTATTTTGACTCTAATTAATTCCTTCTTGTTGGTAGTTTGTAGTCATAAATTTCTACTTAAAAATGTAAGGTTATAATGAAATCATTTAAAAGAACAATACGCAAGTTTATTGCTCGTTATTCTTTTGATGAGAAAGTTTTCCGAATGAGTGGTACTTTAAAAAATAAGTGATGATTATTCAAAAGTGCTTAAGTGTAACTTTACTGGAATAAAGAAATTTCTATTATATTTTTATAAACATTGCAACCGTGCGAAGCCGGGTCAGGTCTGTAGTAAATTATAAAATATTCATTTATGTAAATAAAAACTCTTCGAGACGAGCATCTGATTTCAAAACATTCTTCTCCAATGTATAGGGCCCATCTGTAATAAAAGTATAATAATACTATTCAAACAAGTGCAAAAATGTTTATAAAATAAAGCTAATTTTAATAATATCACATAGTTGGATAATTTTTAAAATATAAACTGTATTATTAAAAGAATATAATAATTAATACTTATGCATTGAATTACTTTCTGTTTGGAAATAGGTGTAGAATTGTAAATAATATTTGATACTTTCGTAATAACACAATTTATTTTCAGATTTCCACTTTATCCCTTAATAAATAAAACAATCAAGCAATCAACAATCCTACGAAACCATTTTAATTATTTACTTTTATTAAAAGAAGAAAACTGCTGGAAAGAAGAAACCAAAATATGTTTCATAACTCCATATTACATTAAACGAACATTTGAATATACGTTACACAATCAACATTGTTGCCAATGCTCAGTAAATCATAATTAATAACAGTATGAATGGTTCAATGAATGATTTAATGGATTATTGGATGAATGAATGTAATAATTCAATATCAGAATATAGAGTAGGTAGGTATCTACTGCGTTGTTATTTATTTGCGTACGCTAGTTACCTATAATTTGATGCGGTTAGATTGTAAATATGAACATTAATAATGATATGTTTAAAGCATCATTAATATCAATACTTACGGCTATATAAGGCCCATAGTATTAAGGTAATGTAAATATATTACTATGTTCAGATAATTATGATCGAAATTTCCAGACTAAAGTTTGCTCTCAACTTAAAACAAAATATAACAATATTTATTCTTTAATTGTCGTCGAAATATCTGATACCTTTATTTTCGTATCTCATGTCTTGTTGAAAAAATGCATGCTGAAAATATTTAAAACATGTAGGGGAGCGGGGGCACGTTGTTACAGGGGTAGGAAGTTACACGCGTTTTTACCGGGATTTTAAACTCTTTGATGGATATAATTTGACTCATTTGTGTTGTTATAACGTCGTGCACTAGATAAAAACTATCAATGACCCGCCAAGCGCCAAGGAGCTAGGTTGTGTGCATGTGTCTCGATTTCAACCAAGTAAGTAAAAAAATCTTTTACGAAATTTTTGATTCCTGATGTCTATATCTTTTATTTCCTCAAAATTTTTAACCTTGAACGTTCATTACATATCTACCTTGAATTTGCAATATTATTTTATTCTGATATTGATATACATTAATGATGACTTCAATTTATATTAAAAAACGTATCATGGGGCAAGTAGTTACAATTGTTTGGGGTAAGTTGTTACATGTAACAACTACGCTTAAGCTTACTATAAAATTGAAGAATTCGTTAACGATAATAATGTTTTTATAGAAAAACTTCAAATCCATAGCACTGACAATATTATCTAATTACACTAATAATGAGTGCGTGTTATACTGTAATTATTTATATAAAAAAACATCTATTAAAAAGAGCAACACACAAGTTTGTTGCTCATTCTTCTTGTGATGAATCTGCATTTCGAATGAGTGGTAGAATCAAAATATGACTATTCAAAAGTGCTTGTAATGAGTTTATTTGAATAAAGATTATTTCTATTTCTATTTCTATAAAACTCGATTTAAAAAATATTCCCCCCCCCCCAGTTGGTATAAAAATAATATGGCTGGGCAGGACTGGTTTCCTGGTTTTAAATGTTACAAGACTGTTTAAAATGATGTCTATTGTTTATAATGTTTTAAAATAATAATAAAAAAATATGTATAATTAATGATTGTGTTTATTTATCTACCGTAACATCGTGCCCCGATGATGTAACAACTAGCCCCAATTGGGGGGTAAGATGTTACAATCGACTTGTTTAGTTAAATTTCCCATCGTGAAAAAATTACATACATTTTAATAATTTTTCAGTCATATTTTAATAGCTAAATAGACATACTAACTTTGCGAGTAATCCAATCTATAATTTGTTTCATAGCTTTTGTCATATTAACATTTATCTAAAAATTGTAACAATGTGCCCCCCGCTCCCCTACATCATGTTTGCCTTTCCAGATAGATCAAATACAATCAAAATTCATTTATTCATGTAGGACATTTTAGCCGTTTTTGAACGTCAAATTTTTGTATTAATATTTTTCACTACCATCCAGTTCAGTATAGAGATTCAATTGAGGTGATTAATAAACTCAACTGTAGTAAATAACTTTTTTTAAAGCCATTTATTTATATTGTGTACGTATGTAGGTGTCTATGTCTAACATTAAATGAAAATCCCGTGCATGAATAACTACTGCCGTGTACGTTTGTTACGTTATAGATAAAAAAATCTAAGTCACCTGCAATAGCTTCTCAGCGGTGGGTCTCTTCGCCTTATTGCATATGTAATATTGTGCCTAAGTTAGCATAAGACTAGACATCAAATGTTTTAAATTTGAAGAATATTGAATCTATATTTTTTTTATACTATAAAAGCTTTATTGAATGCTTTTAAAGCTAAGGATACACATACGAATATATAGCTAAGGATTGTTTCTTAAGGAGACCCGTAACCGCTAGCATATACTGTGAACACAGACGGCAACATCATCTCTTCTATGTCGATTAAAAGAATAGTAGTTTATGTATATTAAAAAATACCGCAATTTTTTTCTTTTTGTTAGTTATATGTCTCTCGATTAAAAGAATAGTAGTTTACATTAAAAAATAACACAATTTTTTCCTTTTTTTTTAGTTATATGTCTCAACTTATTTATTTACTCTTTTGAACACAAAATTGCATACACGGTGGACTTAATGCCTAATGACATTCTCTATCAGTCAACCGTCGCGCCGATCAGAGACAATAAATTCGAATAAGACGGATAATATGGAATTTAACTCACCAACATCAAACCACTCTGTTTTGTGGTGACCTGAATCCTCACGTGCTGCCGCTATAGCCTCCCTTAAAGCAAACGCAACGCTGATTGCTAAACATATAGGCGGTTCAGATACCCCTGAAAATTAAAAGGAGTACAATATTTCTTCCTTTAAAAAAAATTTACATGATTTTTTGTACAATTAGAATGGCACAGTTATACAAGAATAGCTCCAGTGATATCACGTTGTCTTACCTATGGATGTATTGAGTTTTTACCCACACTGTTTATCTACGGTGAAGATAAAGGAAAAGACAAAATGTTGTAATTGTAGATTGTGGTTTATGTGCCATTTGATTCTGTAGCATACATCAAATGTTTCTGTAAAATGAAGGAACTCCTTTTTTATAAACTGCGTCATCTCTGATCTCTGTTGTCTCAAGATGGCGGCGGAAATATTAATTAGGTACAAAGAAGGAGGAAAGCAGTATGGCGACCATGTATTCATTTCTATTACCAAATATCACATTTAAATACAAAAGTATACATATTCCTTTTATAATAAAAATATAAAGAAAAATAAACGCGCAAATACACGGTGTCATGCTGGTGAACTCTGTAATTTGCCATATCTCAAAAGTATACAAAATGTTTATTGTTGCAAACTGGTAAGACAGCTGACTAATGTATGTAACCTTGGACAATGTCGAATTATATGGATAATAAGTTAATTTCAATGGAGTTTATTGTCAACTAATTTTTAAAAGGGTATATTTTTCATCATATCGAAAAGTGTGGTAACAACTTATACTGCACTTTTCCAAAAGTTACATTAAACTTCAGAATATAACATTATTATTTATACTATGTATATTTGTCCTTACCTTTAGACCCTAAAACACCAATCGGGTTATATGAATTCCGCCGCACTTGTACTCTTAAATCTAATGGAATGTCTTTTGCTAGCGGCACTTTATAGTACCAAGTCCGGTCTGTAAGTAGCTCTCCAGTGTTTTCATCATATATCATATGTTCATGAGTCCAGTATCCAATACCCATCACAAAAGCGCCCTCGATCTGAAATTACGTAATTAAATTGTTATGAGTATTAGACATACTTCTATAATCATCATTTCTTTGAATTTATTACCCGCTATATACAAATTTCAGTGCTCTTAAAGATATTAATAAACGACTAGGTACTACATTATATAATATTACACCACAGGTATCTCGTATACTACTGACATTATATAATAATAAATTAAATAATATACAACTTAATGTTCATACAAAAAATAATGTGCTGTATAAATAACCTGATCTTTATTAAAAGCATGTGTGAGCAAAAATATGTATTTGTTATTGATAATTAACAGCAATACAATACAATTATTATTTTAATGTATCTATGATAGCGATCAGAATTATTTTGTAGAAGAACACCAGCTTACTAAATTTATTTCCTCTACAATCTATTGGAAAATATAAAGTAAAATTTATCTATAAAAAAAGATTTATCTATAAAACAATTAATTTTACCTGTCCAATGTCAAGTTCAGGATTCACACTGGTGCCAATATCTTGAACTATATCTACTCTTAGGATTTCATGTTCTCCAGTCAATATATCTAATTCTACTTCAGTTAAGGCGACACCTCCAACTCTATATGGTTGGTGATCATTACCGTTCACATGATAACTTGCTTGCAAATTAATCCCTTGGTTATAAGCAGTCTCTACCAACAGTTCCCATGTCGGATTATTCAAAGACTCTCTAACTACAGATAATCGATCTAATATTATTTGACAACACTTGATAGCTCCAAAGACAATTAATTGACTTGTCCGACTCCCTCCTGTGGTATAATTATTAGGAACTGACGCAACATCGGCAGGTTTAACCTTTACTTTGTCTATTGAGATATTTAGAGTATATGCAACAACTTGTATTATCTTTGTATTCATACCCTGGCCTATTTCTATGCCACCATGTTTAATTGCAATGGTACCATCAGCATGATAGACTGATAATAGTATGTGGTAATCCATTTGAATGGATATGGGGTAACTCATCATGGCGACTCTCAGACCGCGTTTCTTCCACCTATTCATTTCATTGAACTTTTTTACTTCTTCTTTCCGTTTGTCATATTCGCCATCCTTGAGTACAGTTTGTACCATTTCAGCAACATCCGGATATTGTGAATTGAGATTGTTTAGACGAACACGTACTGGATCCATATTTATTTCATATGCAATTCGCTCCATCACATACTCTGTCATTGATATACCTTCTAAACTTCCTGTTTACAACCAAGGTACAAGCATATTAACGATATTTACTAAAAATATTATTTGATCAATAACATTGTATAATATATATTAATAATTTCGTCAAGGGGTATGGTAGACTCGAACCTTATGTGAATAACAAAACATAAAAAAATATTGATTTCGAGTCGACAACATATATCCGCAAAATTCGTATTATGGAGTATTTCGTTAAATTCTAATGACACAGCAGTCAAACAAACTGCAGTCGCCATCTTTTCATGTCACTAGCTAGCAACCAATCAACACTACGCGTGCGTTCGCGCCAAAGATCCATCACAAAGAACTGTGACATATGACATGTGTCGTTGACGTTTCGCGAAAATATAGTTTTTGACACTTTTTTATGATAAAAGAGTATACAGTTATGTGTTTTTTCTTTAAGTGAGACAAATTTGACAATATTTTTTTATTAATTTGTTTCATGACTCTGGATACAAGTCCTTTTTAGCCCAACTTAAAGTTTTACAACATAACTGACAAAAAATAAAGTCAGTGTCCAATGTCAAATAATAATAAATGTCAAATGTTGTTTCTCTGTTCTGATGAACTTATTAAAAAAAACTTAATAACAATCACAATTTCTTCACATTTTATTATTACACACATAATGCCAGGTATTTGCATTTTTTAAATAAGGTTGTAGCACTATTGGAAATTAATGTTATTTACACATTTTTATAGGTTATGCGGAAATAATGTGTGGGTGTTCATTTAAAAAGCATTAACACAAAATTAATAAAGTATAGGTAGGTTTTAATAAATATATGGTTGTTGTATCAAAATAGATTTTGTTATTTTTCACTAAAATAAAAACTAACTTTCCTTGCCTTTTTTATAAAACAAATGACCCTTTCATAGTGCCATATATTATTTAACTGATTGTAAGAAAAAATGTTGGTTTGTAGATTAATACTGTAAAAATTACTATTTGTACGGAAATGACAAAAATATATTTTTATTCTGTATAACACTACGACAGTAGTGGAAACATTAGTAATAAATTATAAATAAAATTATAGAATTCTGTTATGGAAGCGTCATATTAAACTTTAAAAGAAATTTGTTAGAATAAAAGTTTCCGCTTAAACAAATCGGTATGGCTACCCCGCTACAGGTGGTAACATTTTTTTTTTGGTTCTGTTTATCCTTAATCGGAAAGGCAAAGGGAACTGCGTCCATACAGCCGAGTTGGGAACATTATTTGAAAATTTGACATTTAAACCTGTCAATTTAGTCTCCCGGATTAAAAAACAAACTATAACCAGGTATGGCACTTAGTAATTAATTTGTATTAATTACTAAGCTACTTGGTGTCCCTGTAACCCCAAGCCTCGCATGTTTATGGGGGCTCGACCCCAGAGTGGGAGCATAGCAAATGCGAGAGGGAAGGTTGAAAGGAAGAGGAAATGCATAGGAAAAAGAGGAAGACGGAGAAAAGGACGGTGGTGGCCCACGTCGTCGTACTGAAAGAGCGACAAAACTAGGAACTCGGCAAATCCCGGAGAGTCACGCGGACCAAATAAAAAAAAAAGATTGAAAATGACGATCAAGAATGGGAAAGATGTTTGGATGAAACAATTGGTTTTAAATATCTGGCAAAGTAGAGAGAGCTTAAAACAAAGAGGTTTACAGAGAATAAACCTTAAAAGTTATATGTTTTGTTAATTTATTTTGAATGTTGATTTAAAATAAAAATTATTTGTATAAATACTTTTGCACTTATTATTTACTATAGTGTTTATTAAACACAATGAACGAAGCTTTACGTATCTATGCCTTAGTTACCTTTAATATTCTTTGAGAACCGATGACTACAGAAATATCTACCCGAGCGAAGCCGGGTTTTCATCTAGTATATATTAAAGTCACATTACTATAAAAATACATACGATGGATAGTTATGGATGTAAGAATGCTTTCTGTGAATTAAAATTAATAGGCAAAATAATAGAATAAATTAGATTATTTCATTTCGTAAGTTCATGTGAGGGTTTTTGGGTAAAACAGCATCTAAGTTGAATATAATTTTATTTGATATATGTCTACAAAAGCAATCTGATAGGAATAATAGAAGACAGGAAACAAAGCAATATCGTTGACACATAACTTTCCATCGAGTGTACCGTGCCAGTACTGACACTCCTCTTCACGGTGTATGTCGTGGTTAAGTTAACCCCAAACTTCTTCTCAATGTCTCCAGTCGCGGTCCAGCTAAAGCCTTTGTTAACATATCTGCTTCCATTTCATCAGTAGGTAGATATTTGACTACAATTGTACCGTCTTCTATACAGTCTCTGATAAAATGTAGCTTTAAATCAATGTGCTTTGACTTTGAAGTCACCATAGCATTTTGGCTAAGTTTGAGGGCGGCTTGATTGTCGTTAAAAATTGTTATGTTATTATAGTTTGTACCGAGATCTTTATATGTACCCTTTAGATGAGAATAGCTTCCTTCGCAGCTTCGGTCAGGGCTGCATATTCCGCCTCTGCTGTAGACAAAGCGACACTCCTCTGCTTCTTAGACATCCAGCTTATGGCTGTCCCAGCATACTTGAAACAGTAACCTGAAAAAGATTTTCATGCGCCCCAATCTGTGTCCGCCATACCATATTAATCTTCTCCAGTTTTTCTAAAAGTTAGGCCGTTTTTTGTCTTTTTCAAATAACGCATTACTCTTTTAGCGCTCTTGAAATGCTCCTCTCCATAACAATCATTGAACTGGGATAAGTAGCTAATGGCAAACATGATATCGGGACGAGTAGCTACCGCCAAGTACATAAGGGAACCTATTAAATTTTTATATGGGATATTTTTCTTTTCATATTCTTCTCCCTTTTGTAGTATGAAGCCTGACTCTATGGGTGTCGATACAGGCTTACAATCTTCCATTTTGTATGTTCTGAGAACATTTTCAATAAATCTTTCTTGGTTTAATTTTATTGTATTATTTTCATAAGTTATATCTATACCAATCAGTCGTTTCGGTTGACCTAAATCTTTGAGTTCGAATTTTAAATTTAAAAGGTCTTTAACTTCTTTTAGAATAACGGGACTTGAGTAAGCGATTAATAAATCATCGACATAAATAGCAATGATTATTTTTTCTCCTCTTTTCTCCTGTATGTATAGACAGGGATCGGCATTTGATGATTTAAACCCTATATTTTTCAATTCCATGTCGAGTTTTTTATGCCATTGCCTCCCCGCTTGCTTAAGTCCATATAGAGCTTTAATAAGACGACAAACTTTCCCTTTTGGTATGTTTTTTATGTCCATTAACATATTCATTATTTTATTGTATAAAGTCAGATCATCTTTTTCACTCTCATCAACCAGTATTTCTGTTAAGTACTCTTCTAAATAGTCAGGATATTTCATTATAATATATTCTTCTAGTTCACCATTTAGGTACGCTGTGGTTACGTCCATTTGGTTTAACTTTAAACCTTCTTCCATAGCTATTCCGATAACCGATCTGATTGAACTTAATTTTGCAACGGGTGCATACGTTTCATTGTAATCAACGCCTGGTCGTTGAGTGAAACCCCGTGCTACAAGTCTGCCTTTTCTAGTAATTTTATTATCTGGCTCAATTTTATTTCTTAAAACCATTTTGTAATCTACTTCATTCATGTTCTCTTTCTTTTCCTCTATTTTCCAGGTTTCATTCTTAACATGTGCTCTAATTTCAGCTTTTATCGCATCATGCCAGTATTCATCAGTTTCACTTCCATCAGTCAAATAAGAAAATTCAGAGAATAGTATACTTTCATTCGTTTCATTTAATGTGTAATCCTTGGTCCACTCCGGGGGCCGGCGGTCTCTTTGTGGCCTCCCATTCACAGGTCTTTCTACAGTTCCTGTTGTTTCATCGTGAGAATCTACATTTTCTGTTAAATCGGTGTGATCCCGATTATTTGAACTTTGTAAATAATTTTTATTCTCTGTAAATTCAATTTCTATTTGTTGTGTATTTAAATTATTATTTTTCTTATATATGTTGTCTCTTATTTGACATTCTGTTGTAGGAGTTTGTGAAATTTGTTCGTCATCGTTCAAAAGGTTATTATAATTTTCAACATTTTCTTCATAATACATTTTATTTATTATTTTTACATCTCTGCTAGTTACCACATCATTATCTTTAGGTATATATACTCTATAGGCTTTGTTGGTCAAAGAGTACCCTACGAACACACCCTCTTTGGTATTTTGAGTCAATTTTCCTCGTCTATTCTTTTTTAATACGAAGGTCTTCCTGCCAAAGATGTTGAGATGAGTGCCAGAAGGTGTCCTACCTAACCAGTTCCTAAATGGTATATCACCTTTTAATGATTTAGAGGGGCTACGATTAATCAGGTAATTTGCAATAGATATAGCCTCTGCCCAAAGGTTTATAGGTACTTTTGATTCAATCATTAGGCACCTGGCTTTGTCCAATAACGATCTATTTTTTCTCTCGCTAATTCCATTTTGTTGTGGAGTATAAACGATTGTTAGCCTCCTTTGGATACCATGCGATTTAAGGAAATCGTCAAACTCTTTGTTACGATATTCAGTACCGTTGTCTGACTGTAAATATTTTATCCTTTTATTATGAAAAGTTTCAACTTCACTTTTATATTGTTTGAAAATTTGTAATACGTCACTTTTCCTTTTTATAAAATAGACATGACAGTATCGAGTATTGTCGTCTATAAAAGTGACATAATATTTCGAACCTGCCAATGTTTCGTGTTCGAATGGTCCACAAACATCGCTATGAATTATTTCTAGTGGTACCGTTGTATATAATTCGTCATATCGATTGAATGGTTGTCTCGTCAATTTTCCTTTTATGCAGGTCTCACATGTTTCTAACTTTTGGTCAGATAAATTTAAACCATACATTAGGTGATTTTTAGCCATTGTATTTAAATCTTTTTCGTTTATATGGCCGAGTTTGCGATGCCATTCCATGACGTCTGTGCTTATTTTTGGTGTGTAATGCGCAGTCTCGTTCTTGTCAAATTCGATGTAATACAGCTCATTTCTTCTTTGCGCTGTAATTGCCACCTCGCCGCTTTTCTCAATGACGTAGGCTTTGTCTTTTTCAAAAACGACTTTATTTCCTCTGTCAGTAATTTTACTTACTGACAATAGATTTATTGACATATCCGGAACATACAATGTATTATTCAAATTATAACCTTGATTATTTGAATTTACGGTTACTATTCCTTTACCTGGAATTCCACTGCTGTGCTTACTTGACGCTAATCTTAATGTGCCGCTGTCTGGGGTCAATTTAGTAAAAAATGATTTATTGTTGCAAATATGAGATGAACAGCCGCTGTCCAAGCACCATGTATTTTCACTAGTGTCTTGTTCTATAGTACTAAGGCAAACATTGAAATTTTTGTGTTGTTAGCCGTTGTCTCTCTCTTTGCCACCTTTCTTCTTTCCCCAACATGCTTCGGTGGTGTGGCCCTTTTCCTTGCAATTCTTGCAGTACTTTTGTTTCTTATTTTTAAGATGATATGCTTCAGAGCTTTGGCCTTGTTCATTACCGCTCTTGGCCTGATATTCTTCCAATATTTTTACCTTCAGGTCTTCGGGGTTTGGTAATGAATCCCGTGACTCTATGGCTATTCTGAAGTTATCAAATGTTGCTGGTAGACTATACAGTAACATAATGCTGAGTAACTCTGGAGGTATTTTGATCTCCATGTCAGCGAGTTTATCCACGATGTCCATGAAGTTTATTTATGTGATCGCAAATATCTTCTCCAACATTCATACGCTTTAGAACCAGTTGTTTCAGCAAGGTCGCTTTTCTTGCTGGTCCGGCGCTCTGATATATTGATTTTAATTTGTCCCAAACAGCTTTGGATGTCATGTAGGCTTTAATTTGTTTTAATTCCGACGGTGATAATAAAAGTAGAATTTCTGCTCTTGCCTTTAAGTCCTCTCTATTAAATTCTGTCGTTGCCGCTGCATCAGCACTGGGTGACAATGTTTTTGCGCCACTTACGATATCCCAGTAATCATTTTTGATCAATACGGCCTGCGCTTGCAGGCTCCAAGTATCGTAATTTTCTTTTTTTAAAGGTTCTATATTGCGGAAACTCGACGCAGATGCCATTTTATTGTGAACCACGCTCTGCTACCAATTTGTGAGGGTTTTTGGGTAAAACAGCATCTAAGTTGAATATAATTTTGTTTGATATATGTCTACAAAAGCAATCTGATAGGAATAATAGAAGATAGGAAACAAAGTAGTATCGTTGACACATAACTTTCCATCGAGTGTACCGTGCCAGTACTGACAGTTCACTTCATATAATATGTTCAAGTAATCTCGTTCATCACATTATTGAAATTAGTGAATATCATTTTTTTAAGAAATGTTTTCAATTAGAAGACAATTGAAGAATTTTTTTTCAATGTTGGATAGTTCCTCTATCAAGGAAGGTTATAGACTATATAACATTATATTGCGACGGTGCTACAATAGAAACTGTTGCAAAAACGGCGAAAATGTGGGGCAGAAGAAGTCACGCGAGTCAGCTAATCAATAATATTATATAACAGTGCGTTACAGCAGTCTGTACCAACAATATATGTAAGTCGAGAAAACACCAGTAGAAGATGACCGACGCAATTAGTATATTAATATATATCTTTACATAATATCAAAAATAATGTCAACAATAGAATCACTAGTTTCCATCTATAGAAATTTCTCCTTAAAAGCTGTGAACGATTCCATACGAGTTTACGTTTTTGACTAACCTGGTGCTCTAGCGTAAGTATTGGATGCTGTATCCGTTGTTACATTAAATATCTTATGTTCCCATCTTGTATTGTTGTAGCAGTTTTTCAAAGCGGTTGTAACGAATTGCGAAACTTGATCGGCGAACACATATCCATTATCTTCATAGATGTGATATTCAAAATATTGTATTTCACCAGAATTGTTGACCCCCAACTGAAAAAGTAAAAGTTTGGAATAGAAAAGAATTCAGAAAATATCTGAATATAATTATCTGAAATATAATTTACAATGATATTTTTGAAGCTACTGGTTCTACAGTTTAGTATTTGGAATGTTTAATATGCGATTGATTTGACTTTATAAGTAATGTAAAATTCAAAATAGGATATTAATTTAAATAGGTCAAAATGGATTCATAATTAACAATGACCCTGTAGGAATTATTAAATGGTTGAAGTATTTTAAAATAATAATGCCATAAATCGATGTTGACGGGACGTGTATTTGAATAAGAATTATAAATAATATTGACATAGATTATAAATTATGAAGTGCCTAAAATATCTTCTTAGCAATAATTATAAATATTATAGTGTTGCTAATAGAGCGTTTCTGGCGTAAACAGACCCAATAATGCTATGAATTGCTCAACTTATGAAAAGTGTACAAGAAAGATATTCTCCGTTCCTTTTGTAACGAGGAATCTTATAGATAAGATTATAATTACAGTTGAAATATACGTATATCCAAATAATGTTTTTACGTTTATTGTGAACTTTGTATTCTGTTTGTCTGTATTCTAACGTCTGGTATGTTTGTTTCGTTACCGACATTTGCCAATTTTAAGGTTCTAGCAGTGTACAGTTTTTGATCTAAATGTATACTAACCTCATATTCAGACTTGCACGGTAGACGCTTCCCTATAACTCTCAAACTAGCCTGTATGGTCAGCACAAATCTTGAAGGTCTATTCATCAGGTAAGTGACAAGTGCACCTACACAAGCCACGTGATTGGTGCGATTTATTTTCAGACCGTATGCGCCACCGCACCTTGGTACAGTCACATTTATTCTGTGGATGTAGTAATACAATAATAACATAGTACATATACATTTATTTAGAAACTAGAATGTTACTAAACAAAACAGTTTTACTTAATCTAAATTTTTATTTATTACTTGGATCAAATGTCGACATATCGACAAAAACATAAATGAGAAAAGAAGATAATGATAATTTTTATTTTAACCTAATGCAATAATATCTATCCTACCTTTATATAAAAAATGCAACTTCTTACCGATTCTGTTTAATATGCAAAGCATCCGCAACTGAAACATGTACTGAATCAGTCCATTGAGAACATGGATATATGTCGATGCCATCTTCGCTAGGAATAGAAATGCTAGATAAGGTCTCCATAGGATAATGGTACTGCCATGATATATCTTGGGACCCTTTGATAATTCTATGAACATCTAAGCCTCTGTCTCGCGCAGGAATTATGATATAAAGTGAAACACGACTAGGATTTCGTTTTCGTGCCTCCGATATTGTTAAAATTGGTTTTCTTTTGTCGACTTTATATTTAATTCGAACTAGTAGAGCTGCTCTATTTGCAAGCTTTTCAGTTTCAGCCACTATAACACCTATAGCTTGGTCATAATATTTTACTTCTTTTTCGGCAAAAATCTCTTCCGGTGCCATTTGACCCAGCACTCTTTGAGATACGAAATTATTATTTCCCGTAATATCTTTGGCAGAGAAAAATGCTAATACTCCAGGTAATTTCTATAAAAAAGGTAACAAAGATCTTATGGTTAGTTCTAAGCTAATTCGATAAATATTTTAGAATTTCGATGACAAAACTGTATCGTTTGTGTGATCTACAATATGATTAAAATTACCAATAATCCTGATTAGTACATTGTATATTTTTTTCCGTTTCTACCTATTTCTCCGTATATGTTTTAACTGCCCAATGATTTTGATGCGAGTTTAAGTTCATTGTTATTACCATATTTTTAGATTATGAACAGAAAGCTAACTAAACTCGTTATAGATGGTATAATATCTAAAATATATCATCATTCCGTGTTTTCATTAGGTATTATAAGAGTTGATTTGGATTATATTGCACAGGAGACGTATTGGGTATGATGAACTGTAAATTGTAAAAGGTAATAAATAGTGTAATATAACTAAAGTATGATTGTAAATGAAATTGATATAATTACCAATGCTGGAGTGGGGTCAATACTTTCAATTTCACCGGTGCAAATATCAGATGTAACAAATGCACAAAATATTTCCCTTGGATCTTTTGGTATATCATTAACATACTTTGCTTCACCCGAAGTTTGCACTAGAGCATCCAGTTTAGGCATTGGTTCAGTAATAGGCCATATTATTGGATTAGTATCAAATACTGTGGTTCCTTTGGACAAAGGTCTAGTTTTTCTAAAATCTCTAGCACCTGATCGATACCAAGGTTTCAGTTTTTTCTCAGGTATTAAATTCAGCAAACCCTTAAAATTTAAAATAGTTGTATTATTAATATCACATCATAAATAACTATAAATTCGATAGAAATTTCAAGAAGAATATTTATACAAAATTGTCTGATGCGTCTCGTCTATTTTCACAGCATGCTACTGCAAGGTGTCATGTTTATAAGTTAAAAAACACTTTAGTCCAGCAAAAGTACCGTGAGAAGGGTACACTACAAAATACAATACAATGCACATTATTAATATTATAAACGAAAGTTGGCGAGTATGGATGGATGGATATTTGATAAATAATCTTTTATACAAAATCTATGAATAATATAAGGCTATAAATTTCACAGGTAATTCGCGGGCACCTATAGTATTGTAATATTCCTGGTACTGATAATTTAGGTAACAGATAGCACTCGTGAAATATAGAAATTGAAAACATATAAATTTAATTTTAAACACCCTTTGTGTCGTCTTTATTATTTAATTTAGTGCTGCTAATTTTCATTTATTTACCTGTTTATTATGATTTTGTGTTTATTTTAGAAATTGAGCAATATCGTAAATATCAATATATTATACCTACAAATAAAATTAACAAAATAAATCTGTCATAGCGACAAGAGTATACCAATATCCTACAAATAGAATCCATACACGAATATGACGAATGTAAGAGATTACAAGAACAAGTATCCAACCTTGTAGAAAAGACCAAGAGCAGTCTTTCTTCTGTATTCAGGAGATAGCTCTCCTGCAATTTCGTCTACTATTAATTCATCATTTAATACGTGAAGTGCTTGTTGCAGTATGGAGTTGTTAAATATTTTCTTCATGATTAAAAATGTTTCAGTTGCTCGAGCATGAACAAAATGTGCGGATAATCCTCCAATGACAATGCTGGCGGATAAAATTGTTTCTTTGTCGTGTGGGTCGAATTTGTATAGAAATCCAGCGTTCACTGAAGCATGGGCGTTTTGGGATCGTGGCATTATCTGTTCAAAACAAAATCTTTAGTGATTATTATTATCATTGATTGCGATTATATTTTTAATGATGGGGGTTAGAATATGATAGATTGGTTTTAGTTATTAACTGAGGCTAATTACCATATTATACATGTTGATACGAGTAAAGTAAATGTCGGTAATTATCAGTGAGCCAATTTGAAAAATATTTCTCTGTTTGAAGAGTACAGAAGTTCAGAGTCCCTATTCGTATATTATTGTAATAATAGAATTTAGAAAGTTATGAGACGTAGTACACGAGATTGCATCTGTGATCGTGCATTCTAAAGGAATGAAAATACCTATTTGGTTTTAAAATATAATAAAAATAATACCTTGAATGAAACAAATTCGTAATTACCAGATAACGGTGGTATACTGATTGATGTTATGACTTTTCCAGTCATATCTATTAATGTAAAGTCTTCCAACGTTACATTATGAACTGTGGTTTTCTCAACTGAAACATATTATAATTATATCTATATTATTAAAATCTTAGTAGAGTTTGTTTTAAATATAAATACATTCATTATTAAAGTTCATAGCAATATATTATGGTACCTGATTAAAGATGTAAATATTGAAAATAAAATGATAGACATTAATGTTACCTCAAAAATTTAATATCGAAAATCAAGACAATTATATTATGAATTACTTAATATGCAAACAAAGATATCATCCAACAAGAAATCAGATCAAACATTTTAGGCCATAATATGTACTTTTGTGTTGAGTTATTAGTTAATTGTAAACTTATATTGTAATATTAGGTACCTATTGTCAAGATGGCTCCTATGGTCTCAAGCAATAAGAAAATATCCGAAGAAAAGGTCAGCAATCTATTTTTTATCATCAAATTACCAGCTATTGTACCAATCTAGAAGAAATACAAATTTAACAGTTAAAAAGAATATAATAACAATATAGTCAACTCATGGACAGAAAAAAAATGCAAAAATTACATTAAATGCCGAAGTATTTTGGTCAAAATTATATTTGGATGGGTGGACAACTCTATATAGCAACAATTAGATTTTTTTCTTCTAACTATAGCAGTGTAAATTACCAGTTGTAAATATTCTTGTTTATTGATGTGATTTGTTTTTCTTTACTACTTACGTTTCTAACAGGAATATGAGCCACTAGATCTAAATGTTCATATAGTTTCTGTAAGTAGGCAAACTCCACTTGTTGATGTGAAACAGTTTTGAAAATGTCCATCAGATCTGTCAGAGTTGTACCTGCTCCAACAACCAAATTCTGATCAATATAATGACCTTTCAATTCTTTCACAGGACTTATATCTATAAGTACTCTTGGAAATGAAAATATTGGAGCTACACCTGAAAGAAGATAATTTTTTATTAAAAAAAATTAGTCATGCATTAGTATGGGCACTCCTTGGGAATACAAAAAAGTTTCGTAAGTTAGCTTATCGACAGTTTTAAGTTTTAAGTATTTGAGCGACCGATCTTCACTCGGCGTCTTTATTTAGTACATCGTTCCTGAAATAATCACTGAAGAAGATAAATGCGAATTTGTATTCAAATAATCATGAGCTATTTGCAAATTTATGTCTTTGTTTTATTAAATTTAATTTTATTAGTAGTAATTTTCTTCTCCGAATAGATAGTAATTAGTACGGTTATTACACATAAAGTTAAATTATTAAAAAAATACTTAAATTAACTTACCTCTGCCGGTGTTACCATTTACTAACATGTAAGAATCGTATCCTTCAGTATCTAATATATTAAATATATCGTGTACTTGGGTGATTCTATACCAAATTCGGTCATCTTTTAAATAGATTTTTTTTATTGTGTTGCCTGTATCATTAGCGTTCACAAAACACCAACTCTTCTCGCACGTATGTCCACAGTTGTCTTTATTTTTACAAGGTTTTAAATCTTCGATATCCTCTAATTTAGGTTTTGGAGCATCTTTAGCGAAGCTTTTGAATGCATCTAGTATAGGCCTATAACCGGTACATCTGCACGTATTGCTTCCAAATGAATTCTCTATTTCATGTTGGGTTATATCATGGTGGCTGGATTCTAATAAGCTGAAAAATTAGCTGAAATATTGTTATCAAAGGATTGGTAAGTTGTCGTTTAATAACTATACAAAATAAATCACTATATATGACACTCGTCCTATTTGCTTATAGACCAACTACAAATTAAATTTATTGTTCAATTACAAATTAATTGTTTTTGTTTCACGAGAAATTTCTTTCTAGATAATTAATTAAATACTAATTTATTATAATTTTTACTTAATTTCTTCATTTTATAATTTATATATCGGATTATTATGAAAGTACTACATTCATTAATATATGCTTACCTGTACATACTCATAACCCATCCTGGGGAGCAGTATCCACACTGAGTGCCGTCGTACTCGGCTAAAGTCCTCTGTATTGGATGGTAACCGCGTCCTCTGTCTCCTACACCCTCTATCGTTGTCACCTCCCAATCTTGACATGATGTGATTGATACGAGGCACTATAAATTGTTATTAATTTCACATATTAGAAGGTATTCTCCTATATAATAAAACTTTCTGACGTGTTTCAATATCACGTTAATACATTTTGTTTCACAGAATTGACACAATTAAGTGATTCCACTAGTAAGTGGATTTCACTGGTATGTCTCATGAATCTAAAAGGTTGTTTATTTTCTTCAAAGATTTTATCACAAAACCCAGGTATACAAAACATTAAATTGTTTCTGCGGAAGTTCCTACATAGGTCAAACTAAGTTAGCTGTCTTTTACTGTATTAAGGAGCGTACAAAATCAGCAAAGGATAATAATAAACACAAGTCTGAACACTTCATAGACTCGATCTCGAATCACATCAAATGTCATAATATAAAAAAAAAATATACAGAAGCGCATTATCTCTTTAGAATTATCATTTATTTAAGAAGTAATTGAAATATGCCAATATCATAATTTCAATAAGTTGTGATTATCATCTGATTTTGAGTAGTAGTGGTTGACGGTGTACGAAAACAAATTAAGATAGCAGGTCTGCTTGTAATAATTATTTACATCCACCATAATAAGTACATGACAATAGTAACCAATTACGTGCGTCGCAGCCGCAGGAGTTAAAAAAAACCGAAATTATTTTAATATATTTAATTAAAAATAAAATATTACAAACTAAAATATGACTATAACTATCTTTGGACGAAGTTGGTACCGAATTGAGTTAAATTGACAAATACTGAGCCGCGGAGTTAGCAGTTGCCCAGCGCGGTGGCTCAACGAAGATGTGGGGCGCTGATTCGTCATTTCGAAATACGGGCACAAAGTACAAGGCCGTGCTCCTCATCAGCAATTTCTTTATTAGCAACAGCTATAACACCTCCCCTCGTAGACACGCAACTATTTCAGTACGTTTAGGGAAAAAGTTGCGGGATGAATCTCGTCGTGGGATGAATCTGGCATCGTCACAGCGTCTGGTTGATTAGCATCTGTCTGGCGCCGGTATTGGCATAGGTGTCGTCGGCTTCATATAATTCCGGCGAATACTATTAAGCTCAATACTACTACATAGAGTGGTACAGTAGTATGGTAGAGCGCTGAAGTATAGTTCTGATTTACGAATATAGGTGATTGTCTGTCTATGGTGTTCTACAGTTCATGAAGACCTTTCAGATCAATTGAGTAACTTTTGAATGTTGGTTGAGGAGAAGTCACTGCCATCCAGTTAAGAGTAGGTTGAATTATCTTAACAGGTTGTCCTTGTATCTTATCGTTCTTAATATATATTACGAAGTCTTATCGTATTAGTAATAAGATAGCTTCCGTTTAGAATGATGTAGTCGTCTCGGGAACATGTTAACTTAAGGGGGTCTTCCTATGTGATGGGTTGAAAAAATCGATTTTTTTTTTTCATAAATTGCTCCCTTAACATGTCTAGAATACGGTAGTAAAGCGATTTTAGAAAATTCGAAGTCGTTTTAAAGATACAGCAGGTAAAAGAAAGAGCGGTTCGGAGCGGTGAGTTGGCAGTTAGAGACCGGGCCTATTGTGTACCGTCGGCTTTATACCTGGCCTCCCTTTTATTAATATATTTGTTTATACAAGTTTAGACACGTTTAGGTAAACTTACTGATAAAGTTATCCAAGAAATTACAAAATTCTACGGATTAGCAATTCGACGCCATCCAGATTCGCTTGAAGATATGAGAAAGGAAGTTTGGGCAACGTACTATCACAAATGTTCTTCTGATGAAAACCCTCAGCATCAATTTTGTCCAGAAGGCGAAGACAGTTGGTGTAAATGGCGTAAGGCTGAAGCTAATAATGAACTGGACCAATTTCATCACGATAAACCACCTCTAATTCCGCAAGTCCAAGAAGCTATCAAACCGGTTTTCGAAGATTTATCGAAAGACGAATTATTAATTCGTTGTTTAGGAGCAGAGACACAAAACAATAACGAATCTTTGAATTCTTTGATTTGGACTTTCGCTCCTAAACATCTTCATTCTGGTCCCAAAGTTGTTGAAATTGCTAGCTACTTAGCAGTTATTATCTTTAATGAAGGTTTTCAAGGTATTTTAAAAGTTATGTCGATTATGGGATGCCCTGTTGGTCGTGAAGCCCAAGCGTATGTTGAGAAACGGGATGAAAAGCGAATCTTACGCTCTGAGCGGCGCGTAAGTGATGTCGTTAAACAAGCCAGGATTGACTCAAGAGCTGAACAATCTGCTTTAAAAGAGTTTCACGAGGAAGAGGAAGGAATACTCTATGGACCAGGCATCGCCGATTGAGAGTAAGTTGATATTTTAATAGTTTTTAACGGACTTGAAACTTTAAACGCGTTTTTCTCAAAACTGTGTTTTTCAAACTTTCCTCCATTGTATCTCAGAAACGGCTGGACCGAATTACTTGAAATTTACAGGGCACACTCAATATATGTAAACGCATGGAATGAACTATTATCAATCGAAAATTTTCAAAACTTCGATTTTTTTATAGCAAAAAAAAAAAAAAAAAAACGCCTAATTTGCAACTTTTATTTCAAATGTCTATCAAAAATCCAATTTTTTTTATATTCATTTGATTATAGGTCATTCCGTGCTTTTAAGCCTACAAATTTTTTTTTTCAGATAAGCCGATCAGCCGGAATCGTGGAGGAAGTGGGAGCTCTTTTTTTCGAGGCGGGGGTGTTCAGAGCGCTGTAACTCTAGTTTGACTGAATATTTTTAGCTGAAATTTTATATTTATACTGTCCAAATATGTGTTAATAAATGATAAAAAACTTGAAGCTCTAAATATTTACTGGTCGTAGAAAAAAATCCTAAAATATCCCTAAAAAACAGGCCGTCACATAGGAAGACCCCTTTAACTCTTGTGGGGTTCGGGAATACAATAGAATAATGTCCGTCATCCAGTTTCTCCATGGCTTCTTTAGATAATGATAATGTTGTCATCTTGCAAGATTTATCTTCTATCTGTTCAGTTAGTAATTTGGAAATGCAATCTGGTTGTGTTTTAATTTGATGATGGTAGTTGTCGTCGCTTAAATAATACCGGTTATTTATCTTCGGACATTCAGCCTCCATATACACATGAACATTCCCGTGGGTTGCTATATAAGGATGTGGTGGAATTATGATTTGGTTAAATTGGTTTGGAACGATGGATAGTTTGTAAAGGTTATAAACCTGCAGGGATGTTATCGGGAAACTAAATGCTATTACTATTCTTTTGCCTACGTAATACGCTCCAGATTTAATTATGTTATAAAATTCACGTAGTTCTATGTCTAATAATTGATCCTTATTATATGTTATTTCTAACTTCTTTATCATATTACTTAATATATCTACTCCTAACATTATATGATGGGTGCTCGATGCACGTGTAAATGCTAAAATATCTTTTATTCTACGTATTTCTAGTAATAATTCACTTATATTATCGCTTACTGCATCTAACAATTGCGCAAACTTTGCGTACTTAATTAAACTATAGTCTACCTCCTTTTGCTTATCTAATATAGAAATTAATGTCTTATTAATAGCATTTTCGTTTTCTATGATTTTATTAATGATATCAGTATGATGGGCCATCCAATCTTTACTAAGACTGATATGATGGTTATATTCGGTTATAATCTTGTCCTGGTGAACTTTAAGAGTATTTAATGCATTATCATACTTAATAGCGTCAGAATAATCTAAATTTCCTGATATACTTTTGATAACGGAACCTAAACCATTAATTAAACCTTTTTTTTTTTTTTTTTAACGTGTGGAAAAATCTTCAAAAGACCGTCACCCCGCCGGAGGGATGGCGAGGTGGTGTGTGGGTCTTGTACCCACTAAAAACCACACGGTGTACCTACGAGCGCCTATGCCGGAGCCAGGGGATTCGCAGGTGCATTCTACCCCAGCTCCGACGGCGACGGCCCGCCCTGTAGATGTTGTAGGGCAGGCCCCATCTCGTTTTGTGGTTAGGGCGACCTATTTCGCCCTACTCCTTTGTGGAGGCGTATGGGTACACGCGCACACCTCCGGGGCCTTTGGATTGGGGGACTGCCTCCCTCAAGGCAGTCACCCCGGCCCCAGTGGGGGATAGAGGGGGGCGGAGTTGGATACGCTCCCACCTCTAGGCCTGGCTCTTCTGCGGCGGAGGGAAGCGGGACGATCTGACTCCCGCTCCCTTTCCGCCGCCTCCTTCCGCGAGATAACTTCCTCGCAGAAGGAGCTCACCGCCAGCCACGATCTCTCGCTACTGACCATCCTCCGAACTAAATTCGGCAGCGAGAGATCGTCCCCCACTATTCGTGTGAGGACACGGCGCTCACTCTCAAACGCTGGACATATTTCCAGCGTGTGTTGCGCCGTGTCCTCTACACCTCCGCATTCGTGGCAGCCGGTCGTCGGCTCCTTCCTCGCCACATGACACAGATACCGCCCAAAGCAGCCGTGCCCGGACAGTATCTGTGTCATGCGGTACGTCAGTGGCCATCTCCTATTCATCCACCTTTTGAGGGTGGGACGGACAGCCTCGATGGTCCTCAGGCCGGCTGACGGGCTCATCAACCTCGCCCGCCATTCGATCCTGAGGATCCGCCGAGAGTCGGACCTCCGCGCTTCAATCTCGTGACCAGCGGGTGCCTCCCCCATGGACCGTCGCTCCGCGCGCCAGTGATACACTGACGCGTGGAGCTCCGCTACCAAGTCCCACGGAGGAGACCCCGCCAGCAGACCCGCCGCTTCCCCGGATATGGTGCGGTAGCCTCTTATGGCCCGTATGGCCATGACCCTGTGTGGCCTGTTGAGGCAGGCCACATTTTCCCTACCTAGGGCCCCCACCCAGATGGGGGCCCCGTACAGGGGCATGGACCGCACCACGCCGAGGTATAGGCGGCGGGAACCTTCTCCCGGGCCCCTCACATTTGGCAGCAGCCAGCTAAGAGCGCCGGCGGCTGCCATAAGGCGAGGGACCAGGTTCCGGAAGTGAGCGCGGAAGCTCC